GTTAGTTAATACAAGAAGGGCGTGGATGTAAGGACCGGTGATTGTGGGATGCAGTTATGCGCCAACCGATTGCCGACCTAACCCAGCATGCGAAATCAGATGTGTGTGTGTGCGTGGATCCATGCCACCCATTCATCAGCAGGCATCAAAGTTCACGGTTCTCATGGGAAAACTCAAATAAGTCCTTTTGTTTCGGGTGGTAGGCTTCAGCTATTACTTTAGTGCATTTATTTGGAAGAAAGCATGCAAAACAAGGTGTCATTGACTCTGTTAAGCATCATGCTTGGTTCACAGAGAGTTCAACGTGAAGGACGGCATAAATGTAAACATATATAGCAAAAAAGTTCTAACGCCTACTAAACACAAGCATTAAATGTAATACCGCATGTTAATTCCCAGAATGCGACTACGAATTTCAAGTACTTTTGAACTAACCATCTTCTATCCGTATTCACACAAGTGTAATACGATAGTGGTTCATCCCTCGGTTCTGGTGAGGCGCCACTTTTGTACTTTGAATTAGCCCCTTGTACCTCGCTGGGTGGGCTGGCATTTTGGGCCATGCCAATAGCCCAGACACCTTCTCTGCTCTAAATATATGCATATTCTGCCTGAGTATTGTGTCTTCTTTCGTCTTCAGGGAGTCTCGGGACGCCACACAAGCATTGAGGTTAAGTTAAATTTCGGACCACGTGTTTAGTATACCTAGAGTTAAATTGCTGTACTAGTCCTTCTAAAAAATTTACCAAATGACTGTGTATACCGTTCTTTATAACGCGACTCACCCAGGGACACCAAAAATATGCAGTTTTTGACATGGAATCACCTGCTACAATGCACACCAACGCTGGCACATGAATGTAAAAACGCCTAGAGCTGGTGCTCCTCAATAAGTTGAATCATCAAAGCTTTTTGTAAATACACAGTGCCTCCAATTGGCTGAAAATGATAGCCTGTATGTGAACTACCTAAATAGTCAGTCAATGATCGAAACCTTCCAGTAGAGCTCCATTGTACCCACACCAATAATAACTGGGTACTCGGAAATCACCACAGTCTGATCCAAAACCCAGTTACTGTATTTTTTCCAAAAGTATGTATTCAAATTACCTTATTGTGCTAACGTGTGGAATGTTAAAATTGTAATGAAATATTGAAGTGCCCCTATTGGTTCGGTAGCAGGAAAACAGTATAAACTACGTAAATGGGAGTTTTATTCGTATAAGGGAAATGTTTCTACTTTTATGCAGTGAGAATGCGATTTATTTTCCATCAAACATATATAAAGGAGGCTCAACAAGCAGCACCAATCTTTCTAAAACTTTTGGTTAAATTATACTGCAATTTTGATTAGTTGGATTTTGTTACCTTAGAAGTGGTTCCTTTCTCTCAATACAACAACACAAATCTGCACTACACGCATCGGCATAATACTATTATGTAAGTACTAATTTTTTTGGCCAAAACATCACTTAAAGTCCTTAAAAATGGATAGTGACTTTGCCAGCACACTGTAATGGAGTTACGAGTAATGTGTTTTTAAAGCCTCCTCTGCAAAACCCATTCCAATAACGCTATGTATTTCCCCAGCCTAATCCTTGACGGGAAATGAGCCTTGGCAATGCCTATCCATATTTCCCCATCGGCATAGCCACTAGCTGTTCAGACGATGTTCCGATGTTACGGATTATTTGATAGCCTGAATCCATGCCTCGGTGAATGGCCTGCGGCAGATGCCGGACCCTAAAAGCACCCGAAGCAAATTCCTACAATAGTGATCATGAACCTTTAAATGTGCTTAACTGCAGACACGATCATTGTGTATTCATTCTTTAGGGGATTGGGAAGTAGATTTATGCACAATGCCTCCCATAAGAAGTGTTGGATGCATGATTGTCGAAATATCCGTTCTTGAAGTTTCTTTGTTTTATTCTTTTCTAAGACGGCTGCTTTATCCTGAAAAAATCAAAAGAAATCTTGCGTAGACACAAGGTTCTCACAATGAGTTGGCGGCTGATTCAAGAATGTTCATTTTACTGGAATTTGCGCCGCTTGCGACCCCGACATAAGCGAACTACTAAACCTCCCTCTCGCTTCTATGTATTGACGGTTACCTTTGTTCTACTAATAATAAACATGAATTAATCCAGTTTGGGGTTTAAAGTTTTGAAATAAGCATCACAGCTGACGGATTATTTTGGGCCCGGAAGACGAGCCACCTATTGGCGCAGTTTAAGACTGGGGCTCATATAGACTGTGTAGACATTATAATGAATGTTAAATAAGGGGAAGATTTTTTGCAAATATTGATGGTAATGCTCTTGTTGCAGACAGCAACACCGAAGTACTAGATTTTTCTCAAAAAAGTAAACATTTGTCGCAATTATCTGCCAAGGACAAGTGGAGCCGCCAGATAAGCTGGTGATGCCTGTTGGAGGAAGTCTGTTCGACATCGTCTAATCATTTCGACTTCATTAAATCCAGTCTTTCGGTATCGACGTGTCCTCACATATTCGGAGCCTACGATAAGTCAACCGACGCTAGTCGACCCAACAGAGACGGGTAAGTTCTGCAGCCTTGAGACACCTACAGATCACAACATGCAATGATCGCTGCTCCTCATACCCATATTATTCATCCGACTTTTCCATGACTTGTGAGTACGCATGTGCAAGATATTGAATGGAATCTTGCAACCTGTAAAAAGTATTCAAGCCCTTGCCAAAGCTACGAAAAGTGCCCTTAGCGGTTTCATCGCCTAGCTCCCTCCATCCTCCACAGTTAGTTTCCGGATCGGTGGAATAAACTACCGCTATGATGTAACAACTCATGTCTTCGGTAAATGTACTAAATACAGATTGCTGCTAAAGATGAAGTTAAAGAAGATTTGTGAATCAATGTAATATCATCTTGGTTCAATGCTTACGAAACGTCAGTAGGAGATATCATTGCAAGTTATAAAATACCGTCTCTGACAAACCAGACTTGAGGATACTCTCGGTTACTAGGTAGTTATAAAATCCCACTAGATATTATATACGCCGAACGTAGATTTGCTTAATAAAACCACCTCACCGATCATGAAGGTGGGGATCAAAGCTTACCGTACACACATGATAGCTATTTATATTAAAGTACTTTTGCCGCTGAATTCAAGTGAGGAATTATTCTCCTAGGGCAAAAGATTTATTTTTGAAATTCGCCAACAATCTCCTCGTAAACAAATGTTCACATCTATAAGTCAAACTTTATACTGTTTGCCTTCGTGATAAATCGCGGGACAGTAAGTGCTTTTTGGATCATTTACCTCGGAAAGAACAGTTTAGGCAACATTGCGAAATCGAAAACATAAATGAAATTAAGCCTTCAGAATTGGGTAGTTGTAGTCGTCGTAGTGCACTTTCAGTGGACTGAAGGTGGATTGCATCTCCACTGTTGAATCCGAGCCAAAAGAGGAGTGCAGTTTTGGAACCTCAGATATGTTTTCAGTGAGTTTGATCGCAGCTGTAGCTGATGGTGATGTTGGTGCTTCAGTGCCTTCTGGTGATGCCACGAGCCCTGAGCCGCTAGGTCTACCAAAACAACGTTTTTCAATCCACAAAAGGGCCTTTGAAGGCTTCATAGAACTCCCTTCTTCAAATGTACCAAAATAGACGACTCGATCTATCTCCTCTAGATTTGAATCACCCCTGAGGGGAGCTGACTCCACGTAAGCGAAAATGACCAGAATCCCGTAGATGGCCGTCGAGTGCATCGTAAAATGAATTGTGGCAGAAGCTCCCTCGCCTTTTGTAATGATAGTCAGTCCAAAGTTCAACTGTCATCTTACATTATTATACCTACACGTGTAATCACGATTTTTAATGGGGCGAGGGTAAGATAACCATAGTGTTTGTGTTAAGCACCTGTCATTTTTACCCAAACGGCAGTGCTATCAAAAGCCGAACTTAGGGACCTGGCGCAACTCATTTAAGCATCCGTTTTCGGTGCAAATATGCTCTAAAGTTAGGGCACAACATTTTTAAAACAAAAAAGATAGTCTAGACAATGGAAAACTCAAAATGAATCCTAGCCACTAGACACGATAAAACCTATTTCAGAGAACGCTTATCTTTTGGCAACCATGAGGTATAAGCAAATTGACACCACCCGAGTGAGCATAGATAATGATGTAGTCCTACTGTTAGTACGAACTGGACATTAAATGAACCCGTATTTGAAATTTAGTTTGTGAAACTATAAGCTCAGGAGTAATTCTACCAAAATACCGTGATGCTAGAGCCAATACCCATCAATCCTAGAAGTCAAATGCCTGAGTCCTCATACCAAACCAAAACCAGAATACACTGGCCTTCAGCTGGATTCAACGCTTAATCATATTTTCATCCTTAAATCACCTTGCTAACTGGGAGTTCCGAAGTCGTAACAAACCAGGAGGAGCAATCACCTGCACTTTCGAAACGAACGCTCGCAAATAATGATGCAAGTAACGCCTAACACTTGAAATGAGACTTGAGAAAATCTGAAGCTGTGTCGAAATTAGCTTATTCACAAATACGGAAAACCTGAACAACAACTATCACAAAGACGCAAATTCATTACCGCGCGTTAAACCGACCTATCACAAAGTGAATGTCATTCCGGTCAAACACTCAAGACAGGGGCACAAGATTGGTGTATAACGACTACTCGAAGAGTATCTATCACAAAATGCATTCCAAGGCGGAGCGAAACGAGGCCGTACGATGGCACAATGCACCAAAAACTCAGGAATGCTGAGAACCACGAAAGAGAAGAATATTTTTTTCCAATGGCCTCATATGTACACATTCACACAATCTCATACTTCCCCAGACAGGCGGAGTCACTCATTATTCTGAGCTGTAGCGCCGATCGCTTCCAGGTCTGCGAAGAGACGATTAGCGGCCGCCTCCACCTCATTTCGATCGTCCTCAAGAGCTTCAGACAGAGCTACCAGCGTGTCTGGGACAAGACAGGTAGCCAGACCGAGATCACCGCTAAGCCCCACACGCGCCTCCTCCCCTCTGCCCTCCATTAGGGTATCGAAAGTCTGTTTGAGCAACCGCAAACCAGCCAGTCGCATTCGCCAGTCTGCGCTTCGCGTGACCAGGTCGCAGAGACAGGTACCAAAGGGTCGAAGAAGCGCTTCATCGCCTCCAATGGCACTGAGGAAGGCAGCCACGCAGGGAACGAAGTCCACTTCAGTTAGACCGAGAGCAGCGACACCCAAAGGTTTAATGAAGGCTTGAGGCAGGGCCAGCACCGAATCGGTGCCGGCAGTGTCAAGACAAGCCGAGAGCTGCGATTCTGCGCGTAGCCATGCCGCAGTCGCTGCGAGCGCACTACGAGCACAAGCACCGGCAGTGGCGTTCAACCCAGCCATGCCACTCGAGAAGCAGTCGAGAAGCTGGGAGAGTTCGAGTGGTGAGGCAAGTTTTCGGACGTCTAAGGATGTAGAGGTAAATTACGAATACCATCTCATCTTTAAACCTCAAACCTAGTTATAAATACCTGGAACCGGGATTCCAAGAGATCGAAATTCAAGCAATAGAAATAACTTTATCGTGAAAGAATTATTTAATTTTAAATTAAAAGCGTAAAATGGACGATGAATCATGCAGTAGCACCTACTTTTGGACTTGCTGTCACCGGCGAGAAGGGAAAGGCAACACACAAAGAGGTTGACGAGATTTGCATTCTTCACTAGCGAAACGAAACATTGAGCTGAAACTTTAGTAGACAGCCTAAAAAGAGAAAAAAAAATGAAATTATGACAACTGAGGAGTATAAACGCTAAAATGCTCAGATAAAAAACTGGATAATCCCAACAAAATATGTATCGAAACTACGATAAAACTGACAGATACTTCAAAAAAAGGGACATCAACGCTGAGGTAAAAACTAATACTAAAACATTAATGCTGCCAAATCTTCAATAAACATTGTCCTGCTTTAAATCAAATGCGACTGACAGTGTGTAATCGACACGGCCAAAGAATGTCAGCCAAGAAAAGTGTACAGAATAGCAGTATTTTTTAAAAGTCGATATTTCGGAACACAAAACTGTATAAAATTAACAAAAAAGATTGAAACCAAATTTCGATTTATTTTGATAACAATGAAAGAAGATTGTATATGAGGGAGAAAAACCTGCCTTTCAAGGACAGCGAAGAGACTCTGCAACCGAGCCATGACAACACAGATGTCGGGTTTCCCTTCAACTAGCCATTGAAGACATTTGCCCACCAATTGCAGCCGATGATCAGCATTCATGGCGGCCAGGAGAGAGGCGCCTGCAAGACAGGCGGCCTCAGAGACGACGCTAGCGTCCTCCGTTACCGGTGATGAAGTGGTTGAAGGGGCAGCAACAGTGGCAGTGATAGCGACAGTGGGCCGGCAGTCAAGAGCGAAACGGAGTAGTCGCCAGATGAGGAGAGGCTCGGAGGCGTAGGCAGTCTCGAGGGAGTTGGGTAGACCCTCGTTTGGACGCGAGGACTCCATGTCCACATCGCTTGTCGCCGCGACGGAGAACGCGTAGTCTGCGTGGCTTGAGACGAACTCTAGTCCCCCGGAAATTAGGTGCTGTGGCAATGAGAAAAACAAAGGATTTAAAAATGCTGCCTTTTGAACAAAAAACTACATTCCGTACTGGTTTGTCAACATACGCTTGTAATCTCCAGAGTGGTTTAGTTAAATGCTAGGCAAAAACAAATCCATTTTTCAAAATGGCCTCGAATTAGTATCTGTAAAGCAGAGGAGTTTAAAATACGTTTTAAACGCACAGACAACCATTGATTCCCACTGGATGTGTGAATTCTGAATCATTTGGTTCTTGAGTTCGAACTCAACAACCGACTCGAAAGGTGATTTAAACTCGATCAGTGGGCTCTAAATTATTGTGACTTTCAAAGTTAACTGAAATTCTACTTCATTTGAATGATTTCGTTTCCTAAGAGAACCTGCTAAAACCACTGCAATTAGAAAAACCTTTTAGATTGACCATAGAGGCACTACTGAAATGAATAAATTGGTAGCAACTGTACTCATACTCTATCTATGCATTTCTGTCCTACTTTGTTAATCATTGGGTCTTGATTCAATAACAATAATAATAATATTAAAGGATAATGATTTTGTGTCCTTTTATGAATGAATTAGCTTAGCAAAGTGTAACACAACATCTTGAGCATCAATTGAAAAAAAGTGTTAGCTGAAATTTACGAATATCAATGGTACAGTCTTTTGCGAATGGATCAAAAGCTAAGCTCAGAAGTGGCAGTTTCGTTCCGCAATATGAACTCCGCAGTCGCGACTTTAAGCACAGTGAAGGTATTGAAATGCTGTCCCGGGATTTTCACAAGTTCACTTAGACGTATCAGAGTATGCACCCATTCTCCAGTGCACAGAGGAACGTATAATAGTGTATAATATAAAAGCAATAGATATCAAACAAACAAATTGAAGCTTCATATATTGTAGGCACTACAGAGACAACTACTTTACTTCGAAGTGTCTTCCGTTTAAGCAAATTGCCACTTCAAAAAACATTTTCAAGGCTTTCAGACCCGAGGCCATCAGTTGCAACATTCAACCGCGAAACAGCACTTTATTCAGTTAGCCCAAGCAAGTTTGTCTTAAGTGAAGCATAAGCACCAAGTTACAAGGGTTGCACACTTTTTAGAAAAGGAACTTCGAGTAACAAGTAACCAAATGCAAATATGCATGCGAGACAACACTGCTTGTCACAGGATGTGGAAGTGAAAATGAGAACGCTTCATTGCCGAAAAGTTTAATATTTGAATTGAAAATGATAGACGTAAGACTTACTGGGTTGGCTTCCGGAACTTCATCCTTCAATAACTCGTAGGTCAGTTTAAGAAGATTCAAAGATTCAGGAAGAGAAATAAATCGGCTTCGTAGACGTCTTATAATAGCCGTGCATTGCTTCAGCGTAGCAGTCGATCGATCAGCTTTAGCTTGGGTGGCCGCTAAGAGATCAAGATGAGTAGTGCGGAAGACGAAAGACAACAGGGACAAATCCAGACGTTCAGTGGGCACGGGTGTATTATTCTCACTATGCTGAGAGGTAGATGTCTCCTCCTCTCTCAGACTCTCCAATACTGAGTCTGTTCGAAGGCTCGCCTGGAAATTCGGCGGCATTCTCGTGCTGAGTTCGAAGGCGCCCAGTAAAAGAGCCACACCAGCCTGTGATCGAAATGTACTTGTGGGAGTGAATTGTCTTCAAAGAATCACACAAATGCAACAGAAGGTAGAACTAATCTAATCTAATTATGCCTTCAGTCGGAAAGGAAGGTGTGATTGACAGTACGTATGGTAAAACAGTTCCAAATCCATTATGCAAATGGAGAGTTCCAAGTTTAAAATATTTCAAAAGCCTGCACTTCAATTCTCCCGGTCTCTTCAAATAACTGCAAACTACTCAACCGGTGTGGGAAATTACAAAGATGGATTTCTACCACAAGCATGGTGACTAAACACGCAGTGATATAGAGCTGCACCTCCTGCTTACCTGCAAGTGCTGTTCACGTGAGTGGAACTTGTCGGAGGAGAGGGCTGTAGTGGCTCCCACGGGTTTCTCAGAAAGGCGGCAGGCCGTAACAGCGTGATCTAGAGCAAAGCGAAGAACATGCCTCATACGAATTCGCGTGGTCACCGAGGCAGAGGTGGCGCAAATCGACATGAATGATAGTGGGAGGCGGGTCAGGCACTCGAAGATAAATAAACATGCCATGGAGCGTGCCTCTGCGGCATATGTTGCAACGCGCATCGCGTTGACGACGGTTGCGTTAAGCGAGGGCCACCAGCAAGAAACCGCACCCAAGACGAGGACATCCAGCGTCTGTGAGAGAGGAGAAGATGAACAGCCAGGTAGGCACAAGTAAGGCTTCTGTATCGAGACTAACCTTGAGTAACTTATCAGGATGTCGAGAACACAATAACTGCGCCAATCTTCGAAGACAGGACAGCCTTAAGTGATTAAGCTTTGCTTGGCCCTTATCGGCACTAAAGAAGGAGGAGGCATTGACTATACTTGAGGAAAGTTTGTCGAAGATAGCAATGAGACCTTTTTCAAGTGACGCCTCCAGGCGTGGTAATGGACTAGGTGTGTCTGGCTTAAGAGTGAGGAGAGCAGTCGCGCAAGGACATTTGACGGTTAGGCTCTCCAACTTAGCCAGGAGCAACTCAAGGGCCTTTCTTGTCAAATTAGACCGATGAGAAGACATCAAACGAGCCACAGAGTCCAAGAATACCTGATTCGACATCAGTCCATTCATCTACAACACGAATAAGCAAAGTCGGGGCATGCCGAGTGCAATACGAATAAAGAAGAGATAGATGGCACACCTTGATCAATACAGATTGAAGATTTTGGATGGCACTTTTTTGAGTGATACTGTCCTCGGCGTCTAACGGTTCGGATTGAGAAGAGGAACACGCAAGGAGTAGTTGGACAGTAAGTTCTACAACGTTGCCGAAGGTTTCTTGAACCACTGTCTCGGAGCCACGATCAATGGCCTCTTTTTGGCGTAGGTGATGACCGGCACTATCGAGGAGGCCGGAAAAGAAGGCACTGAGGCTTGATAGCAAAGACCAGAGACGAATACCACTGGTGGAGCTCATCTTTTCCACCAATGGCCTTTTACGGCTAAACGGTGAGTGAGTGGGTGTTGCTCCACCATCAGGATCTGAGCAAGAGAGATGCTTCAGTAGAAATCCGTAATCGCTGGGAGACGACGATGCGGGGTGATCGGAGGAAGGGGTGGTCCATGAGGTTTCCTGATTGGAACAGATAATAAAGGCAACTCGACATCAGGCAGACTCGAAATAGATAATCGAAATGTACTTTTACGTAATTAAAAAAAGAAATGGGGGGTAAAGAATTGAGTGAAAGTTATTTCAGCACTCACCGGCCGTGTACGCTTAGTATTGGGAAAGGGCATGTTTTGTTTCTTCATACCGTCGGAATTGGAAAGTAAGTCGTGAAAGAATTCGAGACACTGCTGCCATGATGACAATTGCACCGACAGATCAAATTGATTGAACAGGTCGATTAGAAGGGGGGGAACAAGATCAGCTAAAACGTTAAGTAAATTTCATCCAACCGAATTTCTACTTAAATTAATTAGTAAAAAGTTGTTCAGATGATGCTTCAAAGGCATGGTAGATAAAAAGGTTTGGGTACACCTTACCAGGTTTCGGAACAAATCGAAAAGTAGACGGTAAAATTACTTTTAATGCAAACTAAAAGCTTCCTACAGTAGGCATTGCTTATAAATCTCGATAGTCCACGAACACAGTGGCCACGATAAGACAATAGAATCCAGTCTTAGGATCTGCTAAATCAGACTTTGCAAAACCTATATGAATACCACTAAACTGGAGAGAGTTAAATGCACTTGAACAGGACATGTACATTAACACTACAGATCAAGATAGATACGCGTGCAAATCGTGCATTAGAGTGATAAAAGGGCCCGGAAAAGGGAGAACATTGAATTCAGAACAATAACGAATAAACACCACGCGACCACATTGCAAATCAATCAACTTGGCAAACCTAAAGCTAAATGATGAAACCGCCACATTAAAACTATCACAAAAAAGTCGGTGGCGACATGCAGTTCAGCTGTCTTCAGTATTCCCAACTTTCCATATCATTATAACATGGATTTGCACAGTTATCATCATCTCAAAATCCCATTTCAGGAGCCTTCTCTCCCCCTAATAAAGAGATGTACAGTATTAAACAATGGAGTCGGAGCCACTACCCAAAAAATTTTTTTCTATTGCTAAATCAAATGGCTATACACCTACTAGCAAAATAAACGCTGATACGCTTCTCAATGGAGCCACCAAAGATGCGCATGTGAAAAAGGGGAAAAGGAGCAATATAAATATGCATGGACGGGCAGGTACGCACCTGTTTCCTGAGAAGGCCAGTTAGTGTTGAGGAAAAAAGCGGCGGCAGTCCATAGCCAGCTTTGCAGAGCGACCTGCTTGGTGACTCGCCTGCCGACGCCAGCAGTGTGCGAGCTGGCAGAGTCGGGAGTGGGAGTGACCACTTGTGCCAAACCACGGAGAAGCCCAACGTAGAGAGCAAGCGAACGCCGTGGCAGATGAGCGGGGAGGTCGGGCAGACCGCGAACGAAGACGTCGAGGACGCGGAGTCCTGCGTCAACTCGCTGTTTGGAGGCCTGCACGAGAGCTGGCACGGCCACAGAGGTGAGACGCCCCAAGAGAGAGAGATTGTGTACGTCATCTAATTTCAAGAACATGGAATGATGACCGTTGACGGAACCACCGGCCCATTGAACAAGGGTCACCAAGTTCTTGCACAGGATTACCTGGAGTTGAGGTATTATAAATGTGCCGATTAGGCTCAAAAATACGGTCAAGTAAAAGGGAGAATGTCAACTCACCGGAAAAAGAGAGGCCATTTCTATGAGACAGAGCATAACTTGACGCTGTATGGAAGGCATCTCCTTGAACACAGAAAGGCATTGGAAAATTGTATCCATAGCGGCAGTGATGGATGGAGTGGGCATAAGGGACGTCTGAAACAGTCTAGACTTCTCGCATTTCCCTAGCTTGTTTCCCTCTGCAAAGAGATTGGTTAGAGCCACGAGTACCTCAAAGGCACAGGCTGAGGTGTGCTCGCGTATGCTAGCCGCCTCCACAACAGCAGGCCTTTCCCCAACAACGTTCATTTCCTTCTTCTCGGAGTCGAGTTCATCATGACTGAGAGGACTAACCTTCATGTCAACGTCTTGAACGCCCTCGTCTTCATCGCTACTTTCTGAGAGGAAGATAGAAGAATTTGTCGAAATAGTTCTCTGTCGACCACCGAGACGATTTTTTACAACGGCTTCGTGTTGGAATCGAGTTTCTGCCGAAATACAGCTAAAACGAGCATTCAGTAAACAGCCAAATAGGCATTGAACCTGCGTAAGTGATTGCTATAAGCTAACGATAAAAATACATCTCTATTATGAGAGTTAAACAACTGAGGACTTACGCAAGTAAGTGGCTGTTAAGAGGAAAAACTAAATCCTTGTTCTTTTCTTCTGATTCAGTATCGTTCTGTTTGAGACTGTCCCCTGGAGAATTCAACTTTCCCTGGTCAACGAGTGACACACGCCGCTTCGCCTTAATTTTCAGTCGGGAGACAGCTGAGGAGAGTGGTGTAATCAACTGACAACCATTTTGCCTATCTTGAAGGTTGGTGGAGGAAGCCGCGTGCAGACGATGTACATCCCCGGCCAGAGCCGCCAGAATGATCTTAAGAGCGCGCAATCTTCGCCACTCTGCTGATGCGAGCAGCTCCTCTCCGTTAATGCTTCTTCTGCAAATACGATGGCCATTTTAAACCCTTAAGTAAGTGATAAGTCACCTGCTACATCACCTTCAGACCTATTGATAGCATTACCTGAGTGCATTACGTGACAAAGTTTATTTAAAAAGGACTAATCCACCAGAAAATGCATAAAAAAGGTGTACTCTGGAGGCCAGATTGATGCACTATCTTGCCTTTAAGTAACTGCATCAACAAAAGGAGAGATGGATTAATCAGAGCATAACGAGGGGGAACAGACCTAGAATTTGATACTCTCAAAAATAGAGACTGGCGGGAATTGTGAGTATGAATCGGATCCAATCTCGCCAAGCAGAAGATGTAATGTTCAACTTTCAGTTGCAGCTATAAACGAGATAAACAATTTAAACTAGTCAAAACCATATTGTTCTAACCAACAGTGTTCCTTAAAACAACGTACTCTTGAAAGTAAGTTGGACGCACTCTGAGAGACTGTTTGTGAACCGGCAAGGTCTATCAGAGCTCCCAGAAATTCAGCCTCATGAGAAGAAATTCCAATTAATTCACTTCTCCCACGTGCAGGGACTGACAATGCGGCAAGACTTTGCAAAGTAAAGGCATCGAATTTGTCAATACAGGCACTGTGCACGACCTCAAATCTGGTGAATTGAGGACGCCGAACGATTTGAAGTAGAGCCGGCCATCCAATTAACGAATCAACATCGTTGTTTTCCGATGTAGAAGGGCCGACGAGACCAACAATCGACCGCAACAGTTCATTATCCAGGAGCTGAGCAGCAGAATACCAGCATACTTGAGAAAATGCTGTATCCTTCATCGATTGTCTGAAAACATTTCCAAAATAAACAGTTGGAAACTCAGTCACGGCAATGCAACTAGCACCTCGCGGGCTACTTACCTACAAAACAACCGAAAAACTGATTTGACCAGGTTCGATGAAATGTGGACCAGTGCAGACAATGTGTCACCTTGAAGCAATTGCCTCACTGATTCGGGAACAATGCTTTCATCGCACTGTAAGTCGGACAAAAATCCGCCCACATTAGGATAGTACATAGTAGGAGGCAGTTTTCCAAAAATCACTATGAAGCGTTGAAGTAAGTCATAGGCTCCCACACGAACATCGCCAGTCGGATGAAGCAATGCGGCCAATACACAGGGGAAGGCTAACAAGAAATAATGACCGGTGACAAAAATTTTTCCGATTTCGAAATTAAATGTAGATGCCAAACACGGTGGTTTCAGTCACTTTTGGAGAAACCGAAATGCACAATCATTAAAATACTGTTTGCCGTAAAAACTCAGGGGCAGATATCTCCAAATACACCCCACCTGCGAAAAATCCCAACTCAATCTACACGTACCCTTGTCCAATGAGTCCAATAACTGGCAATGCTTTGAGTTTGGAAGGGATGCATTGCATGTTCTCGGAGAATGCCGGGTCGGCAATTTGAGTGCCTGAGCGGCATCGACTGCACGCACGACTATTTGGAGAGCGACTTCACATTGACGTTGTTTAAAGGCGACAGTCATGGCATCACTTTCTGCTTCCTCCTCGATCGACACCGACTGGGTGAACTGCAGTACCACGCCAATTAGAAAGTCTGCCAGCCAGCAATCGTCTGCCTTTATGACGGGTGCTTTCAAACACAGGCACTCTCCATCAGAATGATTTACCAAACATACTCCGATATTTCCCAATTTTGAACGCACGGTTTCAAATAACGCACAAAACTCTGGATTACTGCCGAACAAATCGTCATATGTCATTCTGAGTATACGTTTAATTGTCAATTTGCGGAGGGATTCCGTCCCTGCCATAGCTGGTGGTGGAGGTACCCAAGGACTGCTTTGATCACAAGTATCGACGTCTATTATCTACAATAGTATAAAAGACGCAATTATGCAATGTCTGGAAGAAAGCAGAGGAATTTTGCCGACACCCACCAATGTAGCCTTTTGAACACGTTCAGATTGCTCCAAACTACCAGACGCAACCTCGTTAAGATCAGTACCTTCATAGTTTTTCTTTTCTTCTTTTTCAAGCAAAGCACGCTCAAGAGGCGTCAAAAAATTTAATAGGTTTTCATACAACACCGAGAGGCTAGAATGCAGTAATAAAAAGGTTACTTTCCATTATTTTAACACCGAAACATCATCAGTAACTTACTCGTCAGGCAAGACAGCAATACACTGAGTTCTCATCAAAACATTAATAACGCGAAGAATTTCCCATTCGGTGCCATTTTTATGCTTCTGTGATAATAAATCAATTTATTAGCCCGCGAATGTGGTACGTAGGTAGATCTCAACCAAGAGCATACCTTAAGAAGACACCCAATCCAGTCCAGAACCAATTCATGGTTAAGATTTAAGGAAAGAGCAAAACGAACGATTATCAAGCAGGCGGCGGACTGAAAGGAGGGCACTTCGCTAGTGCATAACCCTTTTTTGATTGTACCCTGCAATGCCTTCACTATTTTCACAGTTTTATCCTCCGATAAACCCAAATCGCATAATCCAGATATGGTTGATACGAAAAAACTTGCAAAGGTTTGAATCCTATTCAAATGCAGAGAATTCTCGTGCTACGGCAAATGATGCATCAAATATATAGCTATCTCACTTTCGCATAAGTGCACATGCACATCCCAATAAATGGAATAAGAGCTGGTTGGCTACGGCAAGCCTTTAGAAAATCTTGGCGAGTCAAAGGCGAACCACGCTCAGCAAAAGGTTGCAACCAGTGCCAATTTGACGACGTGTTCTTAAAATCAAGAAGCTGTATACATTTTGCGAAGAGCCCCGACTCGTAATGCGGAATAAGGAGCATCATAAATTCATCGAGGTAGTGTAGGTGCACTTCGTATCTGCATTCAGTTAGCAATGTATTGTAAAAACTCACTTGTATACCAACCACTCAAAAGCCCAAATAGCCTCAGAAGAACGCACGTGCGTATTGATTAAAAATATGAATAAAGAAATTTGTTCGTCAATTTTTAGCTTGTAAGCAGAGTGCAAATTACACATTTGAAGTCTGATAGATCCGGCGGAAAACAAAGTTTCATTAAAGCGTTTTAGTTCCGCGTCAACTTCACACAATCTGTTAAAGCCCTTCAAACCTAAAACAAAGCACTAATAATCAACAAGACATACAATCCCGATAACAAGTCTGTGCATCAACTGATTGAGGGTTTTCATAAACTAGAGATTTCCGTCGGACAGCATCAGTGGAAAAAGCCGTGGAAATCGGAGTGGAGAGGCTTTTAAGCTGGCCTTTTAACGACATCTTTTGTAGGTTAGAACTGAATGCTGATGAATCGGCACTTCACAGGCAAACCAAGAACACCTGCCAACCCTGCACGCCTCGCAATAGAACTTTAAACAACCCGCATATAGAACTACATATGATGAACCGCCTTACTTGCAAAAAATGCGGTACTTACTGAAATAATTTTCTGTAAAATAGTTATTTTTGCATAAGCAAAATTATGAGAATATGGAGGGATGTAGGAGGGCGTGACTGCAAGTCCACAACTAAACAAACTTCGTTTATGGAACTACGCAGAGTGATAAGCATTTGTGCATACATACAAAATTTTTTGCCTTTAAAATTAAACAATGAAACGTTTGTTACAATAAAGTAACGCAAATTGATTATATGCGCCGCCACACTTTGTAAACAGAAGTAAATATTGCTAATTTCCCATCTCTAACGCTTCCTAATCTTTTTCGGTTGTATTCCTAAACATGAATTTAACTAAGAAACAGCTGACATCATTTTAACCCTAAGTTAAAACACGTCCGCACTTCTGGCTCCTCAGGTTTCACCTCTTCCCTGCATCACGGCCTTCGGTTGGACCAAGCCCGAAGTCCGTTAACTTTTCTGTGCACCAGTAATACATGCTAACCACAGTACCTTGGCTCTTTTAATCGATTGGGAATACTCGAGGCACCCCAAATAAATCTCACAAGCGACTCAACTAATAAGCCGACGTTGACTCCCTTTGGCCTGCAATTTCCCCACTTGTAATAACTTGTGGAGCGAGACTCCTCGGTCTCCGCTTCCCGATTCCTAGCGTTCCTAGACAAGCCCGGTTGGTTTACTTTGGACATCTTTATTAAAGACGACAAGATGTATAGGGAAAATACAATATTCAAGAAGGAGGGGAGGCGCAGTCACTAGGCAAGGGAGAGGGAGATCCCGTTCCCAGGTTCGAATTTTTTGCTTGCCTCCTCCCTGAAAGGCACATTAAAACAACATAAGTATTACAACTAGTAACCAAAAGAGTTGGAGTCATATTCTTTTGTGCCTCTGTGGCTATGTAGCAAAACCTTGATTCCACGAGGTCGGTGCTAATGAATAGTACTGATACAAGAACAGGGCGGCAAAAATAAAAAGTGGCTACACCACGAATGGTGGTTAGTGCCTTAAAATTCTTTGTTGCGGAACATCATCCAACTTTAATCAGTACAAATTTAGCCGATAATTTTTCGTTGGATTTTACGTGAAGACTATACTCATAATCGGTTTTACTAATTGCGCCACTGGTAGTGCAATCCAGCTTTTCGGATCATAGGCGGCGTCCGTAGGCGGTCAAATCGGAACCATACTGACTTCTATTTTTTTGAGGTGCACATTCAGCTACGGTAGCTCTCTGGTCCCCGTAAATTTAACGACCGCCATGACGACGTGGTCATCCGACCATGTGAACGGCTAGTTAGCCTTTCACATAGGTTTACAATCTTCTCCCGGCCAACATAAATTATCACTTCAGAGGAGACTCGAGAAGATGCACAAATTACTTTGTTGGAACTAACTAGCAAGTGTATGTGCACCCCAATGGCAAAAATGAATTGTACTAAAATTCTAACGCCTGAATGCTTTTCGCGTATAAATAAAGTTAAGTGATCTCTTGAGATCTCTCCTATGAGCATATTTGTTTTATACCAAAATAGACTTGCTCTGAGCTTTAGCGACCTACCGGTCCTGCGGAATTAAAGACCTAGTTAAGCTTATTTTAAATAACAGAGGCAGTACAGTGGTGCAGCACGTATAAAATGGGAGCAGTTGCATTGCATTAACCCATATTACCTATTTTTTAGCAAGCAGATTTTGCGGTTGCTGATGTCGAGCATAATTTTCATTAGTGTGTGCTTGTTCACTAATAAGTGGTTTTGTTGAGGCATATTGTATTCGTTTTAAACCGTTTCCCAAAATGATTGGGCGTTGTTTGGTGTTATTTGTCTATTCACTTTTGTTTATTGGGTTTTTACTCATTTGGGCATTTAATGTTTCTGACGGATTCCGGTGCTTCAACACTCAGCATTACAGTTGATGCTACTAAGATTAACGTTCGTTCTCCCAATCACACACTGTTAGACTGTACTCTGCCAAATCATTGTTCATGTAAGGTTAGTCGACCGATTACTATAACATACTAGTTCTAAATTAAAACCTATCAAATGTACCCTCGAGTGCCTTTTATAGAATTGTTTTCTTTGTGCCTTCAGTTAATCAATGTTAAGAATACCTTTTAGACGGAGATTTGCGAGTGTGGCTCCAACTTAGGAGTAACTGAAGCTAATACAAAAACTATTTATGCTCATTTGGGTTTCGTTGACGGACGTGATGTGATGGTAGCTGAGGGGTATAGAATGGACACCCTTCACGTCTGGGGCACGCATGATTTGAGTACAAAAGATCTTCTTGATTGGCTGGAAGATTATAATCCGAAAGGTGTTGAATGGATCGATGACTCGTCTTGTAAGTGTACTTTTGCAATTGATGACAATTCTATTCGTCTAATGGCTAATTTGTCTCCCTAAGGTAACATCCTTATGAACAATGAGAATATTGTCCTACGTGTTTTGAATAAGTTAGCTGAGCCCTTTGATCGTCGAATCGCACTTGCAGCAATGGCAGCAGTTGTCTCCACGATGAATGCCGATGACAATGGTGCTTTTGTGGGATTGCCTGATAGCACAAAACCTGTACCTGTGGTTGGAGCTACCACTAACTTGATGCCTCCTAATGGAAGGTGGTTCAAGTCTACCTCTTCCCCGGAGCGTGCTTTCTGTCTTTACTTTCGTATTGCGCACAAAAGTACGGTTTTTACACTTCATTTTTGTTCTTGTTTGAGTCTCTTTACCTCTATTCAGTGCTCATTACCTCTACGTAGATCAACTGTTGAATTCTTCGTTTATTTAATCGTTCCTGGAGACTTATTTCCACCACAGAGCTGTTTGCACTGTCCACTACTCTTATCAGCTTACTTTAATTTATGAAATTCTCGTTACCCTAGGCGACGTGAAGTTACCCGGAGCTGAGCGTCGAAGTAATTACTATCGTCGGTACGGCAATCCAAATTATGGCGGAGCAGTTGGTCTCTTGTCTCGTTCCTATCGACGCCGCGCTAAAGCCATCGCGCCCTCCACCGATGCTCGTTGTGTCACTCTAAAGGCTCCACAAGGTCTCATTACTTACAGCGACGACGAGGACGATGTTCATGGTCTGGTGGTGCATCTTCAGCATGGTAGTCTCGTCGATTCTGATGAAGAAGATTCCCATCCACGGCGACACAGTCTACTCCCTGGTCGACGGAGAGAGGCTACAGGTAATTGAGATAATTTCACTACTAGATGTTCCCATCACAGTTCATCATCAACTTTGTCATTGTAAACCGAGTGCGCATTGCTTTTACGGCTTGGATTTAGTGTTTGACTTAAAAGTAATCATGTAGCCTGAATTGAATTGTCAGTCAAGCTTGTTACACTAAAAACCAAATATTTATTTTGTAGATGGTTTTCGGAACTATGGAATGCTGATATGGATTCTCGGCAACATTTTGTCATTCCTCGTTTTGTTGTCTCGTTCCAACTTGCAAAATCAATAGAATTACGGCCTTATTGGTGTATATATCAAATTTCTGCTAGCTCCGTGAACCTCTCCTGATTGCCAATTTGGCAAACTTTTATAACCCCTTAATGGTAATCATCTTTAAAAATGGCTCTCGAAAACCATTGGGCGTTTTAAACTGGAATTACATCTACGGTATATCGTGTCTCCAACTAACTGGTGGTAATTATGATGTATTTATGTGTTTCAGCTATCGGACTGTCAAGGCCGCCCCGAAGCCCACCCCCAAAGTGGCCACGAAGGTCTTCAGGGGTGTCAGCAACCTCTCTCGAGGCAGCCACTGCCTTCCACCCTCCGGTTAACCAGTCAGCACTCAATTTCGACTTCGGACGGGTGAGCGTCAAACAGCGCCTGGGTACTCGCATTGGGGAGGTCTCGCCCGCCCTCGCTACTGTGACCATTTTTCCTGACGACGACAGTAGGCAGGACGATTGTGGGGCAGTGCGAATGCTCACTTCTCTTCGCATGGTGGCAGATGTCGAGGAGGAGGCAGCGGAGGCCAAGCTCTGGATTCGAAGCGAAAATGTATTCAATCAACGTGGGTAAGTCTTCCCTCTCTCCTCCCCCCCCCCCCCCCACCTTCACTTGATCCGTTTTTGTCATGATTTTACGCAATCTCCACAATACTTACATCATGCTGAGATTTCTCCCTATTTAGGCCTTCCATTCTGTACCCTTTTATCTTCATCATTCCTGCTCAACTTTTTGGTATTAATGCCCTATTTATGGGAATCGTTATCGGTAGAGGTTGCTGCATAGACGTCGGGGCGCCTGTGTCGGTTTGCTTGCCTAATCTGATGCACAAACCTGTATTTTGGACGTTAGTTTCAGTCGAAAACCTCACCTCCCTGACTTTTCCATATTCCTTCATGTTTCCAACTTCTATAAGTGGCTGGGAGCACTAAGTTCCACCCACATTGGTGTCAATGTTGCCCGTCCTGCTTATGTGTATATGCCTTTCGTATGAAAGGCCAAATTAGTGTAGACACTGAATTAAGAAAAACCAAGACCTTGGTCAGCTTAACGGGTAACGTGACATTTTCCTTCATTTCTACACTTGTACCGTGATGTTTGTATCCCGTAGATTAGGAGTATTCAGAGTGCAAAATGTAGTCACGTTTTTTTTTGTATTAGCTGTATTTCAGATTATGATAGGCGACGATTCAATATCGAGAACTTTTGTAATACTTGAATTAGAACTAGACATGAAGACATTGTACCCGTCTTGAATGCCGTTACAATACATTTCACTTTACAATACTTGCGTTATGGGGAGCCGGTAATTATTTACCACTGCAAGCACAACTATACCAACGCGCAAAACTTTACTTATCGGAATAGAAAGTGCTTAATGATGGAGGCGGGAAAACTTGCTAATTAGTACTGATAGTAAAGTGCCTTCTTGAGTTTACATTTTGATTCTACTCCATTTGATTGAATTACAGTACTAGTTGGTTAAGGATGCTGGGAGTAGGTTTCAAAGCGACCATTTACGTTTTCATTTCAAAATGCAGTATTTTTTGCAAAGGTTAGGGTTGGGTGTAAATTATTTCAAGTAATTGAATTCGGATTTTTACTGAAGCTTCTAAAGTTTTTCCAGTGGCTCATGTATTGCCGCTTTTTTGTAGCTGTCCGTAGGCGTAAAGGTGATTTATTTTTGTGGTTTCTGCGTTTTTCCTCTTTCAAAGACCCAGTGTTCTGCGGCAGTCTTCGAGACGGCATCGTCGCCGTCGTCATTTGGAAGGTACGCGGACCACCAGAAAAGGCGGGGTCTGGGATCGACTTGGCTGAGACGCTTGCACTGCCAAACACCATCTCTCTCCAGTATTTTAGCCGCCTCAACTGTTTGTTCCTTTGAAGTACAGCAAGTATTTCAAGCCAACTGGTCACGCTTTTACACGAATCGAGAAGCATTTATCCAATCATGTGCTTATTTCCTTTATTTGATGGATAAATAGGATTCAATCGTGAGGCTTTGCGTGTCACCCCGCTTCCATTATTCACTTCCAGGTACTGTCTTGATCCTCAAACCAGTCATTTTTCGAGAAATCGATTGTTTGGTGAACTACTTTACCATCATCATTTGACTATTTTTACATTTCAAAGTATATCAAAGGTTAGACAGAGCCTTCAATAGCGTGCTTGAATCCTATTTTTAATTGGAATTCATAAATGACTGGATTTCACCTTAGTATTAGTTCGACCTCCTAGAGGTCTCGCTTCTCGTCACAGACCTAGGGATGTGGTGTTTCTTGTGTTGTTGGGTTCAATTTCATTATTCCATATTCGTTAACGATAAATGCCTGCACCATTATGAAAATGACTGCTTCAGTAATTTCACAAATTGCGCACTTAGGCCACGTCTAAAGTGGCGCCTATCGACTGGACTATAATGAGTACTGTACCATGCACGACAACGAAGTTCTACTATTATGGGAATTTAGCGAATGATTTGTGGGTTAAAGGTTATTACGGATTTGACACTACAAGAACATTCATCAATGCGAAGGGAAGTAGTCAGATTTTAACTGTCACTGAGAAGGCACAACATAAGGATGGACAGACAACGATTTATCAACCAAATGTGGGTCAGCAACTGATCAGAAATCGCTCGGGCTGTTGCTCGCTTGTGCGGCTGCCCTCGGTCTCCGTCCCCTCATCCCGTGTACCGGCCACGTCTCTTACCGCCCTTGGGTAGGGATCGATCAGGCAGTGAGAGTGGAGGGAAATTACGACAAACAGTTCGACAATGGTCCTCCTAACAATTTCACGCTCAGATGGAGAGTATGTGTTTGCGATTGTGTAAATTCCATTAGTGAAATATCCATCAGATGAAGGAAAAGCAACCCCTGCCAATAGTCATCGTGAACCTTCAGAATTCCTGAAGAAAATAATGGGAAGCCCTTAATAGAATGCCTTGATGCTAATACTTTGATCGGTACCCCAACCGCTATCTTCAAAAACTCACACCGATCCACACTTTAATGAATCTTGAAACTGACGCCTTCAACTGTCAAATCAAATGGTTTACCGACTGCAAAAAGATCATGATGTTTACTAGCTATTTAAACAGTAACGCGTATATTGGCTCCAGTTTTGTGCATCTCATGAAGAAGAAAATATGGAGGACTAAAGGTGTGTGCTTAATCCAACAAGAGACTAACCAAAGCGATTTTTCATACCACACGTAACTATATTTAGCATTCGATCTGCTAACACAAAGGTAATCCCCGATCAAAAGCCTTTTTCGCTCGCTGTATGTGTGATATTCTGCAGCAAGCTTAACCTTGAACATGCTTACCGCACATTGCGTGATAAATTGCGGTAATGAATCTCTCAAATTGTTGTTAATAGACGGGGCTATGAAGTGTGGAACCATTCACAATCGCTACTTGGTGTGTAAAATCCACGCGCTGTACAAAATGAGGTGGTACCTACCCTCCATGAATCCACTTAGATCATCATGATGGAGTCGGGATGTGTTTTGTAAACATTAAAATCGCTTTACTATTCGCCAAAGATTCAATAGTAAAAAAGTTCCGCTTCGTTAACTCAAGCGAAGTGTATGGAATACCTTTTGTGGTTAGCAATAAAAATGCTTCCATAAGCAACTATGCAACCAGAAATTCATAGGCTGACGGTGTATACGACAGCGGAAAGACAACCACTGATAGACCTCTTGACACCACAAAGCTTAACCACTTATCCACCAGAAATGGCTGAAAGCCTTGACGGTCGATAATTTGTGATGACGTATCACGTAGCACAAGGAAGTTATGCGAGGCTAGTTATCTCGAAAGGTAAACAAAACAACCACAAGCGAACCCAAACCTATGTTCCAGGTGGTAGGTTTTAACGCACGCTACACCGCCAGAGCTCTGATCCGTCCAATTGAGTCAGTGTCGAGCACACACCTATGAATCAAAGGCGAGCAATAGTAGTTATCTTTGGAAAAAGCACCGTTCAAACCCAGTTGTCGACCGCATTGCAGAACGACAGTTTTGTAAAAAGTTAATTATTAATTAGACTAAGATGAACGTACCTAACCTATGCCCTTCAGAACTCACTCGAGATGGTAAAACCAGAAAAAAGGCAACCCCACATCAATGTCCGCATGCTAGCTTCTAATGCTAAAGCACACAGAACAAATCCCATACTTGACAAAGAAGTGAGCTACAAAGGACTCCCTCGTCGCGTAATACGACCAGACTCGTCGAGTCTAGATCTTAAGGAGCCTTCTCAAAGCACCTACGCAAGGCTAATAAATGTTCAGTGCCAAAATGCTGACTCGGACTGCCATTGATGATGAAAAAAAGACAACCGACTATCCTGCCTACTTCTTGGCACACCGAGTAACACAATTGGCATCGCTTATTCCAAACAGCCGCTATTAGTAATCTTAAATATCATAAACAAATGCAAAATTAAGATAACACGTTCTTACGGAAAAGCCAAATTTGAATGCCAATGACCGGATCAAGTACTGCCAGATTATGGAACAATCGGACCCCAGTGCAAGGAGGCAAGAGAGTGAAGACCGTCACACACGAAAGCCAAGCTCAAGTTCGTAATGGAAGTCAATGATTCTTTACCCGACAAAGCGGATGCATATTAGGAGAGCGGAAAGAGCACCAAACGAAGCTGTTAGGAGGAGAATGCCCAGAGTGAGGGTAGGAAAGGATGAGAGGTGTTGAGGAGGCTAGAGGCATGCAGAAAGAGATAGGGATGGTAAGACGAAGGCATAATGCTTTTTGGAAGACGATCAATCAGAAACACAATGCAAAAATGAGCCAGAGGAACAGTGAGAGTAAAATTAGATCTAAAATATGCTCATACATAGAGAAGAGGAGTTGGATGTAGAAAGAAATGAAAGTAGGGTAATTCAGACGGAGGCATCCAAAGGGGAAAGAAGGGGAAAAATCATGCGCACAGGAATGAGTGGACGTAGGGCGAAAGAGGGGGTGTGTACGAGGCGATAGGGTGCATGAATGGATGAGTTGGTGCGGCGGAATTATTTACACAACGTACACAGGGAAGCATTAGACCGCAAGAGTGCGTCGGAGTGAGAACTGAAAGCACGTTCGTTGTTTATTGTTCGTTTGTGTTTGCGAGTTGCAGCAGGGGAGGGAAGGCCGTGTAATTTGCATAACCAATCAAAATAATGGGAGCCGAGAGGCAACGTACCCAATACCTTATTGTTCTGCACACAAAAAAGAGAGTAAAGCGACAAAGGACGGGATTAAAGAAGATTACAACGCCACAGGGAACGCCGTGGTCGATTGCTGTTGATCTTTTGGACATCTGGGCGAGGAGTGTTAGGAGAAGCCTGCAAAATTCATGAATACAACATGTAGTATGAAAACAACCCAATGGTTCATGATCATGCATAATTGTAAAGTTTGTCAGTGGCGTTTCATAGACTTATTAAAAGTGAATGAATTTAGAAGAAACTCAATTAGAAGATGTCTTGTATTCTTAAAATCACAGAAAACTGCACAAGTGTACGTTATTTTTCAATTAGTCATTGGCCACTTTGCATGAGAAGCAAACTGTTTGGCCTGTTGACCGACCACGCATATAAACGAAGATACCTCAACTTATTAAGCCTGAATCACAAATACGGCCGATGATGACCAAAAAAGTGGAAATAGAGGGAACCGAAACATGTGCGCGTTAAGAATTGTACTTAATGACAACTTTCACCAACTGCTACTTGATAGGGCAAAACAGCGACCCAAAATTAAATTTACTACGCACAAACCGAAGCAAACCAATTGAGAGTAGCAAATATCACAAAGGCTTTTGGCAGTCCATAAAAAGTAACCCAAGGGAAAGCAGAACAGATTAAAATTACTATTCAATTATATGTACTTCAATAGAAAGTGAGAACAAAAATTGTACAAATCTACTTTTATGCGATACTAAAACAAGGACCAAAACACAGAAAGCATTTACGGGACTTTCAAAATGCAGAATCAAGTATTGATAGGCTATCGTGGTTACTTGTAGTTTATAGAAAAGCGCTTGCTAAAATCCTGAATGGAATTCGCCAGACATGATCTTAAAAATACAATCAAGTAACGATTGAGCATGTCAGAGTACAAAGCTTACTTACTGCTCATACCAATTATAGCTTGGGTTATTCTACCACATCATAATCACATAAAGCATACCAATGTTGTAAACCACAAAGCGGAATGAATACAGATACAAAAAAGGCTGGATTTCCATTCTTCACTCAAACATGCATGCAGCTGAAACGTTAATAGGTTAGGGAAGCAGTACACGAAGAGCGGATACAGCATTTTTACTGCGTCAACAGAAACGAAAAAGCAATTACATGTCACGTATTGAGCACGATTAAGTGGGTAGATGAAGCCCAAAAAATATCACCCTGACAGAGTTTTTTCTTTTTCCACAAAAAAAATGTATTACAAAAAGTACATAAACCACCATGGTTATTTTCAAGCATTCAACATAATTGCAGTACCACACGTGCATACAAACAAACAATGCACACTTTTTGTTAGTTGGATTAAGTAGGAATGATTGCTAGGGGATTTCCCAAACACGTAGAGGTTGAACTTTAGCAATCACCAAATGCTGCATGACGGCTTTTTATTAGCTACTGGTAATGCCAGCAACATGAGTACCAAAAAACAGTGCAAGGTTATGCCGGAAAATCAAAATGAATCAATCAGGTTTACACCTCATATGATTCACACGTCAGCTTAACAGTTCACAAAATATGGTGTGATTAAAAGAGCAAATCATCTACTACGACGCCACCGAAAACAAAACATGCGATGCAGATGAATAATAGGACGAAACCGATAGACCGACGGGTGCGGTTAGAAAGAGAGGATCCGTGCGGATACCCCCTTAAGTACTATCAATGGAACGCGCGTGAATGAGGACTACGGTCATTAAAATGACCCACACTTTAACCAATACATCGCCATTAAGAGACAGCAGTAAGACATTTTAAGCATTTAGAGACATACACATTAATTGCGCCCCATCAACATGAAAATTACTTCAGGGGAAGCATTTCCAACTAAATAACCGCATGAGGCTTAAAATAAGCCACTTACAAAAATTCAAACACTAGTCAGGTAAAAAATCCAGCAAAAAACCATAAGATTAAGCGATGAGAGTAACACAGAAATAGGCTAGTAGAAAGGTTAAAAATGAATCATTTGCTTAACATATATGAAACAAGAGAAGTTGGTATAAGTGCAATGCATAAAAATAGCTGCACTAGTAAGATTGACGCTCATTAAAATCAGCGTAAATAGGTCGCGCTTTCGTCTAAAAATGGAGCGAAGAAAGGCGGATACATACCATTTTTTGTTCCATCTTCGTTTTAATAGCTTGAGCAAGCGTTCGAAAGGCGGCTGTAACGTTTTCACCTTCCTTCGCACTGGTCTCGAGAAATTCAATGTTGTGATTTTTGGCAAACTAAAACAATAAAATTTTAATTAGATACCCAATCATTCACCAAGACACATTGGTTGGGTAAATGAAACTAAAACCTAATTGAAAAGTGCTTTGCCCGTGATGATCGGGAGGGTACCTACAGAAACCGCTCGAAAACACCATAAAGATAGAAAAGTAAGAGAAAGCGGCTGGGTTATGTCAACGGCACTTTAATAATAAAGGTGGAGACAGGTGCAATGTGGTCCAGTTCCAAATTGATTCCTAAGACAAGGGCCATGTAAAAATTAATTCAACATTTCACGACAAACGCCTACATAAATTTGCATATGTACATAGGAGCAGAGGACGCAACAAAGTTGATAACATCAAAGGGTTCATTTACAGAGGCAACATAGTCAAGAATGCAGAATAGAACACATGCGCCCACAGGATGGTCACAGGCTGATGAAATGTTGCTGAAGTAATAATAAAAACTAATAGTGCACAGAGTGATAGACGTGTGGAAAGTTTCGCCAGGCGATTAAATTGGAAAATCGGATTCAGAATAAGCCACCACCTAAGTGAAAATGGACGGTCGTGTTCAATCACTGGACAACAAATTAACATAGCCTCACGAATGTGATCTGGAAAGACATCACGACATAAGATACACGAACTAATTTACATCAACTTAGCGCTGAATGACTGCATAAACTCAAACTGTATATTATTACAGCTGCGAACATCGACAGTAAGGGTGAAGATGCCAGCCTACCAAGATTGAAAACGAGTGACCCTTGGAGTACATGTTAAACGACAACTAATACGGGTCTGCTATTGAGAGCGCTAAAGGTGATGCAATGACAGCTCATAAATGAAAGTTGAAGGATTATTTTCAAAAACTGAAACCGAAGAACAGAGCGAGTAAACCCATTAAGTAACAAGTTTAGCAACTAGATTCTACTTCTTGGCCGAAGGCAACGACTAAAGTTTCTTATACAACATGCTAAGCCTGAAGTTAACGTTGTAAAAGCAAAGTTTAAGGAGATATATGCAGCAAGGAGAACTCATATCTGATGGCAAAATTATGGTGTCCTGAAATAAGCTCAAAATGTTATTGTAGGAAGATATCCAAAAAGTAATAACACTAATTACAAGAAATAATACCTTTATTCAAGGAAGAGTCTTTTTAAAATAATTTTTTGATCTATAATTTCATTCATTTGAATAAGGTAATAAAGCGATGAAGGGTATAATTTGATTGACTAAGAATGAACAGTTTGCCTCATCTACAAGCCAAACAGCAATATAAGCGGACCAAAACTGGTAACTGCGAGTTAAAGAGAAGAACCAGCGGAAACAGTTCAAGAAGCAGAAGCAAAACAAATTATCCGAATGTTTGGAGGCGAATGGCCGATAACGAATTTCTAAAAACTTGAATGCAATCGGATGCATGTAAAAGTGACGGACTGCGGTCCAGTAAGCAGTGCAAATAGAATGGATAAACACTGCCAATCGCGTCGGATGCTAGTTATCTAAGTTAAAAAAATAGGTGCACTGAGGAAATGCATAACGTGTGACAAACGATAATGAGCAAGTGACCCAACTGCAGAACGAAATGTGACAAAATGAAGGGACTTAAGGCAGCCCTCACAAGCAACCTTTTCAATTATCATTGCCAGCCCTTCACATATATCATAGGATATCCACCGTATTCCACAGATAAAACAAGTCATCAACCACTCTGCGGGAGAATGTAAACTTTCTACCTCGAAATATGATGAAATCAGCAGGCACAAATAAGGCGAATACCACCAAATTTAGACAAACGTTTTAATCAAACCCACCCAAACAAGATTGAGAAAAGAAAACCACAATCCAACCAATTTAGACACACTTGATCTAACAGTATAAAGGAGTCTGCACGGAAGAATATGCGCGTTACAAATTAATGGCAGACCTTTGCGTATATTTTACGCACACAGGCTGACGCAATACCATTTCCTCTCGATCTATATGTATAAATCAGTCGAAGATGAAGTGGCAGGAGCAGTGACCACACCAGACAGCAACAGGCGAGATCATGCATTCACACCAATTACGGTTGGACTGGCAGTAGGCGAGGGCACGATTGCATACACATTCACACGCCACCAACTTCTTTGGCCTACCATTTTATCCTTTAAAATGATCATTAGGGTGTCCTTTTTAAGTAGAGTCTTTATGTTCCTATGTATCACAAACGTTCGAGGAAAATATAATCACCCATTGCCTTAAATGGTCACACGTTGGGACATTTGAATCATGGGTACTAAAACAAAATCACAGTGAATGGAAAGTTGCTAAAACAACTAGAGAGCATTAAAACAGACATTTGAATGTGTTAGGTTGACCAATGAAAGTAGGGGAGAAACGAAGTCGAGACCTCAAGAAACACAACACACAAACACCCAACAGGTGGTAAGGCGATAAACAAATTTGTGCCATATGCCATCGCACAAATTGAGGCGAATTTAGTAAAAATCCTGGACGCTGCAACACGTCTTAGAGTATTATCCTCAATTGTCCTAAAACTACATTCAAAAAGCAAAAAACCCAACCGAAAAAAAAGTCTTAATATGAGGAATAAGCATCCAAGGTCTAAAATACAAAAAATTGCAATTACACAGCATCAGTGATAGATGGATGGTTGACAATTCATTGCGCTTTGGGAATTTGTAAATTAAAAAGAAACTAAATTAAGAAAACAGAATGATATTAACCATCATAATATGGGATTGGTCAACTACGGATTTCGAAAATAACATGCCTCTAAATGAAATACAAATCAAGTGGGTTACGAATAAGAAGTGCTAATATGCATGAAGGTGAACATACCTCTTGAGCCTCTTCCTTAGTGACCTGCCGTTGGGAGACCATATCACATTTGTTGCCAAGCAACATTCGTTCAACATCTGAGTTCGCATGCTGCATAACAGAAGAAATGGACTAGTAATCACACTACTGAATGAAGACTTTGCATTTACGCCGCATGTGTAATAAAAATGCCCCGGAGAAATGCAATTCAGTTGATGAAAGTGATACAAGTAGGTAAGTTGCGCCTGGATGCACTAAACTCACAATCGCTTATGCAACACACCGATCTGATAATGATGATGATCCAAAGTGGTATCGTGAATAAGACGTTAGCAATAAAAACTGTGGTAACATTTAACGAGTAGAATACATTCACAAGAACAACGACGTGGATAATGAATAACTTACATCGTCAATATTTGTAAGCCATTGTTTTATATTCCGAAACGATTGATACTGCGTTATATCATAAACTAACATTATACCCTAGAAGAAAATGAAAGGGATCGAGAAACACAAACCATAGCACCTCGATAATAAGCCGTCGTAATCGTTCGGAAACGTTCCTGACCAGCAGTGTCCCAAATTTGAAGTTTGATCTTCTTCCCTTCAACGTCAATGGTTCGGATCTTAAAATCAATGCCTTAAAAAAGAAGTGAGCCATAGATAGAGCTTATTTAAGTGCAGAAGAAAAAACTCCTGGGGTCAAATACGTGGATGAATTTTCACTAGACAGCGTTAGCTCTCGCTATGAATTTTAGGAACACAATTAATTGAGCATAAACTAGGCGCCTCATGACGTTATTTCACGCACTTATCGATATTATAAACACCTACAGAGTACTACTGGAGTCAATGAAGAACAAAAAAACTATGCAATGTACACATTCTTCCCTAGCATGAGGAGTACGTTTGAAGAATTAAAAAATAAACATATACTGGGCATAACAAATCCCCCGGGGTTGTCCACCGGCTACATTAGAGGTATACTAACAGATTCCAACTTGACGCACCTAAATTAATTAACGAAACCCTGCAAGAAACAACAAAATACCGGCTGCCAATGAGGAAGAAAAAACGTTGTGACGTCTACGCACCTATTGTTGCGATAAAAGTCGCATTAAACTGCTCCTCTGTAAATTGAAAAAGAAGGCTCGTTTTCCCCACACCCGAGTCACCGATCAATAGGAGTTTAAAGAGATAATCATAGTTCCTCGTCATTTTTGCCTACTACAACCACACAATACGAACTATCCGGTACCACCACGAATGCATTAGCTTAAACAAACAAAACATCCTGCAGATTCAAATTTAACTAAAAAATTTATTATTAAAGTTTAAAAAAATTAAATAGAACAGATGACAATAAAATACCTTTTTAATTACTGAAATGATTGAAATGAATTGGATATAATGCTTTTACTTCGAGAATCTGAATGCAGAGTATTTTTATAAATTTACAGTGAAAACATAATTAAGTAAGGGCAGATATAGTATTAGTTCCCTAATTGGCATAAAATTCAAGACTTTCTAATTGTAATTGTCCCCGAAAACAATAGCAGTTAGGGTCTTTAGAATCATTTACCTCTCAGGTCTAAAATCTTGTCTTATCACGGCTAGCACCTAGAAAAAGTCTCAGGAAATCATTACAGATTTCTGCTTGTTACAGGATAATCATATACCTTTTATACCCTTTGTAGAGAATGAAGAGCAGGTTTTGATTGGTTTAAGCAAAACTAAGACTTGCTTTCTATATAAACTTCCAGATTCTTGTACACAGCGCTCTTCCTCTTTTCTAAGCAAACAGGTGAGATGGATGGCATTTCCAACGCAATGCAGTCAGTACCTCTCTTCCACCTCCGGCTTCAGACACTTAGATCAGGAAGACGTAGCTCCAAATTGAGTAGTATGGGGAAACCTCTAGAATATCATCATTTGTTGGGGATCGGAGTCTGTGCCCTCCTTAAGGATTAGTCACGTCCATCTGGCGACGAGTTGATGTAAGCTGGCCACTTGTCATCGAATAGATACATTCAAACAAATACATATTTCATTTACACTATCTTTTGGGTGACCAACGTACTAATGTATGTTCCATTTACTTTGCTGGGTTTTATCAACAATCAGCTCGACTAACTTCGATGTGCGACCATGTCTAAATTGAATATTTTCACCTCTACTCTTCTACCTTCGGCTTTATGCCCTTGTATGGAGGAGAATGATTAGATGTAGACATCTTGTATTGTGCGGTGTGAGATTTTGTTAATAATCAAAGTCTAATGAATGAAACAGAGTTTGCTTCCTCTACGATGATCGATGGCACTTCTTTAGTCAAAATGTTGGTCCGTTTTGCCCGGTTGTCACCTAAAATGCGTATTCAAGGAAGCATGAATTACGCGAAGTCGATCTTCTTTTTCACAAAACTGATGGATTTCTAACTGCAAGTTTGAGAGCTAGGTAATTAAGAGTATGAGCTGTTTGCATCTATAATGCCTATAAATTAACGTGTTCTCCTCGCTTTACAAAGGCAAAGTCAAGGCACAAATTTTCCCATCCTTGTAGAATAAGGCGCACTGTACAAGTACAAGAGTGAGTTCATAAGTTCTCATTCCCCAAGACATTTAGCGGTTTTTTCGGCAAGGTGCACTTTAAAACTTGCAAGAAACACTGGATTAAGTAATCTGCCAATGTGATTTGGGGGTCAGTGCGAATCAACTGTGCTGACCAACGACTCTATATTTACCGCGAGGATGTTTAGTAGTCCAGTTAGTTAGTGATTACTAGCTCATAGTTCGAATATTTCTGGAACTTCCTTCTGAAAGTGTGATTAACACGTCAATTTCTCTTAGTGAAAGTTTTGTCCTTGGGTTTTCCTTGAATAATGAAGCCTCGGGGTTAGTGAGATAAACTTTCTTTCATAAACAGAGTGGTAATGCTATTAGAATCACAAATAAATTATACTCCCTTTTCTCAAGGGGGTAATTATGTTTTGCATACCAGAGGATAGTAATGATCTCCCTGAATAACTGTTGCGAACACCCGATTTTGAATAAAAAGAGCCAAATTATTGCCATAATTACAAAAGACATGTCAGCCTATTAAATGACTATTAAGTAGATGAGAAAAAGGCCAGCTGTCGGTCCTGAAAATTGGCTAGATCGCGTTCTTCAAAATGCCACTACCCCGTGCATTTGAAAATGTAGAACTGTTTTGGTAGAAGCATGAAAACAGCGACGGGATTGAATTGGTCATTCCGATAAAGTTCCCGTTTTGTTTACTATACTTTGTGCACTCCCGACGATTCTGATGGTAGATGCCACCTTCTGCCTGTTACCGAAAATCATGTGTCTGTATAATCACATGGACTGCATGCAGAAATTACCCCAACACCTGGACTTTGGATACAAAGCATGAGGCAGAGTGGAGCATTAGGAAAGGCATGCACTCCAACCATTTTGCGGAAAACGGTATCAATGGGCATGCATAGAATATTTCCACGGTCTCAAGCTCTTATTCAGTCCTGTACGACGTGAAGTAGGCTTTTAACGGAAGCCTACCCCACGAGAGTGTGCACGACTTGGTGGTGGAGTTCATCAACAATCATTGAGTCCACACCACAGGCGCGCGGATCAGCGCGCACAGCCCTGAGCACGCACAAACTTGTCACTGCCTGCCTGAATAGCCGTGCGATGCACACGCACCCATGCAGGTGAGGAGTGTGCTTCACCCTGTTCAATGCAGGTAGCCAATGGAAGCGAGATTTTGGCACACAGTCTTCTTCTTCTCAGACTGTGGCTTCTTTTGCGAAGGCAGTAAGCACCTCCAAATGCGGGTGGTGAAGTTCTTGTGTGTAGGAGGGCAGACAGGCAGGCATGCGTGCGTGCATGTGTGTAGTTGTAGGGTGTGTGATAACCTGGTTTAAGTGCTCTTAAAAACACGCGCACGCATTTGCCGCCTGAGACACACACGGGTGCTCCGAGGACTTCTTACGATGATGCAAGTGTGTTGGCAGAGTGGCCGTGAGGCCCTTTCTTGTGCATGGATAATGAGGGGTCTTTAAGCCTCGACCATGACTAGAAAGAGCACTCACATCCACCCCAACAGTAACCAGCTTTCTCCGCAGGTGGTTTCACTGTTCTATGTTTTGCGCTTTTGTTTGCGTTTGAAACCCATTCCTACGTGCATTGACAACTCACGATAGGCAGTACTTAATTAGTCAAAAATTAGTTTTGTATAAAATAATACTGAACTGAGTGTTAACAGAAAGAGCAATGGAAATTTAGTCATTTGCACTGAAATTTCAACAGTGAATGCTTTATATCTGGATGGTAAGTCTTAGGCATCGGATTGGTTAGATCAAGTTAGCGTAGAAAGTTTGTGAGATATCAACGCCTATTTAATGTTGAATGCACTGAACAGCGGCGGGAGATAGTTGGCTACCTGAGTAAACAAGTATACTAGATTGCATTTTATTTATGCGGTTTTCATCAAACTAACGAGCTTGCAAAAGAGTATAAGGTTAACCAATCTTAAATCCAAGAAACTGGGCCTCGAGGAGGTAACAAAATTTACAGTACGGTGAAACGAATCTATTGGTAAACAATTCTGATTAATTTTACATCAATGGGAAAAAAGTTTTGGAGAGCGCAAATGGAGCATTATGAAATACCAAACCTTACAATTGTCCTTGATTCGTCCAAATATTCAAGAAGTGCCAAGTACCAAACAATGGTACGCTTATATTTTGTGCCTTTAAAAACTTCATGGCGTTAAGAAATAGGTTTAAACCATAAAAAGCGTAAGCGCATTATTTCTACCCCTAATGTTTGTATCCAAATTTGTCATAAAATAAAGGTTCTTTAGATAACAAATTCCTGCATTCAATCTTACTCAAAGTTTACAGTATAAGGAAAATGATTGAAAATGCTATACTAGATACATCATTAAGGTGGCCTTTTAAAAGCCTCATCTTCATCCAGATGTGCTGCTACGTCTGACAGTAGTCTTCAGAAGGCGCTGTTGTAAAAAACTTCAATATGACAAGACTACTTTTGCGTAAGAAACCTGTAAACTGGGGCTATTTTGGGTGTCCCCAAAAATGAAAACATGCTAGACGCTTTTGGTCACACCTCACACTTAGTGTAATCTATCTATTTTGAGCAACAGTACCGTTTCAAAATGGCCTATCCGGTCATGGGAGGTGGTGCGGCACATTACCATTAACGCAAGTTGACCCTTTATACATTTAGTGGACCCAACCAAAGCTGCACCGCTTTTTTGCAATCACCAAAGCTGTAATACGCTTGAGGACGGAGTCACGCAAGTGCATTATGGTCATGATTGACGGATACGGTGTTTACACTCGCAAACACGTGCAATTTAATTACTAATTCTCAACTGTCAATAATAATATCACAACGAATTTCACTGAATGCGATTTCGCGTACACCATCGCTGTAGAGAAAATCCATGGCAGTCCTGGATGAGTGCTACCTCATTCGACCATGTGAAGAGGAAACATTGGGCACCAGAGATACTGAGGACGCCAGCAGTCTCACCCAATAGCACAGGCACAATATAGTTTGGAAAGGTGGATTACGAATGCTACGAATGCTATCCGCGCAACTCAGCCCACTCGCGACTTTAATGTGAAGTTTACACAAAAAGGAATTGGACAGGCTACTACGTAAGATTGAATAGAAGCAAACGCAATTTCGTTAAAAATTACCTAACTTATATATTACAGGCAACAAATTCATCATGAAGCAATGCATCCATGAGCGGATACGGCTACTAAAGCATCCGGGAATCGTATAAATGGAGTTGAAATCACGGATGGAATTCATTAAACTACGATTGATCACTTATATCCATAATAACACGGACTTAGTAATTTTCATAAAGTTAGGTAATTAAACAAACAGAGTTGGACGTGCAAGGGCTTTAAAGCATGTGAAGTGCTTCTGTTTACTGAGGTGGGTGACCAAATGGGAATTTCGATAGAAAGCTTTGCCTGTGCAATTACCGCATCATAATGTCTGCTGAATTTAACACAGCAAAAACTTCTGCTATTATAGAAAAGTTACCGATGATAAAATAAAAAAAAACAACTTAGCTAGCATACCAATACTTTGAACACTAATGATTGACACCACTTTGTCCCAGTGAGGTACAATTTATTTTAATAGTAAAATCAAGGTTGAAAAAGACCTTTAGCCTGGATTGTAAAACAGTATGGCTAATTACAAAAGGCGTATTTGACCAGGCATAAAAGGTTAAGAAGGGCATTAAGCAAAAAAACCCGTGACTTCTAGAAAGGTACTAATTAGTAAGCAGTTAATGGATGGGCACTTTTGTCTTAACTAGTGGCCTGTTTATGTCGTGATAAAGGAAAACACGCAGTAAAAATTTGCAGTAAACAAGTCAATTCTTGGTTGAACTAATAAAAAAATTTTGCCTTACTGAATTTAAAAAAAAATTTGCTTAAGCAAATGCAAGCGAAACTATGTGATAGAGGGGAATTAGGTCCATCTCGCAAATGATGATATTAATGCAGTTAAGTGCCTACTATTTCATTTGCATTGGTTACTGCTTCGTCTTTCATTGGCCCTCTTTAAGGTCTCGGCGCTTCTTATTCCGTTAACCTTAGGGTCTATTACGCTCCTGTCTGCTTCTGATAGGGGGTGGGTAGAAGACCTCAAATGCTATGCGAATCCTCTCGCATATTTATTTGAAAAGCACGCGAAGTGGCTTTGCCAATTTTTCGCGAGTAATCATGCTTTTATGCCTATAACGTTCCTGAAAATGCAATATTTTGGGCCGTGTTATGTTATGTTAAAATCGATTGTTTATTTTTCCCATATTTTGAAGAAAAAACAAGTCCTGGATATGTGCATTTGCAAGCACTTCCTGCTTCTTTTGGAATCAGTTGAATATTTATATCATCATGGGTTAAACTAACAAAACTAGCAAGTGTATATTGCTTGGTACTTATGCTCACGTAATACATATGATCCATTTTGATTTAGTAGCATGGAAAATGCATAAACTATGTTTTGCAAGGTGTATATTGCTCCTATCTGGGAAATTCATGTTTCGATGCAAAGTGTGCGATGGATCTGATTTCCGAGTTGTGTGTCATGTTTTTGAATTCCATACAAATTCCTTTGGTTTAATATTTTTAGGCGCTATGGGTCCATCCTTTCGAATTGTGATCATTTACGGCAGTCAGACAGGCACAGCGCGTGGCATTGCAGAAAGACTTGCCTTGCAATGTTGCAAGTTGCTTCGGCTGCGCAACTACCCGGCCGACTGCCCCACCTCGCTTATTCACCTCTGCTGTGCAAACGACTACACGCCTCTGCAGCAGCTGGCACACGAGCCAGGTCCCGTCATTTTTGTTTGCTCCACTACCGGATTTGGTGATCCTCCCGACAACATGGCTACTTTTTGGCGCAAGCTCATGAACGTTCGCCTTCCCGAGGGCAGGACTTTTCCTACTACACTTCGGTTTGCCGTTCTTGGCGTCGGCGATTCTTCTTACAAGCACTACAATTACGTGGCGAAAAAACTTTACCGACGGATGGTTCATTTGGGGGCCTCTCCTCTCCCTGTTTCCATGGCGCTGGCTGATGCCGAACAAGATATTGGATTAGGTCTGGCCGATGAGTCCGCAGCTGAAGGTCTTGTGGCCTGCCTTCAGCGTTTTATGCCCTCTTTGTGGAACACTGTGCTCAATCACTATTCCGACCGTGTACAAACTATTGGCTCTCTTGCCTTCCCAATCACATGGGATGCTCTAGAATCATCCGAATTCATTGCCTCTTTGCAGCCCAGGTTCTTGGTGCGTCGAGTACGGAAGATTGAGTGTGGCGAGCTTAATCTGATCAATGGCAATCATTACCGCAACGAGGAGGTTCTCACGGACATGATAGAGACAACAGTGGCCAGAGACAATGCTCTTTTTAAGACACCTGCAATGCCATCGGCTGCCAGTTGGTTTGTGATCAAGGCTAATGAACGTATAACGCCGAATAATTATTTTCAGGACACACGGCTCATTAAGCTGGAAGCTGAGGTTGGGTTTTTTCAAATCGCCTTTAGTATTGTTAAAATTGGTCGTAGAACTTTAAGTGATTTTAAGAATGGTTTTCTGGAACTCTAATAATAAGACTTTTGATTATTCTCTCTTATCAAAACGGTATCGCTTGTTACGACTAGCATTTGCTATTTTTATACGGAAGTCCAAATAAGAATGGGGTTATTTCCACATGTCTTCACGTAACGTGATCGCCCTTAGGATGAAGGATTGTGGTTATGGCTGTTGAAATACTTGCTCTCAACTGAATTGCCGGAATAGGTGTGGTCATCACGGACCGTTGTGCTCTATGACGCGGATTTCCACGTTACTTGTTTTGATTTTTCGACAGACATGACGATGCTCAGTTATGTCGAATCTAATTGTTGTACCCTTATTGACCCCACTCACTTTAAGCAGCGTTTAAGTTGGTCAGGATTTATTGGTAAACGGATTAGTTTAATGCGGCTTTAACGACTGTCCTGTAGGAAATCAGTGATTCGATTCCATGTTGAGCACAAAATCCTTCATATTTAACCTCAGACCGTCGATAAACTTGTTGATCACGAATATCTTTGGGCTGTTTTGCCCAATAATATTTGAGTTAACCATACAATGCAGCCTAGGTGATCGGTTTTTATTTATTTCATGACCTTTTGCTATGCAGAATTAGCTTTTTAGCTAGTGTTTATTGACCCATTACAACGTTATCTGGCAGTTCATTGATCCACATGCTACCTTTTAAGATATAAGTTTTAAACACTATCAGGCCATTTAAAATTCAGTTTAACCACTTACTGTGATTCCATTGTTCAGATCGGTAACTTCTCAGGAGACTGTCATAATTACGCAGTTTTAATTTGGGCGGCAGAATGATATGTGCCAATTTTCAGTTTCCCATTGTTGGGTCTATTGTCTGATGAATTTTCGTGAATCAGTGCCTGAAACTTGTAATTTTTTGGTGCTATCACAGCAGCTATTAACTTCAGTGCCAAACTTGGGCTAGTCTTCAAGAACTACCTAAACAATGACTGATTTACTTAATCTCATTACTCTAGAATAAGGATTTGCCGCTTGCCTTCCTTCCGGGCTGCGTCCTTCAAGTGCAGCCTAGAAACCTCGCAGAGGATGTGTTAGGCTTTTTTAAAGTCACTGGTCTTGATCCGAACGTGCGCATCTCCGTACGAACGTTGACGAAAGAGCTGCATCCCGGTCAACACATTGTCTCCTTCACACTGCCCGGTTGTCTCGAACAGGTCTGTGCCACCGATGGCATCTCCCTCGCCTGGCTCGCCACGCATTACTTCGATCTCAAATCAATTCCTACACGCACCTTCTTCTCGGAGTTCGCCGCCGCCCACAAATGGCGTCCCACGGGTACTAAAAACGACGAGCGCGTCGCAATGGAATACGATCGGCTGAAGGAGCTCGGCCAGGCCTGCACTCCTGACGCCGTAGACGACTTCTACGACTATGTAAACCGGCCTCGTAGAAACCTCGTCGAGGTCCTTGGCGACTTCCCTTGCACCACCTCCTTCATCCCTGCCGAACAGTGGATCAACATTCTCCCCGGCCCTCTACTCTCGCGGCCTTATTCCATTGCTTCCGCCTCGCCAACTGTCGAATTGCTCGTTGCCGTTGTGACTTACCGAACACGGATGCTAACGCCGAGGCGAGGTTTAGCATCGACCTACTTAGCGCGCAGTAAAATTGGCACACGCGTGTCAGCTTGGATATCCCGTCCCTCTTATGGCTTTGATTTCTCCTACAATCTTTCGTCTGTTCCGCGACCCCCTCCATGTATCCTCATCGGACCCGGCACTGGAGTGGCCCCCTTCCGTGCCTTCATACAGCACCAGCACAGATCTTCACCCCAGGCCTTTAATGTCCTTTTCTTTGGATGTCGCTTCTCACACCGTGACTTCTACTTCGAGAAGGAGTGGCGAGCGTTGGAGGCGAAGGGCTGCCTGAAGCTGGTGACGGCCTTTTCGCGCGAGGGTGGGCGCCTTACCACGGCTAAGAATCGCACCTATGTGCAGCACAGAATTCGCGAGAACCCCGATTTGGTATGGTCGGTATTGGGCGAGGCTCAGGGCAGCGTGTTCATTGCAGGCAATGCGAAGACCATGCCAGCTGCGGTGCGTGAAGCTATCGTCGAGGCGGCGCAAACGGGTGGTGGGCTGTCCGAGTACGAAGCAGAGTCGTTTGTCAGCAACCTGGAGAGCTCAGGGAGGTACCAGGCTGAAGTCTGGATGTAACACAATGCGCCTTTCAATGTTGTGTAAATACATACGCAAAATTTTCTCGCACTGATTTCTTTTTATCTACACAATCAGTGTTTGCATGGCTGCTCGTGTGAATCTGAGTCAAACCTCTTTGCGTAACTTCGATATTGATGAATGGACATTTATCCATGCTTTTAAGTACTCTAACGCATTTTCGCTTTCTTATACACTGTTGATTTTATCGTCTTCTCAGGCCCATTGCTTTTGCCAACGTGATTGACATTGGCTCCCAGCTTGTATAGTTTCTTTCACCCTTTAACCACATTACGCTACACAAAAACCTCGGTTTTGAATAAATTTATTAGTTGTATTTCTGTATCATTTTACACTGAACGAATGTTTAACTCCGTCGCAATCCGTCTGTCGGCGGATCACATGGGCACTACCAGGATATTCTCACGATATCCTCTTGCTATTTTATCAAGATCTTTTTTTGATACGGTAAGCTTTTAACCTTAATGCAATACGCTTGTTCATTCCTTAGGGCGCGGCCGAATGAATCACATGTTCCAAGTTCTTTGTTAATGACTCGCCGACTGTGTTCAATTTGAAATTTCAAATGAAAACTTGAGTCCGATAAACTACTTGTGATAAACTATTGTCCTCTTCTCAATCGCTGAAAACTTATCGCATTTGTTCATATCTATTCTTTATTTCATGCGGTTCTGAGAGATCTGAAACTTTTATGACATTGTAAAAATTGAACAGCATAACGTTTTCAAGAGTTACTCATATGGATGTTTAAATGATAAGCTTGTTCTAAAGGTATTTTTAACTTTACTACTGAGTCTTTTGCGGTATACTTGAAAAGTTTTGGTCTATAATTTGCCGCGATATCTCCATACCTCAATACCATCCATTACTCGGCCGATTTAACTGTTGCCTATCTTGATTTTCATGATTCTGTTGAAAAAAAGCAAATGTAATTCCAAATTTATTTTATCCTCCTCGAAGTACGGCAAAATGTAACATTCGTATTTGTGCTTTCCTCCAGTTAGCCCCGCCAAATCGATGCTTCTAGTTTACAAACCACTTCCTAGAAGTTTTAGTCGTTCATGTGTGCTGCACGAAGCAGCCAATCGCATCATCCCTCTTCGTTCTTGAACAGGATTACATATATGCTCCTTCACTTTGTGATAGTCTTGCACACTTTTGCGTCTTTAAGGCTTTTTCTTTCTCACCTTACAGATGTAACAATTCAGATGCTTTTCGCCAACATGTTTCTCTTTTTCTTCAGAGGAAATCAGATGTCAAGAATCGTATCTGGTTGTCTCTTTGGTCTACGAGAGTTCTGTTACGTTCCTCTCGGTCTTTGGCGTATGCACAAACAGATAAAAAATGCTTCTTCCTCTTTGAGACACAGGGGCACAGTCGCTGATTCTCTAATGCAGCCTTATCATGACCAGGCTCTCCGCAGACAAAAGATATCGGCTGCCATGGGTGGAAGACGAGGGTCTCCTTCACAGATCACTGGAAGTTCCCGTCGATCGTCTGTCGAACACTCATCTTTGGTCTATCCATACGTTAACATCCTGAATCTCCTTGGCGTGATATGGCTCCTCAACGTACTGGTGGTTTGTGTAAATGTTTTTTTTTTTTGTGAGAATTTTATTTCTTTATAAATCTTTTGTGATTTGAATGACAATCACTTTCCTCCACTGTTTCGTGCTAAAAATTGCTCATATTTACAAGCGTCTGGAATTTTCTTAAGTTTTTTACCTAGCTTTTGACTGTGCCTCTTCACTATCATGGAGTCGCTTTACTTATTGGTGGTAGTGAACAACTGCTCGATATCTGTTGATAAGGGCATAGTAACACCGATTTACTCATTCAAAATTTTAACTTTTGGAGCCAAGATTCGATTGAATATCCAGCAGATCTGGCCAAATCTGCCGTAATAAGAAAGTCCTCGTGGTGGGCTTCATGTCTTCCCAATAGTTCATATTAGTAAGATGATGAATTTATGGAGCAGATTACCACCGTATCTTTGTGAGATCCCTTATTTCAGAGCCTGTTTCTCTGTTTGACTTGGACTGAAGGGCAAAATAAGCTAAAACTAGACGGAAAATCGGTTCCCCGCGGTGTGTTTAGCTAACAGAGGTATTAATGGTGGTAGAAATTTTTGAGATAATGCTGACGGTGAGTTGATCGTGAAAATAGTAGTAGCAGTATCAACGACAACTCATCAGCCCTACCTCTCCATTGACAGCATTTTGAGTAAAAAAATGGTACATCATGTGTAGTATTCACTCGGGAGTCCTGAAACTGATATACATTCGTTTTTGTAATAATTGATCCCCACTGGTTGTCCAACGTTTGACCGGATCTAATACATGGATGCTTCTTGATGATAGCCAAGGAGATAACTTCCAGAAAGCACCAGGTTTATTATTACAGCGTCCGTAACGCGAAGCAAACAGGAGTGGAGTCCTTTAGCTCAGCCTGTTTATCATTTAATTGAGGAATCAGCGGAACGCAATTTCAATGTTATTGCAAGCCCAGGCGATCAGAGGGCTTGCGAATTGACCAGCTCATTCAACTTTAGCATTTTACAGCAGTCAAACATATGTAATTGCCCCTTAGTGAGGTTTTGTTCGTTTGAAAAATCAAGTGGTTTGGTTTCACATTTGTACCTAAAGAATAACCGCTTGTGAATAATTGCAAAACACGGAATTCGCAATCGGCGTTTCGTACATCTATTGTGGCACCAGTGACATAAATGCTTGCCATCTCTTCCAGTAAATATGCAAGTCTATTTCATGGGCGCATCGTATTGTTCCTATCCTCTCCATACTTTGAATTAGGCGCGCACTTTGTTTCCTGAAATTCCTACATTATAGAATATCATAAAAATCTGTTTGTAAGAAAAAAATTCTCATAGCCGCATCTTATTTGTGCTTGACTGATTTGAGGAGGATATGTGTGCAGTCAAGGGCACTGAAAGGAGCAGTCTCTCAGATTTTTTTTTCATGCGCAAAGGTTCGTGTTTGACGAACCTGCCCGGTTTTTTGGGAAGGTCGCAAAATTAGCTGTCGTTACTTTTGCATTTTGACTTCCCTTGGCACATATTCGGCCATTTTCGCGGGCTACCCAAGAGCCCTCGTCTGTGAAAGGACATCATGACCACTAGGGTCTTCATCAAAACATTTTTTTCCAGATGCCCTAGTTGTCCATGTAAAATAATCCTGCTGATAATATGTGCAACTTGGTCACTTGGTTCCTTGTTAATCCGTCTTTCCATTAGTGTCAAACTTTTGTATCAGTAGCATTCATACTCTATGAGTGATCGCGTGCCCTTCACTTCCTTTTGCAAGAAATCTTATCCTGAAGACGTTTGCTTTATTTTAGTTACAAGCTTGTCTTTTTAAACGCACGAGCTGACTCTTTCTCTACACTTTAGGTCTTGTGGCTATGTTCCAACATCTTCTCTTTGATTGGACAGAGTGTGATAGGTATGATCAATATTCCTCATTCTGTCATTGTTAAATGGTTAAACATTGCATTTCTTATGGTTGGACGGCGTCGCCGATGACTTAATCTCTTGGATAAATAAGAAATTGAAGCTAGGTCAAGTGAGGCGAGTGCCTAGGATCTAACAAATCATATAAATTTGCGCTTTTGTGTGCATAGCGACATTCCATCTAACTGAACTACTTTGTAGAAGATGGCGTTCCTGATTGCGCAACTTATCTTAAAAAGCAACTGCTGGCCTCCTGACTTTCGTCTGATTGGTGTTAGTTTGCACCTTTTAAACTGCCCTTCGAATTTAGAAATGGCTGTCATGGTCAGTGTTTGGGCTAAAATAAGCTTTTATAACATTAGTCCTTAATTCCTTCTGTTCCTTGCTGGGAACAAAAGACTTAGCCATACTCCTATTTATCTTCGCTTCCTTACTCAGTTTTATGAACCAAGAATCTCAAGGCCAAAATTTAACTGCGTATAGAAGAATAATCTGAGGAAAAGTGTATTCTGCCTCGTTCGCAAACTTTGCCTATTGTTTTGTGTTCGTACTTTGGTACAGCTCTAGATTTTACGTTTATCGCTATTTAAAAGCATCTTAACCTTTAAAAGGGAAAGTAATAAAACGTAGGTCAAAGCTTACAAGATCTTTGGTCGACTTACTTCTCGTGTTATGTGCATCGATTGCATAATGCTTGATTTTTAGGGCAATGGTTCTGGCGTTTTTTAATCGTCCGGTGCATATGTGTCCTTGTTACTTCTCTTCTGGGAGGCCTCACCTTCACTCTGACGACGGTGGTCTCCCTCGTGCACATAAAGGTTGGTCCTTTTTCAAGCGTTACATGTGACCTCAATTCCACCACAGCACCACAATCACAAATCAAGATGGTAAATGGTACAATCTGTTCTTTAATTGAGACGTAAAAGATGAATCAGTAGACGCTTTAACGGCACTTGCTTTTTTGCATCCTATGCACAAAACCACAATAGCGTCTTTGCACTATTAGAATCATCTAGGAAGGGATGTGGTAATAGATTAAATAAGCAGTCGAAAATTACCGCTTTTCATTAGTGGAAGTAAGGAGGATGACTGACGTAAAATTCCCCTACTTTGAAAACAATATGCGAATGCTGCCTTTTCAGTTCCGATAAAGTGCCAAATCAGTCCGCATTCATGTGATGTGCTAACCAAATTGGGTTGAAGATTCTCCTGCGCTCTAACAACATGGATCGCAAAAATTGCCTTTAATGGTGCATATTTGGTCGTAAACTGCAACTATGTATGGAAATAAAAATTGCAATGTAATTTCCGGAAATATGGAAGTGTTTTCTGGCAAATTTACTGGAGTTATTCCCCCTCTTTGTACACACATTATCTCAAGCTCACTTTTTCCCACAGCACACCCTTTCAACCTTTTCTACTTTCGGTCTTTCAGTGAGGGCGAGAGAATGTTCGATGTGCAGCAACCATCCCTACAACCAACCTCTGGCATTCCTTGCCATTGCCACTATTCAGTCGATAACAAATGATACATTCCCTTTCCAGCAGAAAGGCTAAAGTATGGTTTTTCAATTCAGCTGAGGTGCAGTTTTGATGTTGTGTCAAGTGGTGTAGACGCTTTGTGCAGGGGCTTGCTTGTAGTTACTATCACTGTGCTACCTACTCTGTCGATTTTCTTCTGAGACGTTGCGTTTTTTAATTTTATCACCTTAAGTAAGCACATTAGTTGCTCCTCTTGTTGATAATTTGTTATACTTCGCTTTGCCTTAATGAATGATTTCTATAGGCTTAAAAAGCGCAAATCCCGCGTCCTTCTTAAACACATTTTGAATGTGAACGTTGAAGGTTTATTAAATTGATGATGCAATGCTTAAACCCTCGTCTTCCCCAATTACCTACTTCCATTGTTCGTGATTTGGTTTATTGTAGGAAGATAATTAAATTGTAGAAGTAGGACTGCCTCGAAGTTGAAGGTTTACCTCATTGCGTGCAGAAATTGTTAGTGAGCGAGATAAATATGAACTTCTGTGCACTTGTAAATAGCTTTTCACATCCCCGTGCCAAGTGTTGGTACTTACTTCAGAATGCGGCATTTTCTATCTTTGTTATTCGGGCGATGTTTCTGTAAATATATAGCTGTGGGTTTGAGAGAATGCTCATTGAGTGTCAGCTACAGCACATAGCTTAAGAGGTAATGCTGGGCTCCTTCCCCCTCCCCCCTCCGTGAATCTAGGTTTATTGCTACTGGTAAAGATCAACTGGGTTGGGACACTTTGGAGCACCCTATAATAATCTTCATTCTGTTGTCTCTTCTAGTTAGAAATGTTCAGTTCAATTCTGGTCTGTTCAAAGCCTAGGTGTCTGACGTTTTCGCTTTCAGGATAAACTCTTCCTATTTTAGCTGTCCGGTCGCAAATAAACACGCAGATTTGATATCTGTAGTACTTTGTCCATTTTAATGTCAGGGAGGAAATTTACGTTAATTTTGGTTTAAAATTTGTTTTGAGAACTGAGTTTTTGTGTTTTAAATGCATTTCATATTTTTGTAAAATTCTTCAACTTTTCGGTGCAACAAGAGCTCATAAAGAGATTCTGAATTTTTTTATTCTCATTTTACAGTTGTTCTCGACAAGCTCTGGTTACCGCCTCATGTTTATAACCATCTTCAAAGTTGGAATATTTGCTCGTTAACTAAGTGGTTGTTTAACGTTGTGGCACTTTTTCGCTACAAAAATGCATGCACCGAGTGAACATTTGGCGTCCAGCTGCGCTCTGAGAACAGTCTTGTCTGTCCACCAGCAGGAAGACGTGGAACTTGGGATAAATTGGCCACCTTACGCCTCTTATTCCCACTATCAGTTGTGCGGTTCACTGGAATCTCCAACTGTATCTACTTTTTCTCCACTAATTCGTTGAGTATTTTATCCAGATCCCAAACTAGTTTGATAGATTAATTCTCTTTCCATGTTCGCAACTACTTAAATTTGTCTTGAATCCTAGTTTCCTTACTAGACGAAAATAGGCTTTAATGAACCACGCCTTCATATTTTCATTCACTTAGAATCCCAACAAATATTAATCCCTTTTAAATTGCAAACAGACCTTCAAAAGTCCATTTTTCTTTCCCTAATGTCGTTTTCGTCATTGCAATTATGGTGGTTTTGGCGGACCAGCATTCATCGTCTTTTATGTCTATTCGGCATAAGTCTGCAGAGCTGTATCAGAGTTAAGGATTAGTGTTTTTTAATTGTAATGCATTTTCCTTGGGTGTCAAGTCCTACGGAAATTACCCTCATCTTGCCTTCTAATTGGCAAGTAAAATTGCATTTCGCTGGAGTGGAAACTACCATTCGGCTGTCACTCGTTGAACAAAGGTACAACTTAAACATTTCTTGTGAAGAGTTGGTCGAGATCGTTGATGTATGGAATGAAAATGGCGAATGTTTCATTTTTAGCATAAACTTGCAGTTCACGGGACAATTATTGACACGAGAAATAACTTTATAATGTCATATTTTCTGATTAAGCCTCACGACTTTTGGGAAATGGTAGCAGTCGCCTGTAATAGTTGATATCAGGATCATAGTACGTGTTTAAGGCTATGAGTAGTTGAGCAAATTGTGTTCCATTATTTGGTGTTAACTGCTCCAATGCTATCAAGGAAGTTTTTCCACTCGTTTATGTAGAAGATATGCGATTCGATAACCGCCGTCCGGCAGCAGCGTTTTTCAGTAGGCTCCCGAAGCGCCGAAGAAGCAAGTAGACGTCTTCGCGAAAACTCGGTAGTTCGGGGTCAAAATGACACATTCTCTGCTGCAACCTCGTCAAGTACCTCCGCTACTTTTGCTGCTGCAGTCGCCCCCTCCTATGACATTGGTAAACAGTTGATGGACTGCGTCTATTCCATGGTTTTCTTCCTGATCTATCGTGGGCAGGTGAGATTTCGCCTTTGTGAATGTTGCATTGTAAAGCCAGTTTTAGTACTTATATACTGCACTACGAAGTCATCCAATCTACAAAGCCTCAGGAATAATGAAATTAGTAAGAAAATGCTCATGATAGAGAGTAAGCAAGGATTATTTGCTCTATACCCGACTGATTAATTTCTTTCACGTTGAAATTTGTAGGAGATTCAGCATGTTATTGCGACTATCGGAAATCGCAACCAAATATCATGAATTGACTTAGTGTTAGGAAGATCACTATTTTAGCTAACATTATTGCTAGAAACTGGAATCTCTTTTGTTTCACTATTTCTAGTCTATTGATGGAAATTGCGTATTTTTTAAACAAAGTATATTGAAAATAACTTGCAGTATTTACGATGAATTTAGCGTCCTAACCATTCTCTATTTCAGTGGAGTCTCCTTACAATCCTCATGTCTCCTTCCCTCATCAAGATCTTCATTCACTCAATCACCCTAGGCTTTACCTACGCCTGCTATGCATTCGAATATTACGCTCGACAGACGTCAAGTGAGCCTCATTCAAGCACCAGCGTTATTTTGTCCCCTAGCTTTACAATACGTGACAGTTACTTTTTTGCTTGTCTCTTATAATCTGCTGGTCGAAATATTGTTGGTGAGCATTTAGTCTATGCCTCGAAGTAGCATTCCATGCTCGTATTATTGCTTCCGAAGATCTGCCATTCAATAGTAATATCACAACTACACTACGCATTGAAAACATTGTTACAGTAGGCTTTTTGTTACACCTATGCACAAATACTAGTTCATATGGCGAAGATAATTATTGCGGTTCGCTTGCTATTGTGTAACTTTAGACTCATGCCTGATATGACATGTATTTATTGTTGCTAACAAGCGCTGTTAGTGTTTGAAATTTCATAATTATTCCCCAAACTTGCCCAAATAGCTAAGATTTCCTACCTCATGCAGCCCGACACTGGTGAGCTAGGTGCATAAACCCCACTCTGAGCATATATGTACTTGGTTTCGTTTGCCAATGTATAAAAGACAATCACAGAGTTGTAGAGAATCATAAGCAATAATGATTTTTACTTAGTATTATTGGATGGCTTTTTTCATGCAATTTCGATGCCTGAACGTAAAGAAACTGTAATTTTAGGTCACTTCCGGGCATTCCTATTTTAGATGTCACAGCAGAACTTCTCCTCACACAAGTAATTTCCTTCTGGCCGGTTTTCGTCGGCTATGGTCTGCCCCTTGGTGCTCTGGACGCACTTTCTTCTGTCTCCTTATGGAGTGAATTGTTATTTGCATTCCTATATCCCGTTTTGATAGTGGGAGCCTTTCAAGTATCATGGTCCAGAGCTCTTGATCCAAAGCAGCATCGTGTGTCACTGCGTCTTCGTTCCCTTGTCGCTCTCTCTATGAAACCGGCTCTTTACGGCACCAACGTTCTCATCTCCGTCTTCGCATCTCACCTCAGCTATCGATTTACATTACCCCATCGTTGAACCGGCCAAATCAATTCAGTGTTAAAAAAGCATAAAACCCTATTGCCAACAACACTTAAATCGTCTCCTTGTTTCGAAACGCTGATACAGGTATTAGTTTGCCACTCATCACCACCTTGGTAAGAATCACTCTGTCCGGTTGCTATGATTGTTCGGAATGTCGCCTTAGGAATTACAAGCTCAATGGATGGGTGTGCCAGCGCTGCCTGGGTGGCAAGGCATTTTTCGAAGGAAAAGCTGCAGTGGTCCGGTGTTTTGTTTGATTCCTTTTTTAGGCGCACGATCACTCAATTTTGGTAATTTGTGCTTTTGGTGCAGCGTAGCCTCCAGCATTAGCTGTCCTTCTGTGTATTTTATTCAGTACTAATTTGAGTCATTTCTTATCAGGCAGAGACTGAATATCACTGCCTGTTTATATCCTGAGAGATGCGACAAATCGCCTGATACAGCACAGTGAAGACTACTTTATCTTGTAAAACAGATTTCTGGTATGAGGCATAAAACATCGGACTTGCAAAATGTCGTTGGCAAATGGTGAATTGTGCGGAAGCAATTAATGGTTCTCGTCTGTATGCATATAATCTAAAGTGAAAAAATAAAACTAATAAAAGGATTATTTTTTGCACAGCTATATGTTAATGTTCAGATGGTACACTCATTCTGCTGCAAACCGTTGTAGGCAGAAATATGATTACTCAAAACTTTGTTTAAATGAATCACCGTAGCGGCTTTTCCGCTCTCGGCCGACTATTTGAACGTGTTGCGATGGATTACGGTGGTGTTTCTACACCACTAGGCGCCGATACGTCCACAACAACGTTCAGCGATGAATCAGCTATTGATGATTCGTCAACAAAGGCAGAGTTTTTTTCTCCCAAGCATGATAGCTCGTTTTGGAAGCGGCGGAGGAGGAGCTATATTAATAATTACGACTCGAAGTCTATACAACGTATCAGGGAGATAAGAAAGGCGTTAGGTCGTGTTGAAATAGAAAGCAAGCCGTATCTGGACTTCCGTTTGAGGTTTGCTGAGGATATGGCAATAAACTCGCTTATATTGGCCAGCCGAAAACGTCTATCAAAAAGTATATCTGCGAGCCCCAGTATGCTTTTTGGTCCGTGTGAATCGGAGGGTCTGGTGTCTGCGAAGAAGCAACGTGAAGAAGTCGTAAATGATCTCAATCAAAGATGTCTTTTGTGTCTCTTTGAGCGGGCTGCCTCGGAAGTTGAAAGGTTTATTATGTGCGAGGAGGCAACACCCCCGTTGGTGCAAACCAAGTTTTCCAATCGTTATGCTGATGTGCATTATGATGGAAGTTCGACGGACTTGGATTTAATGGATCATACGTTGGTCAACGGATCAAGGTAGGCTGGCTCCAACTTTGTTTCATCTCATTTAGCCTAGTTAAGTTGTACTCTGTGATACGTGAGTTATGTCGAACAAATGATGGTATCATTTATAAGGCACGACATCGTCTGACAGGCGTTGTCTACTGTATCAAACGATCAGTACGTCGGTCTTCGGTGGGTCGTTCCGAAGATAGCCTCTCGAATGCGCTGAATGAATCTCAAGCGCTGAGTGTGTTGAGGCACACGAACATTGTCAGATTCTACAATTCGTGGGTGGAGGCGGGCTCACTGCTTACGCAGTTGGAATATTGCCTTGGCGGAAGCTTATTTGACTGCCTCAATGAAGTAGCGCTGACCCACAACGCGCCTTCGGTGGCGCTTAATGCTGACAGCGATGATGATGCCAGTGCTGGGTATCAGGTGCAAGGTTTCAACTCTCATCGGTCAGCTTTAAGTAGCCCTTCGGCTGCAACTCTTACTAAGTTACTAAGTGATATCGCCCGCGCCTTAGACTATCTACACACAAAGTGGTGCATGGCACACAAGAAAGTAGGATTGAAGACCATCTTGGTTCAGCTGAAGCCGCAGGCTGCACGCAAAGCCTACAGGTCAGACGAGAAAATGAATGATGCGCGGAGGCGCTGCTGCGAGGTGAGTTTCTTGTGATAGCACTCCTAAGCTGATATAATGGGGGTTCACTTGTAAAGATCTGCATGACTCAATCTACCGTGGTCCGGTAAAATGAATAGAAGAGGTAGTAAGTGGTAGATCGCTCTGTCTCTCGACTATTGAATCGAAGCTGGGTCCTCGCAATAAGGTCGTAACTACTCTGGTAAACACATGTGTTTTTGTTCTCTCAAGCTCCTTCTGTCAGGTGAAACTAACGGATTGGATTTCAAGTTGTCTGACTTTGGTGGGGCGTCGAGAGTAAGTGAACAGGAGGACGTTCGTGATTCTGACGTGTACGCCCTCGGCGTGACAGTTTGTCTTACGGTAAGTGCTGGCAGCTGGTTCCTGTTCTGCCGGCTGTGCTCTATTAATGACATTTGCGCTTTTTAGGCCAGGGGGGTAGGGCTTTCACCTGCTGACAACGAGCTGAATGAGGTATACCCCTCCAGCGTTTGCGCTTCCCTTCAGCCTATTCTGCAGGTTTGTTTTGTTTTATTAGGAATTGGGCTCTATTACCGGGGCTCCCTTTTGCCATAGCCTAAAGCGTTCGGTTTCTGGCTTCTAGCTCATGCTGAAGCCGTTGGCTGTGGATCGAGTGACCGCGTCAGACGTGCTAGAATACATTGCGGCGTCCAGCAATGGTAAGCGAGTTAATGGGAGGGCGTACTGCTATTGGTGCATTTTTTCAGGGCTCTCTTGGTCCATATTTTAGGCTCTGGCGTTGGGACTGAACTGATGGATGTCTGATAAGAGCTATTGTGTGGCATCATTTCCGGATTCCGCAAACATAGGTTTCTATTTCCCTTTTGGTGCTCTTATTTGTAGCGCAACTTTGGCCTTTATGGCACGTTTTCGTCGTATTTACTACAATTTTAAATAAACTGGATATCGGGTGCCACTGTTCTCTGTGTGTGATGGAACAAACGGCTGTGCTGGGGTGGGGTTTTTGCATAGGGAGCAGGGGCAGGCGGGATGTCTACGGCGCAAGGCACTAGTTCTACTCGGGGATGGGGGGTTCCGCAATGTATGCGTCGAGGCGGCCTGCGACCCCTACTCTTACGCACGCGCGTTCGGGTGTCGATCGCCTCATAGCGTGATTCTCGCTTACCTTTCGCGTTTCAGTTCTGTAGTGGGCCCTGATTGTTGGCGAGACAACTTGGATGCATAGCTTTGTGACGACGCAACATTGGTCACTTCCTTTTGAAAACCCACTATCGTCAGGCAAGAAGGGCCTATTCACCAGCTGGATAGTTTCCACTTCATTCCATTCAACATCTAGTATGGTTAGTAACCGCTGTGTTATCCACTATTATCATCCGGTGTATGGCCTTATTTGATTGCCAATGTGTGTAACATAGGTAGTGGATTCTCGCGAATGGTGGTATTTGTGGCTTACAGTAGCTCACGCACCTTCGGGATTGCAGTGGTTTCGGTTTTGTTTTCACCAGGCTGAGACGTGGGCAACATTATTTTACGCGAGGTTAAAAGGCGATATCTGCTCTCTGTGACTTTGTTCATTCCTTTAGTCGCATGTTAGCATGGCTTAATTGAAAAGGTGCATTTTACTGTCGGATGTTGAAATGAATCATGGGCAAACCTAGAAGGATACTTTTCTTTGCTAGTCATCATCTCGAAACGGACACTGAGAAGAACAAAGTATGATTCTTGCTAAAGCAGTGGTGCGTATCAAACTATTACCAATATTGGCCTTTTGAAACAAGGGAACGGTTTAACTGTTGTTGCCGATAGGGTCTTACACTCTTTCAGCACTGAATTGGAAGGCTCTTACCATCAGGACGGGGTGTGAAAAAAATGGTTAGTGGTGATTTGATTACTTGAGATTAAAATAGAAGGTAGCCGGTACACAATTTGGGAAGTTATTTGGTCGATGCTGGCTGACATAATGACACCGAAGCAAAAGTAGTTGTCGAGGTTGTAAGGTCGCCTGACGCAAGGAAGGAAGCGCTGTAGTGCCACAAGACGAATCATGGGTCTACCATTTACTGTACCGACGTAATAAGATATCAACAATGTGTAGGCATAGATGACAAAAGATGTAGTTACTAGACATGTCATTGCCAAAAGCAGCGATGAATACTTCCTTTTCTCTCCTGTGCTGAATAAAGTTGTTTTCTTTTAGGCCGTGGTATTCTTGTCAAATGTGCCCCTAACAATAATGGGAAAGACAGCACACAAATGATCTTTGCCTCTCCAAGTACAAAAGGAAAACGAATATTACTTCTTTGGGTTTTTGTTTCCATAATGCTCACATTTCTCTCATTATTTAGGTTTTGATCTTTTATTCAGCAACGCCATTTATTTGATATTGACGCTTCTTTATTTTCTAGTTGTCAGGTTTCTTCCAATTTTAAAATGGAAGTTGAAGTTTCCTTTACCCAAGTTTTTAAAATTAGCTACAAATGGAGCGGCATAGTTAAAGGCAACCCCAAATGGAGAATAGTGAGTACTTTTGAGTAGCTGATCATGGTGCCTGCTCTAGTTCTACTCTTTGCCACTTTTCCTCATCTATAGCCGTGTACTTTTTTTCTTGTAATAACTCAATCTGTCTCTACGCACCCTTTTATTCTGAGCATCTGGGCTTACCTGTTTTTTATACACATGAATGTGCTACCATCATTGTTTTTCTCATATATGCTTGATAATGATGGTTTCGAGCCCCTAAACTCGATCAATTTTTGAGGCTTTTTAGTGTTATGCGTATTTTAGCACCTTTCGCGTTACAAATTTCGGCTCCTTCGTTGTGGCTTTGGGATCTAATTAATAGCGAATTAGCTTGTCACGTCAGTACCTCTAAAGAGCTCTCCTTTTGTACTCACTATATCTTCTTTTTGTTTTTTGAGTCCTAAGTCTCTGTGTTCTTTCATCAACTAGTATGATTTTTTTTAACCCTCTGTAATGACCATCGTCCGCTTTGTTTAACAGATGACAAAAGTACGGATCCTGCTGGCGATCCCCCTAGATCCCCTTTTAAGTTAAAGTTATCCTCTAGTCTTGGCCGCAAGGATAGCGATGCCAAAACAAGTAAGAAGATTGGCCATCGTCGGGTTACCAATCAGGGCACCGTCACCTATAAAAAGGTATTGACTTCTCACTATCTATCTGAGTACGATGAGAATCGTACGACCTTTCAACTGTGATTTATAGCTGTTCATAGAAGTCTTGCTAAGTACCTGTCTATTTCACTTTGTAAGTACCCCATGGTGTCACCGTTGTTTAAATGTTTTCAGTTGTAAACCTGTACCTGACAATGTCTTTTTCATCTTGGAATGTCTTTGGTTTAGTTTTATTGGGTATCGTTTGGATTTCAGATGTATTTCTGGAGCCCGGCTTTTTATAGGCCTGGGAATATTGCTGAATCATATTGAGTAAATTCAAGGTTAATGATTCATTGCGGTACAGGGTTTTTTGTGTCTGTTGTGTTTGTTTTCTTTCGCGGTTCTGTAAAGTCCGGTTGAGTGATATCCATGTAGCCAATTAACAATTCCTTTAGGCTGATGTTCATTTCGATTCTCTTTTACCAGGAAAACGGATTACTGCTAATAATAATATTCGAGTCGTACGCTGACCCTTTAAAAACTGCCTGTGCGTTTACTCATGTGTAATTGAGGAATTTCGATCTTATACATACTGTTGGAATTGTGCATTGTTTTTCCTACACTTGTTGCCGAAGGCTGATATCATTCTGTGGATTAAACAGGACGTTGATTGTGTCAGATTGCTGGATTTTGATTTGCCAATTTTTCACAGGGCATGTTCATTTAAAAATTGACACCATTTCCTCTCACACGGTTGGTAGTCATAGTGAGAGTAGCTTCAATCAGGAGTTTAGGCATAGTTGCTAGTCTTCAACTACCGCCTCTCTTAGCAAATGGAGATGCAACACGAGTTTGCTGAGGCAAAAGGTTAACATACAGCCGTTCATTTCTGTGAATAGACACCCACTTCGGAGATTCAACGGGCCATTCAGCTAGGCATCCAGCACAGCATTGGCACTCTCCAGCAGAAGCAAGTCCGTGATGTTCTCTTTCGAGACTTTGAAGTGGTGGAGACCGTGGACTTTCCTCGATCTGGCACCAAGACGACGCCTGCTCATGGACTCTCTGATTTCCGTTTTCGAACATTCGCCCCTGTTGCATTTCGCTCATTTCGCGACCAATTTCAACTGGATATTCGGGACTACTTGGTAAAGAGCGTATCAATAAAATTCGTGTACTATTTATATGGTTTATAATATGCTATATTTTTATGATTCCTCATGTATATGTTATGTGTGTGTATGGGGAAATAATAATTGATTATGCACGCATCGAATTATCTTGCTGGCCATTCGATTAATAGTAACTGGAGGGGCAGGGGAAACTGGTTGTATTTAGCCGTTTTGTTGGGCACTCTGGCTATGGGTTAATGCTTAAGCTTCATGTGAATGCATTTCAAAACCTATCTTGGTTTTGCATGCAGAATGCACAAACACCTGTGTAAGGAGTTTGCTGCCGTAATTCTGGCCTCACGCCAAGGCCACCGTTGCTATTAGTAATGCACCAAATTCCTTAACATTGTGACCATGAGGTGTGCGCTCACCTTTGCATGCATCCAGCTGTCGCTTTTCATCTGCGCTTATGTCCTCCAGTTAGTTTTCTGCTGTATCCCGTTGCCTGTCTTATTTATGTAGTTGAAATTCCAAGATGATGTCTGGCTCCCTTATTATCAGTGATGCTATCTTTAAGAGAGTTTGATGAATTCTCTACAAAAGATCTTGTCTTCATCGGATGGTATTCTCTTCAAGTGTGAGTCTTACCTTCACTGCGCACCTATTTAAGCCATTATCAAATATCGCCTTATCTACGACCAATTCATTTCGAATTCGCTAATCCTCTCCCTAGTTGATGTCAACGTATAAATTGGATTTAGTTTCAACTGCTTTTCTGGAGGCAGTGGCTGCATACTTTCCTGGGGTGACAAAGTGTACCTCTTCTGTTAAAGAAAATTCGGTGGATACCTGTCATTTACAATCGATCACTTTCCACTTAGTCTAATTCGGGCAACTCACGATGGCTAAATGCATTCTCCTACCAAATTTTTATTTTAGGTCGTTCTTTATGAACTAAAATCTCCATGATCAGTGAACTTACTGTCTGGTTCCTCATTTTCGGGATTGTCATTAAAAATCCATCGACATCACAACTTATTTCTGTTCCAGAATGTCACTTTCAATCTGTTCGCTATCCTGCGCTCTCGGTTACTTTTTTACTGATATTTTTTGCATTTGTTGCCACTCCACCGTCCGAACTCTGAAAATTGCCAAATGTTATCACGCGTTCCTTTAAAGATTTCAACGTCTTTTATCTAAGTGGGTTTTTGTGTTCTCGTTGCATTTGCTTATGATTCTGTTCCATTCTGGCACCAAGAAAAAGCAAAAAACTGTTACTATTGATTTCACCTCTTACGCAATGAAACCGATATGCTCAAGGAAATTTTTGTTCCTACTATATTACACATATTATAACATTCCTAAGTTCCAAATTCAAATACGGGTTTTCTTGAGTCATGGTTTCATTGCTTTAATCCTTTTTTTCCCAACTGCTTACTTGAACTCTCCATGCAAATTTGTTCACTGCTGCGGTGTCATATGAGTGTTACTGCTCGATCATTACTATTTGCAGGGTTTACTCCATCCATGGCATTGGCATAAGTTAGATAGCTCGATATAACATTAATTAGTGGTATTACTTTCAACGCTGTATTTTTCGTTCATTCAGTGAGATAACCTTTTGTTAGAATGCAAAACCCCGTATCTGTATTCTCCACAAGCCTTCACGTTCCTAGATAATGCTTTTCAATTTTAGATAGTATTTTGCCATATTTTTTGACGTTCGATTGTTAGCTTTCCTGGACCATTTTCTGGCCACAAATTTTCGGCTATATTAAGTCATCCATTACCTTTGACACCATTTTTCTCAGCCAATGAGCGTATTTTGCCATGCTGATTAATAAACTCAATGAATTCTAAACTTTACTGTATACTCTTTCAAATGTGTAATAGGCTTTGATATGGTAAACATGTGATGGCCATCCACATTTCTTTTTCCAGCATTCCCTATGCTCTCAGGAGCTTCGTGAACTTTCCAATCCTGGTGCCAGCGGATCTATCTTTTACATCTCAGCAGACGATGAATTCATCATTAAGACTGTTCAACACAAAGAGGCCAATTTCCTTCAGAAACTTCTTCCTGAGTACTACATGAATCTGGTGCAACACACACGAACTTTGCTACCCAAATTTTACGGTCTTCACTGTTATCAGGTAAACCTGCCCCTTCCACTGATATATCAGTTTTTTACTTGTTTAAGATCTAAGAGATAATTTCGAGACCCTTTAGGTGATTTTCACATTAATATTGCTTCCCAGAGATTTCCCTTAATTCCCTTATTTTAACTTTATAGACAGTAGCTCTTTCATATGCGTAATAAAATGCACCGCGTTCTCACGATTTCTTTGTTTCCAACCTTTCGGTCAAAAGTGCTGTTGATTAGCTGTCTTGTTTTTAGCGTTTCTAAGCTGTGGCGATAAAGCATTCAAGTCTATCGTGTGTAGTAAAAAACGTTTTACTTATGCCACGGTTGTTTTTGATCATGATGCAACAAACACTTTGCTGTGCTGAATAATGTCCTTTTCTGACTATCTGACAAGTTGTTTCAGGGTTTTGTCGCACTCACAGCATTACAGTAGTTCTTCCATACGGACATTGGGTGTGGAGGATTTACTTTATGGTGATGAACTAAGCAGTAAACGTAAAGTTTAATTACTGAGCTAATCCCTAGTTGTTTCGACACGAAATAAACTTGTTGGGTAAAAATGAAATTAGCATTTGGTCTGTTAATTGCAAGTGTTGAAGGTAATTATGAGTACGATTTCTCGCCATTTTATGCTCGGAATGTATAGGATAGAATTCGTCACGCATTAATGCACATACTTCAAATTATATGAACTTGAGCGGATTTTCTTGTTTTGGTGAGTTAAAACATGTTTCGCGCCTTAACAAACGCTGGCTTTTTGACCACGTGCGACTTCACCTACTGTCTCCAATACATACGATATGACGCATCAGATGGCCCCTCTTCTGATAATTGGTGGCGGTGGTGACACCACACTATCATCAACACTCGCGAATATGGACCATCGGTCCTATCTTAAATCTTCATTCGTCCTACTGAAAGCACCTTACTCCCAACCCTATTCACTACACTGATTTCAGATTCTCATTTCTCCGAGATCGTTTCTACCCAAAAGCCATTTTGATTGCTCTTGCTCAGTTCTTACGGTTAGTTTCATCAAGTTTTCAGTAGACTCACCCTGCATTTAGCTTGGCAGATTTTATGTTTGCAGCACTTGTTTCTCTATAAAATGTAGTTAAGTAAAATTCTGCTGTGCTGTTTTTATGTGAACATGTGCTCTATTATTTTTGATTCCATTAAATTCGTCTATAGCGTCATAGACAGTTTTCATTATATTTTATTCGAATTTCTTCACAGTTAATGTAGGCCGCGAATGTCTTCGTCAACTTGACATGATATAGAAAATACTTCAGTTTCATAGACGTATGTGTTCGTTCGTTGGAAATCCACTCATGCCTCGATAAGCCTTGATCTTAGTCATAAGCAGAAATTGGCGTTTTCATTTTCCCAGTGAACCTACTAAACCAAGTTTAGTCAGTGTTTGTTCATTGGTGCGCCATTCGTCTTTCAGGTACATGAGCTATTCTTTCATTATCATCCTGAGGACCATTTAATCATTTAAAAGTCTATTTATTGTACAGGTTGAGAAAACGTTCTCTTCTCCATGGAACCAAAAATAAGTACTTGTCAAAAAATCCTTGTAATTCATTTGGTTTTGCGGTTTTTCCTACATTCTGGTAGTTTATAAAGCAGCCCCAAATACCCAGCAAAAAGCAATTCGACATAAATTGGTATTGCTGCTAACTTACTTTGCTTCTAATGCAAGATGCGTTTTAATCTCACTGTCTCTACTGGCTGCGGTGAATTGGATAAGATTGATTAAGGTGTGAGTTTGAACAGATGGCACATCTCTAAATCATCTGACTTCTCTTAACCTTGTGTGAGGTGGCTTTTTAGTGGCGGGAATTTCGCACAGGTTCCAATTTAGACCCGCCATTGTTTACGTTTGAGACGGGCATGTTATTTTTTCACAGTAGTTTGCAAAGCTTTCTAGGCGTTGGCGCGTTTTGTAAAAAGTGTAGATACTTATTTAGCAGGAGTGAGCTTTAATTCAGTGCCGTGGTGTAGACGCCTCATCCAACTCAGACAATATAGCTACACGCATCCAAAAATGTCATGTGGTGTGGAATTGCTGCCAACTGCCGATTGAAATGCTTACTTCAGAGCTCGGGGAAGAACATCCGTTTTGTGGTGATGAACAATCTATTACCCTCGTCGGTGAAGATGCACGAGCGCTATGACCTTAAAGGCTCCTCGTACAAGCGGAAGGCGAATGAACGCGAATTGGCCAAGACATCTCCTACCCTCAAAGATCTCGACTTCAAGTAAGCTCCTCGCTTTATTTTTTCTGCCTGGTCAGCTCTGCGTAATTTGCTTCATGAATTCAACTTTTTATCGATAGAAAGGTGATCCGTTTGCAAAATTGTTTCGACCATTTACTTATGTATTCTAAACAGCGCATGAGTTGGTACTTAATTGTAATTTTTAAAGTAAGCCCTTTTAAAATCGACTTTTACGAGGGTACTCTCTTTCCTTCAGAGAGTAATGATTTTGCTAATTAAAAAACTACATCTTCCATTTCGCAGAGCTTTTGTGGACTCGTTACGGTTGTTTAGGAAGGCCAATCAGGAGTTTCGGAGTTTCTTTTCAATCATTACTTCTGCGACTTCTATAACTGGGAGCCACTGGGTTTTGTGATGCACTTGAGCATATGTTCTTTTTGGGACTTTAATCTTCCTATGTAAAGTGCTAAAGTTGGTTGAAATTCAAATGCTCTGTGATAAGTCCATTGTAGTTTATTTATTGGTTATAGGCATTCAAAATTGCTAAAGCCGAATTAAGTTTCGTAAAGCTGTTTAGAAATTTATTATTTGCAGTGCTTTACCCCTCGTTGGTGACATTAAATATATTCGGCAATTTTGCCGTAGGATAGTAAGTTGTATTACGCATACCAATGAAAAATATCTCCAACTGGGACACATGCAACCTTGTGAGCGATACGTTCTTCGAATCTTGTCATTTCCTCCTGTTTCATTCCATAATATCCATTGAGAGCCGCATTATTGAAACCGTTAAACCAGAGTTTAGTTGGGTGGATTAGCTACTTGTCGGAAAAGGATATTCACATCGGCACGTGGATGGTGCCAAATTCCTAAGACTGCTGCTTCCGGGAAACAATACGGCTAAGCAGCTCTACTAGCTGACATTTTTTCTTTTGCTTAAAGTCAGTCTTTTCTCTTTTTTTCTGCCTTTTTTTCACCACGACTTGTTCCGGTTCCGATAATTTACCTTTCTTCGTAAATGGCAGCAGTCATTTTGTACTGGAAGTATTATGCCTCAAGTATAACTGTCTGGTTGGCTAAATTTATTTCAATGGGCAAGTCAGGAAATGTGTTTAGTGAAAAACGATGTAGATTCAATCGTTTTAGTTGGAATAATCTAATTTTCACAGCCTCGAGCCCTTGAAACCATAGGTAACCACGACATTGACGTCATAGAAGAGGTAGTGCCATCACCTTGCCTTTTTTCCTATCCTTTGACCAAACCAATCCGTGATTATCTACGACTCTGATAAGCATAGTCAAATTCTTGCTTGCTTACTTGGGTTCTTCAAAATGTTTCTGTTCACGGCGGAATTAAATCATTATGTGATAGGGAATTAAATGCAATCACAAAAGGTCGCACTTATTTGGATATGCACGGGGCTTGTTTATTTCTATGCGACAATATTTGCAAGGCGACAGCGGTTGAACGTTGGCATACACGGTAGTTAATGATTTATGTGCCACCTGAAATCAGCATTCTTATCCGTTAAAAGTGGTGTCTGCGAGTCTGTTTTGCCTTGCCACCGACAAACGGATACCTCTGTGTCCCGCTGTTGCTGTTAATAGCCTTGAGACAAAATTTTACCAAGTTGATTGTTTCCAGAACATCAGGCATAAGCTGTCATAGTATGCAAATAAATGAAGGAGCCAATTAGTGATGAAAATATATCATTTAAGATAGTTTGGTGGGAGATACCTTTTAATCGTGTTCATATGTGGAAACATTGTTTAAGCGTAAAATTGTTAATTCAGGCTGAGTTGCATGCTCTCGTCTTGCAGGGAGAGACACCCTAATGGTATTTGGCTGGAGGCCGATACCTACGATGCCTTGATGAAGACCATTGAACGCGACTGCAGGGTATGTGAACTCCCTAATTTTGTGGCGTTTAGCCCTTTTACTGGATACGTAATCGCTTCATGTGGTTGTGCCTTTCACATCATTTCATCATCAATGACCCTACGTCTTGCCATGTTTTCAATGTAGATGCATGCGATTAGCAGTTGGGCCACCTTGTCACCTATCTCTCGAGTGATTTTTCGAACTTGGGTGATTTTATTTAGCATCGTGGTTAGAATTGTTAGATGGCATAGGTACAAATTTATGGAGGAATGCACAGAGTGCTACGCTTTAGCAATGTCACTGGTGATTTTCGTATATTACAGTTATTATTATTTATTTGAAGGTGCTTGAATCCTTTCAAATCATGGACTACTCCCTCCTCCTTGGTGTTCACAACTTTGACCGAGCGGAGCGTGACAGGGTGAGTCTGTGGTCGGTTTTGTGTCGAGCTTACGTTTCTACAGATACACACCCATACGTACTGCCTTAGTGATAGTGCCTTTGTACTAAAACCTTTTGTATATGTTCTTATCGTTCGGTGGTTTAGGGTAAATTTTAACTTTGTGTCCTTTAATCGTTTCAGCTACGCCGCCGTGTAACTACTTTTTTAACTTTTTCCTTTTTAAGCAAAATCGGAAGAGCGAGCGATCGCCTGATAATGGTAAGACCATGTTCCCTTTCCACACAAATCCTCCGCTTTTTACCACCTGTTTGATCGACTCTTCATTGCTGTGTGTAGCTAATCTTAACTTCTCGTCCTTTACTGTAAATAATATTTTTGGTGTCAGACTAAGGCTCCGTGTAATATAGTGACTTCCATTTTTTTAAGTTTATTTTTTTGTTAGAACCAGCTGTTATCAGATTAATTGATCTAAGACCTTTGTTTTGGACTCGTGGTCGAGAATTTTCCAGCTGCATCAAGTTGTTCTGCTTTTCCTCCATGGAAATGCATTTCTTTTGAAATATTTATCTTATAACTTTTGTACACATTTCTCCGTTCCCTTGAATTGCGTTTTGTCACAAATAGTGCATTTTATATTGAAATTCCGTATTTGAGACGCTTTGAGTTGAAATAGGCAAGGTATCTACGCCGTCACTTCCTGTTCCACTTTCTTACATCCGGATCTCTACTCCATTTGGGCAGTGAAAATCTAATCATCCTGGGAGACCATTATTAAGAACCTTTTATTATTTTGTTATTCTTTATCAAAACACACTTAACGTTATTTATGAGAGCTTCGGCAGTTGATTGGCCAAAGATGTCAAAGTCACCTTTCCATGCACGTAACACTAGTTGTCCAAGCGAGATTATTTCTATTCACGCTATTCTCAGTTAAGACACCCTTCATATTTGCCAGTGTAGCCTTCGTTAAAGTAACAAGGGGTTTGAGGCTTTAAATTTGCAAACATTTTCTATTTAGTCGTGTCACTTCATAATATTATCTTTATAATATTTCAGCATTTTCGGGCATCGCCTCCTTTAACATTTTGGAAACCAAAGCGTTTATGTTTGGTTTGGCAAACATTGGTCTAGAGAAAATCTTAGTTACAATTCTACATGACTGAAGGGTGAAACTATGAACAGCACGGTCTGGACTAAATTACATTGTTGTGATGAATTTTCTGCACAACGTATGTCGAACCCATAGGTATAGTTGCCAATGCGGTGTCGGGAGCCGGAGGTACAGAGCAGAATCTACGCACGCTCACTCTGTCCGAATCCTCGAAGAGACGGAGCGACGGCGACGCCGTAGGTCGGGTGCGCCGCTCCACCTCGCCTTTCGCCCGCAACGCATTCCGCGCTCGTTCGGGTAACAAACGCCTCGCCGCTTACTCCACCGCTATGGAGTCTATAGAGGCCAAGACCGAACCCGTCGAAATCGAGCCCACTGACTCCGAGAAAGCCACCCTGTACGTCCCCTGCCCCTCGCTCTTTTATACTTGCCTCCCCTTCCACCTCTTCTCTCCGTCTCATCTACTCTGTTGCAGCCCAGACTGCTGACAGGCTTTGTAAATGACTAATGCCTTTTTACTAATGAAGCTGTCCAAGGCGATATGTAGAAAAAAGCAAGCAGAGCATATGGTTTAGTCAAAAGACCACTAAGGGGCATCTATACATCTTGAAATGCGATATTGTGGTGCGAATCAACGCTGCTAAATCATCGCGTGGAAGCTATTCTGTTAATTTACGTTGAACATTTCAAAATTTGATTGTAAAATGTGTGTTATGTTTAAATGAGAAATTGAGTATGAAAATTACCGGTGCAAGAGAGAAGTGAGTCATTTTCGTCACAAAGAGGTGCACGATCCAGCCCAATCCTTTCACTCACCTGTACTAAATGAGAAAACCCCTTCGTTGGCCATTTACTTCGTTTTCTTACCACCTCCGGTTCTTATATAACTGCTTGCTGTGTGTCCAGCTTGGCTTGGCCACGTGCCCAGGTAGAGCTTTCAAGTAAGTATATTATCCGAAAGGGTTTTTTCCTCTATGCGGGACGCTATTTATTACCAGATCCAAATTGTATCAGTTGGTGGTCATGCTTTGTCCTCTCAGAACAGTCACCACATGTTCAAACCTGTATGCTTAGTTGTAAATCTGATAACTCCAAAATGAAGCTTACAAAATATCGTATTCCGAGACATTTATAGCCCGGTCAAGTTTGTGTTTATGCTTTCTACTTTGGTCTTACTCAGGTATCGCAGTAGCTTGTTAATTTTTGCAACCTATAGACTTGGTGGTCTACCCGCTCGCAGTTATTCCGGTGACCGGCTGTTCCTCTTTATTGGCATAATTGACATTCTACAGAGCTACCGGATGGTAAAAAAAATGGAGCATACTATCAAATCTGTCGTTATTGATGCGGTACGTCTACATTTTCCCCTTCTATATAGTTTACACTTGTTCTCTTGCTTAGCTTACGAGCTTTGAGTATCTTCCCTTGATTCAACAAATTTGTGGCATGAGATTTGTTTTTTTATTTACATACTTAAGGAATCCCAAATGAAGCTCTCATGGTATGATAACCATGAAACTTCTCATTGATAGTTCATGGAGTCCATGTGATGATTTCCACCACACTTTGCTCGCTACATCGCCATTCCATTCACTAAAACCCAAATAGATGAATTGGGGCAGCCTGAGCAATAACAATCTCGTGCTACCATGCAGACCTGTTCAACGTCATCATGCTTTTTGTTATATTTTACCATATCCGTGTTCTTCATTCTGCTAGCATTCATTTGACGTTCTCTTTCATGTTTTTAGGAGACCGTATCTGTGACGAATCCCAGTTTCTATGCGAAACGTTTTCAAAATGCTCTAGGCAATTGTATATTCCGAAGAACTCCTTACCGTAAGTTATTCAATGCTTTCATTGGTTTAAGCCAAATGCAACTGTAGGTATATTTAGAAAAAATAATCTAAATAGCAATGTCGCTTGTCTATTTGGTGTCATACGTCATATTATGTTTGATTTTTGGGGACGTTTTCATTAATTACGTAGAATATTCACCGGATTCAGTTGAATGCAATCATTTAGACCGCTTGAGTTAGATAAAATCATTGCATTCTTAATTACATTTCCATAAATTTGTGTAATGGAAAAGCACCATTCTTATTATTGTTCATGCGATCGCACAATGCTTCATGACTAATTGATTTTATTACACTTCCTTTCTATTACCCTCTCCAAAACTCTATTTTGGACGAATCCATCGGTTGCCGTTGTTATTTCTGTTGTTATGTTTGCTGCTATTGTTATGCCATTATTGCGTGGTGTGGTAACACTCTTATGCATTGTTCGTCCCTCTTTCTCAACCATATCTCGGTTTGTCAAATCCCAAACTTGCATGCCGTTTTCGTACTTGGCCCCCTCCCCCCTCTCTCACATTATTCGTATGTCTATAAAGTTGATCCGCCACAACTGTTTGGTCCCAAAGCGAGGCGGTTTCGGCGTTTGGCTCATCTAGGTTCGTGTTTGCAGTGGTAGCAATGTTTCTGTCGTTGAGGTCATAGTATCACAACCACGTAGTTTTTCAAGTGTAATTAGAAATGACATCTCTCACATTATTTTTTTTGCGTGGGTGCCCGAAGTTGCTTGTTTGAAGCTGATACTTTGGAACATGACTGCATTTACATACCGTGCAACTTTTCTACTGGTAGCTAAATCTGTTCATAATTTGTGCACTTATGGTAGTTCCTGAGTTTGGCAAAAATTGGATCTAGTAGCTGTGTCCATGCACACTATTCATAATCATTCAATTGTTCATTTGGACGCCGCCTATGGAAACACTAGGTGGCCCTTGTGTAAACTATTCCTTCTCCAGTATTTGGAAAGCTACATTAAAAACTCGGAAGTTAGTCAGGGAATATTGTGCTAGAGCATAAGCATCGGATCTGGCTACCAATCATGGCTAATTGCTAGGCCCTTTGGGCCCCTTGCTGTAACACTACTCGTGGGTGTCAAAAAATTGGTTCGTTTTGCTGTTTTTCGTGGCTTTGCTTTACGTTGTACTGCTTGATACAGTTTTAATAAATAACGACGAATACTTAGCAATTAGCGTGTGTATTTTGGACCAGGCGGAAACGCTAAAAGTCGAGGTAATATATCTGCTTACTTTATTCGACCTAATTCATAACCAAACCTAGCTTTAAAACTGCCACCGTTAAGCGATCCATCTTTTTCCGCAGCTCCTCCCCATGATCCCCGCTCTTTCTGATCCTTAACACTTAGTTTATGGTTGTGACAATTTTCCTAATGACTTAGTTTTTTAACTCCTACGTTTGCATCTGTTCTTTTTTCAGTGTTGTGGGATAGTTTCTTACAGAAAACGCCATACTCCCCGTTTGCAAATAGCTCCTTACATATTTGTATTCCTTTGAAATGGCTATGCCTTGTCCTTTGACCTGCCATTACTGGGCGTCACTATGTTGTGTAATGTAGCCCTTAACCGGTTTAAGTTCAGTTTGAAATATTTACTCTGTACACCTCCTTTCATTTTCCCATAGCAACGGCAGCAGTTGGTAAGTTTAAACTGCACTTCTCCATCACCAAATAACCCTGACGGTCAAATTGTTTTAGCGACGATTTGCACCCTCTCCGGCATTTTATTCTAAAAATCAGCGCGTTTTTTTGACTGATTAATCGTTGTATTTTTCACCAAATTATGGGCTGTGCTTCGTTAAACTCTCCTCCACTGCTCTTGCCTACCACTAGAGGCATTCTAGTTGCACCCGGTCGTGGAGATTGTGAACCGGTTAACTATACTACGAGCTAATGTCGATCCCATCTTCGTGAGCTCCCCATCCTCCTAGAGAATATTTGTTTGCTTTTGGTGTATGATGAAGCTTTAGAGCCATCGTTGCATGTCTTGTTGCGTTTTACCTTCTCGAACTGATTATGTTTAGTTCTTTCTGATTTGTAGCCATGAGACAAACTTCTGCTCGACGGAGACAGCTTCAGTCCGCAAAACTTCCCCTTCCATCTTCAAATTCAAATGGTAGTTTTTTTTTCGCTTTTCTGTTTTGCGATTCCAATAAGCTCTATATTAGCCACAATGATATCGAAGATAGTTGATGTACATATGAAGTCTCTGTCCCCACAAATAATCATCAATAGCACTTCTGCAAATACATGTTTTTTTTTCAGTCAAAAGGGGTACTATATATGCTTTCTAGAAGAGTATCGGGAATCTAATGTCTATTTTTGGTGGTCGAATGTTCTTTCGACAAAAAGTGCTTTTCATTTGAGCAGAATTACCGTTTCTTCTAGAGGTAGTGAAAGTAGTCTCCGTAGTGGACCAGTAAATATTTTGAGCTGCAAGATAGACGACTCAACGACAGCTAAAAATATCAAAATAATGGCTCATTGGGTGCGCTGCTGATTGCAGTCATTTGTGAACTTGGAACAAACAGTTCTCGTTGCATCAGCCCTGTCCACAGTGCCTAGCCCCAAATCAAAATTAGTATTTGGTAGTATTTTATTGATGCATTGATTCTAAGTGAGTAACTCGGCTGGATCTGATCGACGTATATTAACTCGGTCATCTTGTTTTAAGTTTACTTAAATTGCCGAAATGAACCAAACATCGGTACGACGGGTATCGTCGGTTTCTCAAATTACGAGAATCCTAAAGATGATAAATGATTTCCACATGTGAGACGCTTTTAGGAAGTTAATCAGTTTTGTGCCCGGCAAATTTATGAAACTTTATCTTCTTGTGTTTCTAGATTTGGCTCTCTCGCTAATGTAAGCCCAGTTCTAAGAATACCTTGACAAACCTACTTATGTCATGCGTAATGATCAGTTAATTTTACTTAATCTTTATTAAGTAAGTTTTTTTTGTTCAGTTCCCCCAGTAATGAAACCGCTTCTTCAGTTACGAGTGAGTATTTAGTTTTTAATACCCTTTCGTTATAAGTGCATAAATCGCTTCTGCGAAGCCATAAGTTGTGCTGTGTTGATTGTGCGACTGCTGCATGCCGCTTCTAGTGCGCTGTGCAAGTGCACCGAGTTTTGTGTCAAACGCTGGATGCTGTTCGTGTTCGCATCGTTATCATAACCTTAAATTTAAAACTGATAATAAGCATGTGAATGCATCCTTTACCATTGACTTTTAAATGCCTATTTACTGAACACTTGAGAATATTGCATTATCTGAAGTGCAGTGATTTCGTAAATCCGTGGTTGCAAATGTGGTGGTTTGTTTCTCCAATTTACTTTTTGCCACTTCCAACTTCCTATTACTGCAAAGTCACATTTAATGTCTCTAAGGTGATGATTGACTTTTAAATTACTTCAACTTTCCGCTTCCTCAAAACGTACCAAGTTATATTACAATTTAGTTGCCTCCCTCTTGCATTAGTCTTTATCGAGCACTTCGTATGTGGCATTCATTTCTTGTTTTCCGTTTCTGTGGTCTTTTTGAAAGTTTTTTTTCAACGCTCCTTTTTTTTTCAAAACTGGTTTTTCAACTTATTTCACTTAAACGTCATTTTGATCATTACTGTTCCAATTTACGACTTTGTAATCGAAATGGGAGTGAAGCCAATAATTTTTCGGTACTTTATGTCGACCACTTGATCACACACATTGATACGAGTTCTACAAGACATTCCTTTTTTGATAGACAGTAACTTTCATTCGCGATAATGGGAATATATAGCTACTAAATATAAAGCCAATGAGTGCATGGAAATTTTATATTTATGCCAATTAAGAGTTTCTTCTATGAGTCTAACACGAATTTTACTTCCCTTCATCTTCGGTTCGCGTACCTTCTAGCTGCTACGATAACCACGCCGGTAGAACCTCAACTCCTTTCTCCTGTTGACCTTACCCCATACGTTCAATTACTCATTTTTAATGGTTTGCTGCTTTGTATTCAAGTAATCTCCGTTCTCATAGCCTCCCCTCCCAACTGACACTAATCCTCCCTTCACCACACTCCTTACATTTGATCAATCACCTTTTGTCTTTCGAACGTATTTCTTTTGTCTCCTTCCCCCCTTCCCTATCATATTCAACTTTATGATAATTCTGTGATAAAAATAGAGGAGCGAATTTTGTAAAGTATTTGCTTTTGAGGGGTCACTCGGTCATGCTGGCCTTCTGAATCCCACCGCTCTTAGAGGTAGATCGGAAGAGTTTTGTTTACTGTTCGCAGATACCCTCATTTCCTTTCTGATTATCATATCTGTTTTTTTCTGTTTGCATCGTTTTCTCTACGTTTGGTGTTTTTGCCGTTTCTATCATTAGTGGCCTTTTTCGATAGCAAAGCGGTCTGTCTTTGAATATTACTACAAGACTATTATCGGACTCTTAAGTGAAATTTCAAATGCTCTAAACGATAAATTACGATTAAGTTCATTGTTAATGTAATGTTCCTCGTAGTAAAGCTATGCATTGATTCATGCGTCATTAAGATGTTTGGTTGCGTTAACGTTTTTACTGTTTAGGTATTTTTTAAACTTATACATTTGTCTTTTTCTTCTCTTCCCACATTCTACTACTTCTCACCACTCTACTCACATTCGTGCACGCACGCGCTTTTTTGACGCGTTCGCACGCCCCATTACTTACTTAAATTAATGCGTAAAATTGCAATTTCCTAGCTTGGCCACGCCAGCGTTTCTTGAATACTGTCTCAAGATACTCATCAGGCTGCTCCTCAGGTTATTCTACAATGGTGAACAACCACAATTGCGGTGCGGGGTTGGTCCCGGATCTGCCCTATCCCGACTACACTCATCCTGCTTCCGTCCCGATTTGTCGCACTAGACCCTCTCCAGGCACCGAACCATGTCTCTTTGACTCCTCGCGTGGTGAGCTCTCTTGGTGTGAGCAATCCATCATTAGTCTTCGAATGGGCTCGGAATCAGACCTCTCCGACAGCAACACAACCTCCACTAGTAGTGATATCAGTGCTAACGGCAAGATCGTGCCCGCCGACGGTACTGTGATGACTACGCAGGGCAAACGCACCGTTGAAGAGTTGGATTCGCAGTTGGTAGCTGTGCAGAAATTGGTTCGACGAGAGCGGGCTCGTAAGCAGCTAGAGGAGGCCTACAAGAATCGGTCGGTGGCGAGTCTGCACCTCTTGGCAATGAGTAATGCGTCGACGCCACCTCTGCCTCTACACTACGCCACAGTGTCTCGCCGAAGTGCACCACGCGCCTTTTTGATGCCCAAACCCGTCGATTTGCGCAACCGCACACCTGTGCAGCGTAGCAATTGTGTCACTACTTCATCGCCACCGCTGCCTTCGTTATCCAAACCACAACCAGCAATACCCATCGCCGCTGTTGTCTCCACCTCCTCCCTCTCTGTCTTCATGCGCGATGCTGAATCGGACTTTGACAAGGCGCTCTGATCCACTTTTGGGGTCTGTGGTTTGTGTCATCGCTAGAGAAAGAAAGAGCACGACTCGAATACTCACCACGACTTTTCAACCCTACCCTTTTCCTCCTCTTTAGCACCGTTTTAAATAAATAGGTCTCTCTCAGTGGATAGAAATTGACTACTAAATTCCCAGGGGCTCCATATGTGCATGCTCTGTGTGTTTGTTCATGCATGAATTTGTCAACTTTGTCACATCGCATGTGCTTTTTTGCTTAAGTGTGGTTTTTGCATCTGCGGCGACTGCGCCCGGTAATTGTGGTTTTTTTGTTCCAATTTGCAGATCCGCAGTCTCTAGTGAGTGCACGATGAGTGTGATCGACGAGTCATTTACTCTTTCCGCCTTACCCTCAACTTGTGTATAGATACCCACGCAAAAACCACAGTCAAAATGCAAAACTCATGTTCCATTCCCACTTTTCACTTATCTACCCTCTTAATCCGTCGTTCCTGTCGTCGTATGTGCGTTTTTAAAACTTGTGATGACATTATTTGACGTGACTACTTTCGCCCCAGACTTTCGAGCCGTCTTATGATGACTATACTTTATTTTGCTTTGTTTATCCATACTTTCCTTCTTTCCCTCCGTCCTCCCTATTTGTAGTATTTTGTTCCGACCTGGTTTCCGCGTGCTGGTGTTGTTTCACTTAATTGCAATATTAAAAAGATCAGATGTATTGGTTGATCATACGAACTTGTTGGTAGTGTTTCATGGATTTTCCCATTGCAGTAACCGGAATCTCGAACAGGTTTTGCAAGGATTTCATTTGTGACCAAGTACATCGATCACATTGACCCCTATGTAGATGTCTATTTATCATAATTAGGGTCAAGCTGTTTTCTTCAGAGCTGAAATATCCAATGCTCTTAATGAATTTTAAAACCGATAAAGTGGTAGTTGCCCGATATCTGATCGAGTGCACCGAACCCGTCCCAAGCTTAGAATCGGTTTGTGGTTCGTTTTCGGGAAAATCCGGGTGTTTACCGTTTTGTGACTATTAACAAAAAGGGAAAACACAAAAGATAAGAATATCTGTGTACAATTATATTAACGGTTTGCACAGGCATATTCAGAGCATCGAGGGAATGGATTCTCTGGGAACTCAAAGATCTTGCGATCTTTGGGGAAATAACCTGCAGACGTCATTTAAAAAAATCTCAGGAACTCGCTCTATGACCCTTACTTTTGCCCTGGGTTCCATAATTAAATATCCTTACCATAACCGCAGTTTGTTGACGATAAAAATGTTAGTTTTGTGTGACTTTCTTATTTCCATAAAACTTCACAACACTGCTTTACATGACAAGATAACGGGGCTCCGGGCAATGCAGCATTGCTTTTAATGGTAAAAAAATTTCAAACCCTGACCCGAGCGCTCCATTGGCATCGTAGTAAAAGTGATTTGGTCTTCGTGATAATTAACAATCGACAACGCATTAATGGTTTTGCTAGAGGTGTCTGCAATCTCAGAACACTCCCCTGTATCGATTCACTCGAAGCTTCCCTTTTCACAGCTAATTTCTGAACATCCAGGAACGCTCCGAAGCCCTCTCTCCTGGCTGTTTCCCCTTTAAACGTACACCGAACCACTATGAGGTCAGAGAGAATCAAAATATTACAAAGATACGAAAGGGAAACCATCCTGTCTTCGGTATTTCGCTAGCAGCCACGTACATACTTCGTGTCTGCAGCGTACTTACACCCATCGATAGATTGGGACATCTGTATTGAAATATTTGCTCCCTATAACTTGGTGACAGCAGTTCCTCATGGCCGTGTACCATGCATATTGCTGCAGTAAATGGTCAGGTGGCTACGTTACAAATGGTAAATAATGCTTCTGAAGGGAGACCGCAATGGCAATGGCTTGGATTGGCCAAATTAGTTGAGACGTCACCAATAGTATCTGCGCCGCTTCTTGAAACAGACAAAAGTCTGATGAAAGTCTTTAAAGATTGTTAATTCAAAGAGAGAGGTAGCCCCGAAGTGGAAAGATTGTTGAAATACCTTTCTGTGATTCAGTTATTGAAGAAGTTTATAAGTAGGCAAAATTCTGGACCTCGCACATTGTGGGATTTCCATGAAAGTCTCACCAATCGACAACGTTAAAACCTAGACATAATGAACTAAATTATGGCTTGATTGTGATGAGTTTCCTCAGTGAGTTGCATAGTGCTTTTCAGATGATTAATTTTCTTCGGAATTAAAAGACATCGAAAACATGTTATCCATTGGCAAAGTGGTACGCATTGAAGTAGGATCCATTACTCAGTTAAATAGATTTTATCCTTTCAAAAATAGTAATAACCAGAAAAAGCACTCAATTGTATCAGATTAGAAATGTCACACAGACGGGATGAGTGGATGAAAAACCAGCGGCCCAAATACTGTTGTCAGCTAGTAGTGAGTCCTACAAATCTCGGGGTAAAGTGCCATCGTAAAATCATCTGGACTAAATTAACCCTTTGGATCGCGGTCACAAAAGTTAAAGTACGACTTAATTGAAAGCGATTAATCTAAGAGGGAAAGAAAGGAATATATTAATAATTAGATTTGAGCCAAGCACTTATTTTAACGGGCAAGGGCGTTGATCTCCCAAGTATCTGGCTTTAGCACGTGAAACGACTTGTCATCTGGTAATGGAGAACAGGATTTCATATTGTAGTTCATATTCGAAAACGGCCTCTATGTTTTATTTAGACTGTGTTCATATCCTGGTGGTGTGCCTTGCAAGCGAATCATATTACCTCATCCATGTTTCTCGATTTCCGTTAACCGTTGGAGCACACAAATACCACCCTTCAAAACCGGCGAAATCACAACAGCCTTCATTCCGCAGTAAAAATAAGGATGTGTGGAGCTCTGTAGAATATAGCGCATTAGAGTTGGATTTCGATGTTATACGCGACTTTAAAAAGTTGCAATAATGTGTTTTCATGACATTTCAGACGTTTCTCAATTGGCATTTTGGTAGACGGTGTGTTTTGATAGTGGCCATCTTCGGCTTGCTAAAATATTGAAGTACAGCGCATGAATTCAACGTTTCATTTGATAAAAACCTTTCCTCACAGCAATCATTTCAGCCGACCTTGAAATTTACCAACCTTATCATTAGCATTCATTTATTTATTTTTAGATACAACGTAGCCACTGAAGGAAGGTTTCATGTTAGTCGATTAATTTGCACAAGTGACTTCGCCTAATCGACCACTGTTAAAATGACACGTTTGGATGATAGCGGAAATAAAAACACTTAAATGTAGTCTTTTCAGACGCTGAAGCTTCTTATAGTGTGTAACGTTGTACAGCAAACTGAATACTTCCTGATGTTACGATTACTATATAGTACTTTTCAGCCCTTTATTGTTTCTCCGGATTATCGCGGAGGTTTTAACAACATTCATCGGTCAAATTTTACTCTTTTATGCATCTAAATTTATGTCTAAATGCAAAATTGGGATGCAAAACTCCGGTCTTTACATGAGATAACCGCAACACAAAGACCTCATTAATTGACGGCAAACATTATTTTTCCTAAAAAATAGAAGTTATTTATTCGTTCGTACTTCTGATTCACAATCCGCGGGTGACGTAAAAACTTTAATAAACATGATTTGAAGGACATTTCGGTTACGTGAACAGTGATCCTGATAGTTGAGGAAATAAAGAAAACTGCCAATTTAGAGTCTAAATTAGTGATCGCTTTAACAATGCTAATTCTAAATCGGCTGTTTATCTGCTGTATTTCATTTCCAGTCTGTAAGCAAAAGTACAGAGGTGAAATACTTCAGACATAAGAATTAATTAGTTTTGCGTTTTTGACCATCTTATCTGATATTACTTGACCTCTCTGTGCTCTGCACCCTTCCACAAGACTTCGTATGCGATCACACAGGGGGCCTTCGCTGTTTACACGCCAATTAAAGAATAGGCAATGATTTTGTTTTTTTTTTTTTTTTTTTTTGCCGAGGATGCAACAATTAACCACGATACGCCACAAAGCTATGGAGATTCACATATGGTGGACAAATTCAAAGATTGGCATAATAAACATTATATTCTGTCACTCTGCTTACATGACTCCTCCATTCACTTCGAATAAGCGGTTGATTTAAATTTGTCTTCACATGTGTTTGGCTTTTACTTTGTGGACTTAAAAAGTAGCATAAATGAGGAAAATACCTGTTTGTAATTTGTATGGTGCGAAATTCGACTCTCGGCTGTTCTTACTAACATAGCGAGGTAAGCCAACTTCACTAACAGCGCGATAATCCTGTGGATGCGCGTCAAGAGGACTTCGGGCACCTAATGACAATTGCAGCCGCTTGAACAAATACTCTTTTGTTTACACAATGGTCTTGCCAATGTCTTTTCCATTCACTGAAATAGCGTTATTCCACAAATGAGTCATTTGGCCATAAACTGTAACATAAACAAAGCAGAGCCCTCCAAGCCATTTCATTAATAATCAGTCATTTTATAAGCCTCTGGGCCCTTTTCCTGTAGGGAGCTAAGTTTCTGCAGTTGTGGTTTTCATGAGATCTCACCAAATTGTGCATCGAAATATGCAGCGCAACAACTGTCTTAGCTCTTTTTGGGTGGAATCGAAACAGAAACAAGTGGGAGTGCTTTGTTTGCATTTTGAGGAAATAGGTGAAAATAGAACAATTTTACTAATTTTACAATTGTGCCATATTCGCATAGAATATTTCTGTTTTGTATAGTTCATTCCCAAAAGACAAAGCAGTCCACACTAGCACACTTTTATGCTTCCGGATATTCTTGTGATCTTTGGCCTTTGCATATTCGTATTCACATCGCCATCGAAAAGTCTGGACATTCCACAGTACTGGGTTATCGATGGGACATTCGGGTGAGGACCGGAAGTGAGCTTGCGTCGGTGTGTTACGGATACATTCACTTTGTTAGCTCATGCTGTGCTGAGTACTAAAACCTGTGATTTCCCAAATAATTTTGTGAATAAATTAACCTTGAACTACTTTAATCATACAGCACTTCATGCTCAAAAAGCTAGATTAGAATAATTTCTAATTTTACTTGACTCACAACAAACTACTTGATACCGTTAGCAGAATATACTATGTTGAATCACATTTGATGACCTGTAGGAGTGCCTTAACCGAAAGTAGAAGAATGAGGAGCAGATTATTTACAAGGCTAGAACAGCCGCAAGTTGTAGCTAGCTCATAGTTCGACGAATGAGTTGGTTGCATTCACACTTACACGATCTACGTAACACAATAGGACATGAACAAGTGGGGGAAAAGACGGGAGAGATTTGCGCAGTTAGGTGTTGACGGTGAAATAAGAAGGTATGGAACCTAAGCACCATCTCATCTATGAAAACAATTGCTTGAAATGCTATGATAAAGGTCGTAGGAGAATCGATAAGAGGCAGATTTGTCATTAAATTAACAGCTCTAAGTGTCAATTCGATAGATGAAATTAAAACCAAGTGAACTGTGACACAGAAGCGTCCAAAATGTAAAAGATGCGGATTGCTTGACAAGCTTACAATCAATACAGCTGAATCTGCGGTGCACCGCTGACATTATGGACCATGCTAGTAGAAAACGTCGAATATCTAAAAATCGGGCTAATTGGTTTTAGAACCGCGAGACTATTATCAAATAAGAGCCTTTTAAAGAATTGCTCAATTTGCGCATTTTTCATTGTAGACACAGCCAATGGCCTCTTTAAGAACCCATCTTCTACTCAGTTTCACAGAGTTGACAATTCAAAAGTTTACTTGAGTAGTCTGGTCATTTATTAAGAATTGTACTGTAACAAGTTAGTTGTTTAACTCTCCGATTAAGTAACGAGTTACTTAGGTGCTCCACCATTGTACTGTCACCAGGCGGCCCGGCCTCCAAACAATTCCAGGGAAGTCCCAGGGCGCTGGAGTACTACAATTCATTTGTGTTTATCTGTTTAGTTGACAAATTAAAAGCAGCACATTTCATTAAGGCTTTCAAATTTTATGTAACAAAGTGGTAACATCTATACGTGTTTCGGAAAATTATGTGGCCGTGGTCGATTTTGGCAAAAAGGAAAATTTAGAGGAGAGCACTCAATGCGGCGTCTTACGCACATATGCGGTGATGAATGCTCGACGTCACAGAGTACGTGATCTGGAGCGATGAGGTGATTTTCAGCCGTTATAAACAAAGGAAGTTCGAGAAATCATAGCTACTGAGTTGGTGCATTATGGAGTATGCAAGCATTCTGAAAAGCACTTATTAATCAGGAAATTACACGAGCATAGCACCATCAGCTTGCAAGCTATTGGTAGTGTAGCACCTCAGCACTTCCCTGAAGAGGTAAGAATGTATAATACTCAGGCTGAACATGTGCTATTGACTTACAGGGGGACATGGGGCTACTGGCGTGGCTCAGAGGTCAGGCTGCCCGGAAGCCGAACAATGGCGGAGCCCCTAAGTGGCCAGTTACCAAAACCGAATTTTAAACGAACAGTTAAAGCATTACAGTTCGCCCAAAACAAATTGCCTCTCTGTTCAAAATTAATCCGACACGGCTAAGGCTGTGCAGGTAAAAAGAGAGGCATGATTATCTTGTGTGCATTTCCGGCCCATAAAGACCTGCACAATAGATCCAGAAATGCAAGTCAAATTGAAAAATGTGTTTACTTTATCGTAATGACCAACGTCTGGAATGGAATTTTCTTCATTTCTAATAGTTCTAGCATTCTAAAATAAAAGCAAAAAGTAAAATAAACAAATATGCCAAAAAATTTACCTATCCTACTGCTTATGAGATCTCCCATACTTTATATCTTCTGCGCTACGGTCTCGCAGCGACACCACAGATAAGTTGGCTTCTGCACATGAGTACTCTCCTTGACTCAGGCTTCCTCGTTTTGTGCTACGAAAACTCGTGAGCATTGAATTTGTAATAATGCCAGACTGAAGCTTAATTCGCTTCGCCCATACGTAATTCCACGTAACCCTTCACCCTAAAAATTAAGTCAGGGGTGCTGAGAGAGAAAAGGCCTTACCTACTTTTGGATTTGCGAGATTCAAAAAACTACGCTTAAACACAAAGAAAACTGATGTCTACGTAGTGTTACGGTACTATCTGCCATTTTCTTTGCAATTTTTTATTCAATAATCTCAATTTCAATGAGCGCCATTGATGCTACAGCCGTATACTAAACAGTGTCCTGGAGATGGGCCACAGTGTCCATAATATGCAGAGGCCAGGTTAGGTGATGTTTTTCGTTTGATAAGTGAATTCGCTAGGAGTGAAATCATCCGTCCTTTTATGTTATTAAACAGCATGAAACTCCGCTTTCTCTTCGTTACTTGATTTGGAGCTAAACTCCCAAACAATAAACCCATTTAACATAGCTGAGTCGTGCAATCATGCGATATTCCCTTTGCCCGGAACACGACCTTACAACCCTACTTGAGTTCCACCATTTAAATTTGAAATTTGAGTTATTGATGTTCAAAATGATCGTTTTCGCCGAACTTGGAACCTTAGCTCTTGAAGCCACTTTTGAAGCACCTTTCCTATTCGAGTAGCGTTGCTTAGGCACTATTTTCATGTAGTAATACCTTTTGATGATAAAATGGAAAAGACTGGGAGGTCTTCAATGCCATTTTAAGTAAAAATTAGGGTGGGTTGTAGGGGGATCAAATGAATCGCAATGTGGCATAACGTCCTCTAATCACGTCTCACTGCCGCAAGCCTAGCCCAATACCCAAGAAAAGTAGAATACTAAGCATTAAACATTTTAAAAGGCAAGACATCCTTTCGCTAATGATGACGAATGTGAAGCATTGACCCCGCGCAGTGATCACTACTTGGAATGGCAATGCGACCATCGATATGACATTATGTCCTCTACCAACGTATTCAATATCATTCTGCCACAGCAAAGGCAGAAGTTATCAGATCTACTATCTGTTAATGGATTTTTCATGGGTAGCGTTTAATCTGATAACGTTTACCTGCATGGATTATTCAACCAAATCTCTACGTCATTGCACTTAGTTTGTTGCTCACAGCAACGTGAAATCGCGGATACAACTCTTAGTTGTGTCCTGTGGGCCAGTCGTTGGACGCCACGCGCAGCCACGGAGGCCGGAAATTCCGCATACTTCGTGATTTTCCCTTTAGGATTGTGTGGTTAATAAGTTTGCCTTACGGTTGTTCCACCTTGCTACTTTTGCCTGTTGGCACAAAGTCTAAAAGATTCTGTATTCAAATACTACACATCAGGGCTCCGCACACTCACCTGGTTAGGTTGAAAAAGAGCATTTACGAAAGTTACAGAGAAGCGTATCTCTTGTTCAACAACAACCTTAATGTCGACACTTCCCACCTCTCGTGATGTCGTATATCGCTAAATGTAATTATTTGCAGTTATTGCTATTTCAAGGTTGCAGAGTACGAAAGTACGCATCAATGTGTATAAGTGCTCTACTTAAATGATACAAAAACACTTTAAAAACAGGGAGTTATGGGTTAAAATAGCACTCATTGGCTAAAATCTGTGCTGAGAAATATCTTTTGGAAAAGTGTTGCGTCCTCCGGGCTCCGAGTGCAGGCTCCCCCATTTCCAAGTCTACAGCCATAGCGTACTGGCAACTCCAAATATGTAAATCGACCAGCAAATGCCTTTGGACTTAATGTCTGGTAACATAATTAGCCTATATAGGGATATATATAGTAATATATAACAGAATAGCCTATAAGTGTAATAAAGTGCAAACTAAAAACTAAGATGCACCAAATACCAATAAAGCGGTATTTCAATGAGGTATTGCAAATGCCATTATAAGTTCGAATCGGTTTGGTTTTCTTTCGTATTACCACGGAGACATTATCGCATAGCGCCATAGAGTGTAAGCTCAAAACGATCGCCGAACAAACAAAAATCAAGAAGTACGTAGGCAACAATGAGACGCGGGTGTAACTACACATTCCGCCATTTAACTTCCTTTAGGGCCAAAAGAGGGCGTGGGAAGACTGTCGTAAGATATGCGAATTAAGTAAATATATTAAACACGGAAAATTCATAGTTAAAAGATGTTAAAAAGGTTAGTAAAGTAAACAAAAAAAAGGAATGAACACACAAGAGATAACTGAGAACGAATCAAGAGAAGGGGAGAGATAGAAGGGAGGTGGGTGACATCATCAGAAAACTGAAAAAAAAAATCATCACGAGGCGGGTCCGATTAATGATAGTGCAAAGGAGGCTGTAGGTAGTCTTTGTCATCGTTCAGGTATACGCCGACGGCTTTGACATGGAAGCCGATCTTCTTGAGTAGTCGGTGATCCACAATTAGACGACCATCGAAAAGCCAGGCCGGTTTGCACATCACATCATAAAGACTCTGGTAGTCTAGACCCTAAACAATCAAGAAACTCCTTCAAACAACTACACAACAAAAAAGGACAGTCATCATAGGTGGCCTATGTATCCTAAAATTTATAGAAGACGACCTTCCCTCCTGGTTCACAACAGTAATAGGCAAATAAAAGATCGCTCGACTCTGATTAAGCAAGAATATTGGGTGACAGAGAAAAAAAGTTTGCTTAAGGCTCTTCAATTCAGTGGGAGGAGAAAGGGTACACATCCTACAATGAAAACAGACATTTATTTTCACTTGTAAATCACATTTCTTGAGTGTGTTTGCACACTAGTGTCCTTAAGCTATCTCATTCACCACGCGCTCATTGTTGAGTCGGCAAATTGGCTTTCGAAGTGGAAGAAATCACCTATCAGGAATGTGAAACTATTTGGCGCGTGGATGTTACAAACCTCTCGATGAGGCAAGCAATCGGGCTTCAAACCATTACACTTTTATAGTCATGTGAGGGATTGGGGGAATATGTAATTAGGCTAATTGTAATTATTTGCAGTTATTGCTATTTCGTAAAGCAATTTACACAGGATTCCCAAGAACCTCATCGCACAAATGACGATTGCATCAAGGTAAAGGGAAAAGAAAGGAGCATATACAAATGACTCCATTGATTCAAATGAGAATTTCAACCTTATAGGCAGAAAAGACTGGCCTTAAATTCGTCCCACTCCGTGCAAATGACGATTGCATGGGAGTTCACAGCAGCCTCCATCGGGTTTCGACATATGGTGACGTTGGCACGAACTACAAGAGGAAAGGTGGGATATAGATAAGAATCTAGGAAGTTTTAAAAATTATGCTGCGGTTTTATTGAATACCAATAGGGATTAATAAGAGAAGCACAAAAATGGCACGCCAAATTGAAATTCAGCATCAAATGTGGCGGCTAGTGACGAAGTAAGTAAAAAGGTAAACACGTTAAAGTCGTGATACATCCTTTAATAGAGCTGATTAAAAAAGGTAAAAGTGAAGGCACAGTTTGCGCGGTGATTTACCTAAATCGGGACTTGAGGTTTCATTGAGATCAGTAATGATTTGTTGGTCGGAGACTTGAGGATCGAAAATCGCTAGATGAGCACACTCGGAGAGAAGGATGGAACATACTCGTATAGCTGGGCTCTCTCTATAGAATAAGGTACAAGTCATCCTGCAGGCCTTTGCGAGAGCGTGTACACCATCTCCGCGGCATTACTCTAAGAAGTTGTAATAATCCCCTACCACCACCTTTACGATTTGTAGGCTTGATGTTGGCGATTATATAGTTGAGCCAAGGCACTCCTAGTGTGGACTACCCAACGGTTGATCCAATACATTAACTGACACTTGAATACAAATTTATTTATGATAAAAAGGAGTGGTCGGAGTGTGGAAGATTGCAAGGATTATTCGACAAAGCTTACATTATATGCATGCAGTATTAACAAAAAAAACGGTCAATTAATCATTCGTAAAATCCGCAAGCTTTTAAACAATTTAACAACCATTTAATCAGCGTTACTATGCTCATACAAACGATGGATGGTCGTCTCAACTCAGTGCTAAATTCTAGATATCTAATGGACAAGTTTTGGGGTGAACAAAAGCTGGAGAGCACAACTTAGGTGCGAGACCAACTTTTCAAATTTAGACTAAAGATACATTATGAAATCGACAACTGAGTGTGCAAGCCAATTTCAGCAAGAGCGTCGTTTAGTTCTCATTCCCTTCTCTCAAAGATGACAATTAATTCTAAGTTAAGAAGTCGCTACTAATATTACTAACCGATGATATTTTTATCTGGTTCTGTTTGAGCAGCAGAGTAAATAGCAAATGTTACAGTCGCCCACATTTAGCTCTGCTGAGTTGCTACTAACGTCGTCGAATAATTTTGATCATACACTTTCAAGAAATACGGCCACGATAGTTGGATCGCATCCTCTATTTCGCTATGTTGAACACAAAACGCAGGAGAATACCAAACGATTTATTCATGCTGTGTTCACGGGTTCACTTAAAAAGTCTTCTTCCGCCAAGCCAACTGATTATGCAAATTTCTGTTAAAAAATAAACTCCACTTCATGGCATATTTGTACCTTTAGAAACTCCTAGGGTTCTTCCGCAAAATCCCGAAACTAATTCTGCAATATCTAGTATCTTCGCCTAACATAGAGCGAGTGGTTTCTACCTCCATCAAAGATTTCTCACTCGAAAACAATAAATGAAATAGTATGCTAAATGTTCATTTCCGCGCAAAACAATCACAAATTACTTCAAGGCAACATATTCAGTTTTAACAAAGTAGAGAAAACACTTTGGTACGGCTAGACGAAGGGAAGAGTGCATGTGGCCGCTAAACCAAGCATATATGATAGAGCGAATATCTCACCACTGCACTGACCTAGTATCCCCAGTGTCTTTTTTAAAGGCGAAGCCGAAGATGGCGACCCTTTTGTCCCGAAGATTGTTAAACATTGAGCGCACAATGGACCGCGAAAATCGCTCTATTTGGTGGTCGTTAAGTCGCAGCACCATGTTCCAATAAGAAGCCACCTCCGGCAGGTTCAGTGACTCACAAATATACGTCTGGGAAGAAAATACCCGAGGCAGTCAACCCCTCAAGATAGGGTGTCCAAAGGGGCATAGTGAAAAACGAACTAAATTCCCAATGTGCACACGGCGCCTAGACGCAGTTAGGGGGGTTCTGCATGTGACTGATCGGGTAGCATGTCTGAGTCAGAAGTCAAATGAAAGTTACTTCAAGCGCACAACTCGACAGGAAACATAGAAAAGAAGCAAAATATGACAGATCTAGATTCCCCTCAAACGCATCCATCACCAAAGCACTTAGCAATTATGCTTAAATATACTGACCCTAATCGCATTATCGATAAGGTACATGTAAAAATGAACAGAATCGCGTCGAATTGACGCGAACTCATTCCAGCAGACGACTTACAAGATTGAGAATATCTTTACGGAAGCAGCTGCCACCGAAACCGAGACTGGCTTGAAGGAAATAAGGACCGATACGAGAGTCGCGACTGATAGCCATGGCGACCTCGCGGACATCAGCACCCGTCGCCTCACAAATCGCCGAAACAGCATTAATACTGCTGATTCGCTGGGCCAGAAATGCGTTGGCCGCCTGCATGAGTCGAAGGAACCGGCTACACAAATGACACCTCCAGATCTTCCTTTTATGAACGCTAGCGCTAATTGCTACACCGTTTACTAGGGTTAACAAAGGCATAAAGAGTTACCTCTGGTAACACCAATTACCACTGTTGGATTGCAGGATAGGTAAAAAACCAAATTCCGTAAAATTTAAAAGGCATCATAGGATGTAAAATTTTCATTGAACCATTTACTCTGTCCGAATCTCAAAGTGCCTATCTATTGGCAGGGAGGCAAAATATTTCTTAGGAAATACGCACACGAAAACCCCCACCATTTGTAGAAATTATACCACAAATACCGTGATTGTTTGCAGAAGTGTGCGACAAGATGTCAGTTTTAAAATACAAATAAACGCCTATATTAGTTTTGATGGTGTTAAGAGCCGAATAAGTGGAAATAAAGGAATGCAATAAAAATGAGAATGTGTACTACTCACGAGTTTGGAGAGCTCTGAGGACCAAACGGAGGTGAGAAGGATTCTTTCTTCGGGAATCCAGTGCTTGTAGACCCAAGTGAGCATCTCCAGACCGCGACGGCCGGCAGGCGAGTCCTCGTCGCCACCAATAAGAATGCGGTCCGGGTAGAGGAGATCGTTGATAGCCGTGCCCTCGGCGAGAAACTCGGGGTTCGACAGGACTGTATGATCGAGCTGATAAGAGTATTGTTAACGAAAAATTCAGTTTTTGCGAGACGATATTAGTTGCACAAGTAGTTGAGACCAGCACATTCAAGGACTCACATGACTGGGTGACTGAAGGTTTAAAAGCTCAGCTACACGAGCTGCAGAGCGGACCGGAACCGTGCTCTTTTCGACTACGACCTTCGAAGTCGTGAAGCAAGAGGCTAACGTTCGGGCTGCTGCTTCAAGTGTGGTCAGATCTGCAGCGCGTCCCTAGGGAATGCCAAATTTATGTTCAAATAGAAGGGTTCGTCGACAACGTATATTTGTGTTTTTGTACACGCCAAAAAATAGGATGTCTAGTTTAAAAATTACGAAATTTCATAAATATGTGTGCATCAATCGTAAAACAAATGCAACATTAAACGATACGATTTGAGTTCAAGATATTTAAGAACTAGGCAAAAAGAATTTAAGGCAGGGATTGGTCTTTCATATGAGTGGAAGGAATTGTGGCTGTAAAAACTACTCAGCTGCGTTCAAACAACTTACCATTCCGATTCCATAATTCTTTGTGGGGGTGTTCACACAGATAAAAATAATATCCGCTTCACTAGCGTGCATATTAACATCCGTAGAAAAATGTAAGTTCTTCCCTCTACAAGCTTTCACAACATCCAAAAGACCAGGCTGAATGGAAACAAAATTTTTAGCGGAGTTATTAAAACTTATTGAACCCACGAGAAAAAGTGTTCCTACCTCTTTAATGGGGAGTTTGTCGGAATTCCAAGCGGCGATTCTTTCCGCATTGCAATCGACGACGGTGACTTGAATTTCTGGACATTTAAGTGCGATCACAGCTGAGGTTGGTGTACCCACGTAGCCGGCCCCGACACAGCAAATCCGATCAACTTTTACAGGTTGACTTCTCATTATAATCTAAAATACCACGGTCATCAATGAATAAGTCAAAATTGACCTCCAACTAAGGCACAACAATCCATAATGAATTTGATTACTTTGCAATGACATGGGTCAAGCGGGAGACAAACATTAGAGAGTACGTTCTTAGTTATATATATGCTTGTCACGAATGGAATACTACGTCTCTGCAAAAATCGTATTCACATAAAGCCAACAAGGATTTAAGACTTAAAAGACGCAAGGCATTGAAAAGTTTTAGTAAACAAAACAGAAATACGATTGCAAACGAGCTTACCGTAGGGAAGTAATGAAAAGGCCGCAAAAACAGACGACTGCAAAGCCATGCTTATTTAAATAACTTACAAAATAAAACAAATTTTGGGTCCCTAGGTAACGTTAAAAAGCTCTTCAAAGATGGTGAAATACTTTAAAAATAACATTTTACCTCCTAGGCATTTAATTAGCTATTACATCTTTTACGGTAGTACTGATGTAAACTATTTCCTCCGAGATAAATTGAGGGTGGTTTTTAAATAGCCTATTTCAAATTATTCCGTATTATGGCGCTCCAAATCCTAAGCATTCTAATGGTGTTGCTGAAAATGTATTTTTAACTTCCAGGACAAATAAGGCTATAAGCATGATCTGGAGACCACACCGCCAATCTGAAGAACAATCTACGGAGTCTTAAGTGCTTACCTAATCAAAAACAGTGCTAATCTAAGTGTCGGCATATTCTATCGTTCCGTTATTTTGATCTTTATTAAATCCCTTGATTCGGCCATCACAATGTAGCCAGAGCGGCAAGATTAACACCCATGAACTTCCCGCAATAGTGATTGAATTTCGCTTAAGAGAATATATTCGATATTATCGTAACCGATGTGTCGTGGTGTTTTAACTGGAATAAAACTTTTCTATGCTTTTGAGCTAATATTAAGTGAAATGGGAAATGAGCAGTCCTAAAACTGCTGGAGACTGGACAGTGCTCTACAACGAGGATATCTCGTTCCCTATAGCTAGTCACAGGAACACTGGTTTTTAAAATGGAGTCTGTTAATGAAGTGCGAGCGTTAAAATAGTTCCATAAGGATAGTATTTTGCGTCTGCACCACTTTGCTACTTGGCTCTTACTTTATTGCCGTCTTAATCTGGGTTCGATTCTGCTAGCAGAGGGGTAAAGAAAGCATCGGTTATTGCCCTAGTTGACATTTAATGCAGGCAACAAACTTCTGCAGATTAGTCACTGCTAATGACGCTTCGGTCGTTGGTAGTACTCCCACAGACCACGGGATCAGAGTAGGTATCAAAAGAGGACGTCGTCTTCAACCTGTCCATTTGGAGTCTTTACGGTGTTTCTCCCCAGCTCCAGAAGCCCTTATTCTGCCATGTTAGAGATTATGACTTTGGTAATCAACACAAAAGTGGTAGTACTTTAGAATCGGATCCGTTTGTAGCTGCTACTTTTGAGCGCCTTAAGTCCTTTTGAAGTCGTAAGGAGAGGTTATAATATATCTGATGGTGTTATTGGCATACGGAAGAGCTAAGATCATTAGCATGGTCCGAAAATCATGCTACTTAGCGGGGTCGCAATATACTTTATACTGTGCATAAGTGAATTTAGAGTCCAACGAATTATCAAAGCATCAAGGTACCACTATGGGACGAACTCTGATTTGTTTAACACTTCTTTCATGATTGTCACCAAGTTACGATTTTCGACCATTATGATTATTCAGGCCGAATTCCTTCTATTGTAAGGACTTAGGTTTCTTGATGACACAACAAGTCAAATTTTCGAGGAAGTCATTATAATGAAGCCATATTTTATTTGCTTATATGTTGAGTTATATAGAAAACTTGGTATCTACAGGTTGTGCCCCTAGTCTACGGCTGGCCCGAAATCCGTGGAACTATCCTTCCACCCTTTCAGTGCGTCTGTAATATACAATGCTACGACTTTTAAAAGGGTGAATACACTGCATCAGTGGGAATGGCAAGACGTCCTAATCTAAAAGAACATCAATAGCCAATTCTATGTGTGAATGCAAAGTACTTACGTCGTGGGAGAGGGAATTTGCTACAGGTGGGTAAATTTTTGAAGACGCTTTACATAAAGGTTAAAAACGACCCCTGCCTTTGGCAAATTTCCTCATCCCGTATTCCGTAAGAAGGGCACCAACAACTGAACCGACACCAGACTTAACAGATTTCTAAAAGCTTTCTAAGTAAATTTTCACGGTGCCCATTTGACGATGGTAATTGCTCGAAGACCGGTACGACCGTGTCTCTACTAGCTGCATGGAACCCGGATCTATGTCTTGCAGCACTGAAATGAGAAAAAGTGGGATGGAAGAATAAATGCAGAATACCAGCTCCGTTAATCTACTTAAAGTCTCGCCTTATATTCAAAGTGTTTGCGTTCGGGCCAATTTTCTTATGACTAGAGATCGTTCTGCAAAAGCTTTTTATTGAAAAGTCGTCTAACCTTGAACATTACGAAGTCAGTCCACTTGTCTCTCCAAGTACGGTTCAAAATAAGACGAAAATTTGAATGTATTGGAACAGCCAAGATGGATTAGTAAAGCTAGAATCGGATGCTTCTCTGCATGCAGGAGAGTTTAATAGCTGACGTTTTCGGTTAGCTAATGACTTTTGAAGCGGAGGCCACATTTTGATGGTCTTTAAAAAGACTGAGTGAGACCTATCCTTAAAAGAAAAGAAGACGTGTATGTTCAGTGATTTGCAATATTGTCCGTATTTTCAATTGCAACCAAACATTAGCCTCTGTAGGTTGTGCTTTTACTCGGTGGCTTGGTCGTTAAGTCGTGCTAATATTCCATGTATTGAAACACTTTAAATGTTTGTTTAGCTTGAACTCTGGCTGTGTTAGTAAGCCAAGCCCAACAATAAGTCGACGACATATATCACACCCGAGTATTATGCCTTTTTTTATTTGTAGGGCAAACTTGGGGCCACAGAACGTTAGTTGGTGCTACTCTGGTACAATGCGTCCTCAAGAAAGGCATTTAACACAGTTTGCGTTACTGAACATCAAAATGATTGTTTCAGTGAAACGGAGTAACGAATAAACCAGACTCGTTATGCGCTTATGAAAGTGACATTTCCACTAATGTGTTGATCGTGCAAAGTCACCCGGTGGAGTATGACTCGGTGGCTATAATGAGGTCGATGAACCCCTATGCTTTAGGGATTATGTGTATTACAAGATTAAATCATGTATTGAAATCATTATTTACGAGAGAGGTAAAACGTACCAAAAAGAGGGTATTTGATGCAGCTACACTTCTTATATGTATATATTTTTTTGTCTAAGTTACGAAACTAACACTCTAGAAGATCATATGTAATACGATAGTGGTTTATCCCTCGGTTCTGGTGAGGCGCCACTTTTGTACTTTGAATTAGTTCCCTTGTACCTCGCTGGGTGGGCTGGCCTTTTGGGCCATGCCAATAGCCCAGACACCTCCTCCGTGCTGAATATATATATATTCTGCCCGAGTATTGTGTCTTCTTTCGTCTTAAGGGAGTCTCGGGACGCTACATTGGTGGCAGCGGAAAGCGAACCCGATCTTGAAAGACACGTATCCTGATTTTCTACTTCTGCGTGATAAGCCTTAGTGGGGCGGAAGAAGTACATATGCTACGGATGGGAGAATGGTGATGACTCCTAGCAGAAGGGTTGATGTCGACGTCTACCCTCGGCATCTCTCCCAGTCCCGTGTTCTGCAGAAAAGCTATTAACAACTGAAGCGACACTTGCCGTGAACCATCTGGAAGTTTTGTTACGGATTTCCCCTACCGTCCCCCATGGACCTGTTTTAAATCTTGTATTCCCTTATTCAAATCTGCTTTTAGGCCAGTGTTCCTGCATCTATCTATGGACACGCATGATGGCCGGCGCAGTTCCCCGTCCTGAATCAAATCCCTAAACCGGACGAAACCCTAGATCCAGTCAAGCTGCCAAGAGGGATCAATGGCGTTGAGGTCAAGTATCCCCGCAGTTGTACACTAATTTGGTGACTGGCACGGTCGGCTCGTGGGTGTTTCCTTACTGCACTGACAACGTTGTAATGGCTGACGCGGGAGGTTGACTTGCTGGAGCGTCGGGGACGACACTCAAAAGAGGAGGGAGGCTATGTAATACGATAGTGGTTTATCCCTCGGTTTTGGTGAGGCGCAACTTTTGTACTTCGAATTAGCCCCCTTGTACCTCGCTGGGTGGGCTGGCCTTTTGGGCCATGCCAATAGCCCAGACACCTTCTCTGCTCTAAATATATGCATATTCTGCCTGAGTGTTGTGTCTTCTTTCGTCTTAAGGGGGTCTCGGAGCGCTACACATGTCTGCAATACGTAAACGAACTAAAACTTCGACTATTTCGGCAGATTCGTGCAAGATCATATTGGCCTGACTTACGAAAAACAATTATTGCAAGGTCTCAAAACATTTTGAGTATTTTTTGAGATACTGATTATTTAAGCTGATCTAAATTCACCTATGTCATAAAGGTCAACCAATAAATAGTCCCGGGGGCGCGGGTTGTATGGTTATGTTTATGTTTAATAGCCTGAACAGCAATTGATGTGAAGACGCAGTACATGTGTGCTAGTGTCCTTCCCATTTCTTCGCATCCGATAAGTGCCGATGATGAAGACAATGAGGACGTTAGACTCCAGTCGGAGGTATAAGAATTATTTAGTTTGCAAAACCAATTGAAGGCCTTATTATTTATAGCAGATAAGGTTTTTCGCATTATAGCTCGATCGCCTTATTAAAGACGAATTTGATGCTACGGATTTTGACATACGTTTCGGAGCCGACGAGTCTTTATCTCCCCATTCTACACAGCAGAATGGATCAACGAAAGAGTTCTCTTTTGAATCCAGGGGAAGGGACCCGTCATTTACCCATGATTTACTTGACGCGGGAGAATCTGATGTAGAGGTATTCGGAAAGTTTTTTGTTTTGTTTGGTCTAATTTGTTCTGCAAAGGCATTGATGTCATATCTGTATACTAGTAGGTTAATGGCTTAAATTTTAACCTCGTGTATTATTCTTGTTATAGTAACAAGCTACTTCGGTTTAAGTTTGTGACATGGCTTCTCTGACTTTACAATTTGAGGGAAACATTTCGAAACCTTCGTTTTCAATTCATATGCATTTTTTGCTAGTAAACGGAAAATACGTTGATTTCCTCCCGTTGTGTAATGTAAACGGAGTCGTATTTTTCATGTGCAGAACCTGATATTTTTTCCAAAATTGCAATAAATCTGTGTGTCACTTGAGTTTTTCCATAAATTTTCGTGATATGCATTTGAATTATGTTTGAATACTCCCTTTCACCGGAGAATAGTTTACATCTGTGATGCTTCCTTTGCTAAAGTATATTGTATCGTCTTTCTATGTTTTATTGTACCAGGCAGGCAAAAGCTTATTTCTCATCGCATTATCAGCTAAATTTTTAGTGGATTTTTTATGAACGGTAATACAATTTGTCTGTCTTTGATTCGCATTTTCGCTGTATTTTAGTCTGTTTATCATCCCGAATCTCAAACGCCGGTTAGCCAGATCAGGTTACCTGAATCTTCACAAACAAGTCTGCCGATTATTCAGCAGATTTCATGCGAATCCCATCGATCAGCACAACAGAACTACCATTTTTTCTATCAACAATACCCTTTTACACCTCATTCGGGTGTTCACACTGTAATGCCTCAAGGTGTAGCTAAGCAGAACGGGGTATCGAGCCGTCAGTTGTATGACCCGCTGTAAGTTTATGTGTATAACCAGCAAATGGCTACTCTTAATTGTTCTTGTGAATTTTTCTTGTAAACTTGGTTTCTTTGGATAACACGCTTTGTAACGCGTTAGCCAACAGGTTGCTTGGCTTGCTTCCACTAATTTTATTACCTAAACATTTTTGGGTATATTTCATTTTACCTTCGGTTATCCAGTTTTGGTCCGGATTGTGATAACTAAATAATCAATGATCACGAATAGCGTATTCTATGCATGATATATCTGCAGTGGTCTTGATTTTTTTGTATTTCTACGACAACTTCCAGCTTACAACCCCACTGCGATGAAGTTACTGCGGTTAACACCACGAATTCGTTGCTTAAGGACCCCGTTCCCAACCAATTTTATTGTAATTCAATATCCCAACAGCCTGCTCTTAGTACACCCAATCTGTGTATTCGCACTGGTAAGTGGATTTGTCAGAATCTACTTTGCATCCTTTAGCTTACTAAAAATTCATTTTATTTGCTTAATGGGACTTCTAGGCGAAGGGTTTTCTGCAACTCAAGTTGAACAACATGCGAGAAGCTGCACACCAATACCCTCAAACTCATCTACACCTCATCAATCGAGTAATTTTTTACTGAACGCTTTTCTGAGACCCGTACTAAGTCCACAACCCGACGAAAACGCTTCACCAGCCCGTCTAAGTCCTATCCAAAGCTACCGCTGTGATATGAACATTGGTGTTCCACCAATCTCTACCCCAGGTGATTTTTTATGAATATTTTGTAATTTTCTGCGGTTTTGTGACAACTGCACACGGGTTGCGAATAGATTGCACGCTTTATGCCGATTTCTGTCCTTTGCCGGCACCGTTTCCATCTAATTATATTCTAATTTTGTCTTTTGACAGGTGAATTAGAAATAAAGGCTCAGCTCGATGAAAAAAATCGTGAGTGTTTGATTTTTGAGGCTCGTGGACGGCAGTTGAGGGAGGCGCAACAGCAAATAGGTTTTCTGAAAGAAGAAATAGCTCAGTGTGAGCGGGTGAGCCATCGCAAAGAAATCCTAGCAAAAGGTAATGCATCCCGTTTTACTCAGCTAGGCCGCAAGCGCTGTCATTTGCTCGTTTTTCTGTCACAATACCGTTTATCTTGCCTTTGTGTCTTTTAAATTGACTTGATTAGTATGGTCAATGCAAATCTACTTCATTTCAATTGTTTAAAACCGTCCTTTCTACTGACTCGGAAGCCTTACGGAGTGATTTCTAATGATCACTAAATGTACTTAGTCGTTAATAGGTCGGTTGAATAAATCTTACTCTCTTTAAGCTGAGATCGAGAACCTGACGCGAGAATTGGAACGAACAGAAGTTTTGAAAAACGCTGCGGAGAAAAGGAATGCGGAAATGACTGAAACAAATTCAAATCTCATCAATGAAATCACGGCGATGAAACACCTTAAGGCAGAGGTGTGCTGAAACTACCTTTAAGTTGACTGATGAGATGTTTTCAGAAGGTTGAAGTTAAACTCTCGTTTCAGCGTACTTGCATGCTATTTATTCCATCGCGTTGTACGTATTGACCCCAAAGCAGATTATCAAAATCCCCGATTTTATTAGGTGGAAAGGAAATTGGCGGATTGTGAGGCCACAAATGCCTCACTCTCCGCGCAGCTTGTGCAGCTCTCGAGCGGTGCAAGTTTGAGCCTAGCAAAGCAGCGCGAAAATAACCTAACTGAGTGTCTTACTCGTCGCCATGCGATGGCCGAAGACGTTCTTCGTGAAAATCTGGAAATGGCTCAGCGAAAAATTGTCGATAAGGTGAGTGACACCCTTTGCATTTTTCTCACCTCACCTCTTTAGGACAACGAGCTGGTTTCTCTTCGTAAAGACCTAGAGTCAGAACGCCTCCGCATTCAAGAGCTAGCCACCAAAAATGCTGAATTTGTTGAAAGTCTCCAGGACAAACTGAAAGCCGCACAAGATAGATGCAGCGAATTATCTTCCTCATGTATGATAAGGTTCATATCCTTACTTCTCTTTAGCTCTGTGTGTTGAAATTCATGAATTAAGACAGCGCATTAAGGAGGTTCTCACTTCAAAAAAGATTACCGATGATATTAACGAAATATTACAGGTACCCATACTATAGCTCTTCGTCTGTTTACGCATTACAAAATGAAGACAGTCCTTGATGTTTTTTCTCACCTTAAGGAAGAGTTGAGGGATGTTCGAGAACAACTGTCACTGTACGAACAAACTCTGGGTATTGATGCTGTCGGAGAGGTTGAAGCTGAGTTCTTGGCAGTGGATGATTCAGGCGCCGTTACTCCAAGACACCAGTTACCACTCTTCCATGACACTGGGGGTGCCGTCCTCTCGACAATCATAACTAAGCCTTCACCAGGCAGATGCCGACGGCGCAGTTGTCAATCGGTCACGTTTGCTACACATTTGGAGAATTGCCAAGACGGCGATGCTCTCGATTTGGCGAGAATGCGGCGACCCTCCTCGGCAATCGCTGCGCCTCTCTCTTCCACCTGGAATCATGAGATCGGCACTACTACGGCGGTAGCGGCGGCTGTTAGTGACGATGAGGTGATCTCGACTACACCTTCCCGACGGTAAGTCTTCCACTCGCCTTCAAAATAACTGCACGAAGTTACCATAATTCCTATTCTTATCTTATTGTGATTTAAAGTGATGCTACCAAAGGTTCACTTAATGTGGACTTTTTTAAATTCCGGAATGCTAAGTGATAGTAGTATTAAACCTCGGGATACTAATTTCACAAATAAGCTTTAAACTCTTCATGGTTTTCTAAATGACGCTGATGTCATTTTTTGGTACTTAATATTTAACTGTCGAAGCCAAATTCGAAATTTGTATAAATGCAAAAGCTGTTTTTGAATAAATTCTTTGAGTTGGTTACTTCAAATTAAGAAGAATTGATCAAAGTGGTGAATAATTTTCAGTGAATAATTTATGGAAATTCCGCATTTTACCATGAACCGTGAAGAAATAAAAAGTTGTTTTCAGACGTCACTCTTCGTGTCGTTAGAATCATAATGTGAAGGGATACTGCACTTGTTTTTTGAATTTGGCAAAGTTAAAGCTGATTTATTGTTCACTTACACAAAACAGCCTCGAAAAGCTACCAACTTTCTGAGCAATACACTGTGTACTATTTAATTCCCATCCCTATAAAGTTCAATTATTTCTCCTAGCTGTAAAAATCACTTGCTATATCACACTTCAAGTTGTTTCGGGAAACCTTACCATCCGTTAGAAATCATAATTTTTGAAGAAAAAGCATGTATTTATTGGAAGTATGACTGAATTGGGCGGAAAATTCGGCAGATCATTTTCACAACCGAATTCTTCGTCTATCGTGTTCGAGCTTATTTATGATGCCTGAGTCGGACTTTGCAGGCGTCAAAACTTCCTCTGTGTGACTACGTTCATGAAGCTGATTTTAGCTTCTGCAACGCCTACAATACGCATAAAGCATGAAATTAATTACGAAGTTCCTTTATAATCTCCGTTAAAATTATTTGAAGGAAAACGAACCCTTAACTTTCATTATTCTCGTGAAGGTCATTCACTGTCATTGCATTTTAATATAGATCATAATATTTTCTCTTTAGGTCAGCCTTAGATCCAACACCCGGCGTTAGTCATCCTACCACACATGAACATACCAAAAATTCCTCATCCAAGGCCAAAGATTCTATTATCTCACTGACCCTCTCTTCATATCGAGCAAAGCGCGCACAAATCACCGACCTCCACGAGAAGCTTTTTGCTGCACGCCGTGATCTGCACAAGGCTGCGGCCGAACGTGATCGCGCTGAAGCTGCTCGGGCTGATCTGCAGGTAGGTTAAAATTTCACTATTTGCACAGAAGGCATTGCCATCTTCTCTCAATTTGAGCAACGATTTTTAGGGTTATTGGAGTGTTAATTCTTGAATGCGGGTCGAATTTGACCCAATTAATTTCTCTTTTTTGTAAAATCGGTTAAGCAAATGTGCTAAAATACCTTTGACTATCTAGTTGCGGGTTCTTGCCTTGGAAAAGGAGTTGAACCTGCAGGAAGACGTGCGGAAACCTGGTCCACGTGAATCTGCACTCACTGGGCAACTGGAACGCCTGCAGACAGACTATTTTCGCCTAGAGTCGGAACTACAGGTATTTCTTCTTCGAGTTTCCCTCTTGATTTATTTTTCTCATTTTTATGGCGCTCATCGGTTAAATTTCAACCAGCTGCGAAACTCTTTGAATAATGGCATTATGGTTTACACAGGTACAAAAGATTGCCCACCATATTTTCAATTGTATACCTTTTAAATACATTTATTTTCGCAAAATGAAAGACATTAATTAACTCATATCACACGTTTTAGGAAAAATCCAATACCACACAGTAATGATCATCCGAATAAGTTCAACATAGAGATGGCATATTGTGTGTAGATTTAAGCTTCTGGGATATTTGATTCATTGTAACATGCGAGCATATTTTTTTCCTACCTTTTGCCTGGATCATCTTCTGGCTCTAAAATGAAACTTGAATGGTATCAGGACTTCTTTAAGTAATAATGCGGGTATTTGATCCCCTTCCTTATTTGCTGCAGGGCTATGAGCAAGGGAAATTATTCGCCCGATCGGCATGTGTTCTATTGAAAAGCATTTGTCACTTGTAAAAATGGTTAGTATTTTGAAAGTGGCATGACCCGTGTCGCACGTACTTGGCATTGACATCTACATACCCTTTTTTATCAGTGCGTCTCCTCTGATCCCGTTTTACTTCACAATAGTTACTTAATAAACCTATGGGTAAGCAGAACCCGTCTACTTTGTAAAAGCTAATTCTCTGTTTTGTGCGTTAGTTGAATGTATTGAAAATTTTGGTTTAAAAGAGACCTGTTATTTATCTACATTGCCGTGTGTGTGGTGCAGATGGCTCGCAGTCGGTTGCAGGACGCGCTTGCGGCGGAGGCACGTGCTGCAGCAGCGGAGCGGACAGCTCGAGAGCGACTAGATGCCAGCACCGCCGAGCGCGAGGCTGCGGTGGAGCGCGCCCGCGCTGCCTGCGAGGCGCACTACACCGCTGCGCGACGCCGTCTAGAGGCGCAACTCAACACCGAGCATGAACGTATTCTACTCCAGCTCAGACAGGAGGTTCTCCTTGCCAGGTTCGTCTCTACCTCACTTTTGTACAATTTATTAGCTTTATTTCGTTTAGGCCTGGGCAGCGATTTTCCCATCGATCTAGCCGTAAATGTCCTGTTTTCTCAGTTGTGGGAAACTCAAACACTTTTTCACTCCGCTGTCATCGAGCGGTAATCGGATTTAGTTTAGAATTATGAATAGGGGTAAGGTCGACTGGATTTTCGTTGCATTTTTAATGAACTGGAAATGGCAGTATTTTGTTTACTGTATTCCAGGCACCAGAGGAAATAGACGATAATCAAAATTAATTTCTAGTCACATGCTCCAATCGTTTCTTTCTTCACAACTTACCGACAAACTTTCACAATTATTAAATCATAATTCGCTAAATGCACAAAAATGAATGAGCATATAGAAGTATGTTTAACTCTCTTCCTTTAATCAAGGGTAATGTATGCGACGACGTGGTTAAATTCTATTGTAATCACTCATTTTCATCCATCCAGCATATCCGTAGCGAGTTGGGTTTATTGGTTGCTTGTAACAGCAAATCATTTCCCTTCAGTGGTAAAGCATTTTTTAAAAATTGCCTTAGGATGGGGTATTGTTGTGAGTAAGCAGCACAACTTCTCAGTTGTGGTATTTTATTACAGAGAAGAAACCACGGCTTATCGAAATGAGCTCGAAAATGTTAACAAACTGCTTCAAGAATCGAAAGATGCTACTGCTTACGCCGTGCAACTAGCTTTAACTGAGGTTGGTTTTGCTGTTTCCCCTTCCCCCCCCCCCCCCCCCACTTCGCAACATGTTATCATGTATCAGTACGCTAATAGCCGTTTTCTTTTGTAGTCAATGAAGGAACGCGAAAGCGAACGCATTCGGTTTTGGCGAGAAGAGTTACCACGTCAGGTAATTAGGTACTCTTTTACTCGATTTTGTGGATAATGTTCTAGGGTCGTTTTAATGCGATTTTTTAAAATCCATTTTCTGTGAAATCGTATTGATTTCCACTATTTATCGTTTTGAAATGCCTTTACAAATTCCTATGCTAGAGCAATCCTAGGATACACCACTTTCGCTATTTTTAAAACCCATAAACGGGCATTAGACACAGACACTCCTTGATATCGGTGCGTTCGCTTGCTGTATTTTAAAAGATCGAACAGGTGCGGCGTAGTTGGATATGCGACGCCGAAGTAAGGACGGCACTCGAGGCCAATCGTGTTCGCTCCTCCTGCCAGGTGGAATTCGAGACCCGCATGGCCGCCTGCCAAAGGGAGCACCAGGCAGAGTTGGAGCGTTTGCGTCGGGTACGTGTATGTGTCTGCGTATGCGTGCCATTACGCCAACGTTAATAAGTATATGGCATGAAATTGCATCGCTTTCCCATCTAGCCCAAATCAACTTGTGATCGAGCTGTCAGCTGCACCTATGTGACACCAACGCATGCTTTGTCTGCGCACGGTTGCCCTTTGTTGACCACTCTCATCCCGGACGACCTCTTTGCGCAACTGGCTTCTATCCCTGAAGTTGCTAATCTTTTGCCCCTCATTGAGGGCAATCTTGGGCCTCTTCTGCGCAACGTTACCCAGGCCTTGGTCCAACAAGTCTCCGATGCTACTACGAAGTCCCTGCTTGAGGCGATTAGTGAATTTGATGTGTGTAGATTATTTTTCCATGATTTTCCATTTTACTATCTGAGATAATACTTAAGCTTTTTTACCTTATAGGTACTTAAAGACTATCAAATTCAGTTAACTGAAAAGCTCTCATTGGAGGATCCTCACAATTCCGTTGTTGAAGCAGTGCTGAACATGCTTGCCAACCTAGTTAGCACCGATCTGTCTACAGAAATTGCGATCATGCGCAAACTTGCCGGTGGCTTCGCTGAATTCAGCAAAATTACAACTGAATTGAGGTATCAAAATAAGGAATCGTCGGCAGTTCCAGGTGGCGTCATAAGTAAAATTAGAGGTACTGCATCTATTCCATTTCTCATCAGTTTACAAATGTCCAGGCTGCTTTGCCTTTTTATGCGATTTGGGGACACTGCAAACCCTTACTTCTACAGTTTTCCGCTAGCTAAAAATCAGATGGAAAAGAGTGCAGCTGTCTAAAATGATTTCAAAAAGTGTATTTTGTGTAAATAACCAAGGTACCGGCAAAAGTTTATGCTAAAATCAACTGAAAATAAATATTTCAACGTGTGCATAAACTATCCCGTGTTGTAAACTATTTGTGGCAGTCGATGAATTTGGAAGTTTGTGTAAATGGCCTAGGTTTTGGCAACTTCTTAGTCGAGCAATTCCAGTTGTTTGTACTTTACTCAGAACAAGTTGACAACATTGTACTCGTGGTCGCGGTGAATTCTCTGCATAATCCAATTTCCCAAACAATTGTAAACCTCATTTATTTGTTGATGAATTTATTTATTCATATTTCCGAAACAGCTATTCACGTAACCCTATTTTCAGGCTTATAGAAATCATGCATCATCGTGCATTTATCGTAATGGGCGTATTCATTACCGATATAGCAGTATCCCTCTGAAAACAACGTTTTTATTTGCTGAAAAACTTCCATAACTATGAAATTTTAAACTACTCTATGCATAAAGACTAATGCGGATGTGACGATATTCTTAAACCCCATTATAAGCACTCGTTTATTTAAGAAAAAGGGAACTTTTTACACCTGTCTAACATTCCTGTGGTGATTACGGCCTCTCCGTTTCCTTGTAGCAGTAAATCTCTTTCCTTCAATGGCGAAGCGTTTCTTCCTTAATTGCCTTAAGATGGGGCGTTGCTATACATAAGCATCACAAGTGTTCATTATGACAATTCCATCTCGAAACAATTTGGTATGACTGTCATAGGGTTAATCATAACCCAAAGTCTTTGGGACGCAAACGTGCAGACCGGGTGGTAGCGCAAGCTCACGTGCTTGCTGGCCGAGGTAGTCAATCGATCCAGAGCGGGGGTCCGCGCGCCATCAGAGATATGATGAATCCATTGGGCTTATGAATCCATATATTTACCTATCTGCACCTCTATATAAGCCAACGGTTTTCCGAGTATACTTAGTCTTCAAGTAAAGTTCCGGATTTGCAATCTGTCTTCTCTATCTTATTCAAGCCTTTTTTCTCGGGCTAAAATGGAGATACTACCCCTCTCCTTACTTAGAGGTGGGCAGTGTCTATTCTCAACTGTGAATCGACATGAATGCTGTGGTCATTACTTTTTGTTTTGATATCTAGGTGAGGTGCGGACGTATGTGGAGTCGTGTCAGGAGAGATATGCCATGGCCTTGCAGACGGGTCTAGTGCGAGCGCATCGTCGCGCGTGTAGGCAACTGTCGTTGAGTTTGCGGACTGCGCTCTCCGAGTCTGGTCTGTCCCTTCTTTCTGCTGCTCGCGGCAGTGTACATACATCTCCCAAGTATTCGACAATGGGGTAGGCATGCATTCATCTGATATCTTTTGTCTGATCAGTACTTATAGATGTGTAACTCTTAATTGAGTAGGAGCCTAAAATATCACAAATGGAGGCAATATACTTTGTTTCCCACGAGATTGTAATGCGCAATACGGTTTGTGGACATCAACTACTGTTGAATTTCGCGATACCTGTCGTTAGTGTTATCCCAAAATCACTCTGTTCAAAAACGCACCCATTCAGTGTCCATTTTGCCAAATCGACGGCAAATGGATGAGGGTTTGCTTTGATAAGGTACTGTGTATTATTTCAGACTATCCGAATCCCAACTGGAGTCCCTTCTGCACATCATTGACGGCGTTTGTGCTTCCGCCGAGATGTTATTTTCCGAGACCTCTCTCAAGGGTCTGCAAGTCTTCTCGCCTCCATCTCATATCCACGCATATCATAGGGAAACTCGACCCAGCGATGTTCGTTCACTTCCCCTTACCATTGCTTTAACTTTGATTGACGAGTATCGGGTTCCCAATCAAGATTAAATATTTGGGCCTAGACTGCCTGAATTTTGCCCCACATGTGTTCAAGAACGGTTGCATTTTTTGCAATCTAGTAGAAGTTGGTCAAGCTTACAACCTCATTCGAAACAACTAGATCAACCCACGACAAATATAATCATGCAGCCTACTTTGTTCTAAAACCGATTCTATTCAATAGTTGTTGTTCAGTCTTTACTAATGTATGCGGATCAGGATTTCCCCTATCAGTTTCCCATTACGCGTCCCTAGAGTTCTATATTTCCGCAAATTTCAGCGTATTCCAATCTGTTTTGTTGATTAGACTTCTCCATCTGCGACCAATGATCACCTGACAGACGCTGAAGACAAGGCTAACATGCCCCTGGCATTAGAAATCCGACCAAGCACGTTGACCAGGGGCAGCAATGGCGTCCAGTCAAGTCCTAGACAATCGTCACCCGAAGTTCCAGTACCCACTCCACGTAGTCGGCTTCCACGATGAGGCCCATATCCGCGTGCGGACGCACAATTCCAAATGCTCCAACCATGTACAGATCCCTAATCATGCACTTTTATTGCAATCAGCACTCTCCTTTGAATACAGTGTTCCATTTCCAACTGACATGAACTTCTTTGTTACCTGCAGTATCATCAAAGCCAAACGCCTCTGCGCTTTCTCGCTTACGACAGCATTGGATAGCATTAGACTCACCACTTGATACCTCCACGCCTCTGGGTCGAAATGACTCAAAACTGATGAATCGTCAAGTGTTTCAAGTCGGAAGTTAATTTATTATGAAGTAACAAAAGCAAAGAAGTGGAGCTGTCGACAAGGATTTATTCGACCGCAAAGTACGAACTTGTTCATCATTTGGTAACCGTAAATATACAACAAAGATACTATCAAAGGTTGGTTGTGCCCCGTCCAATTTCACAGCTCACTTTTCATCCCGAGTTCACTAAGATCAATTTCCTCCTCATGAATAACCTGAGGTTAGAAAAAATACAGTTTAGGTGTTAGACACAAGGAATAGTATGAGGAACCTTAAGCCCTAAATTGGGATTTGTTTAAGTAATTTTAATTGCCTTCAATACTGTGAGTATGCTAGTTTGTGCAAAAGTCTCAACCATACAGACCCAAATTATTGCCGGGAAGAACATCGACTTACGGTCACGTACAACATTTCGCCAAAAAGGCGCAGCATTTGTTGCTCTAATAATTAGCATATGTTGCGCAATGTAATTTTCATGGTTAGATTGGAATGCTAAGCAAGACTACAGTAATGTGAATATCCTTACAGGAGCATCTTTTCCATCCCAAGGTGCAGAGGACTGGATTTCGGGTAAGGCTGACATAGAGTTGAGCGATACAGAGCCTCGGCCCTGGCTCAAATCGTACAGAAAGTCACGCACTCCATCGGTTGCGAAAGAGCCATGCATCACAGCGAATTTCTGTTTCCTCATGTTGATCGCGACCATAGTCTAGTTCAAAAACACAAGCAGTAGGGATTAGTCGACATCCAGGGTGGTGAAATTTGAAAGCCTCCAATGAAGGATATCAACCTAATTAGATGCACAGTAGTACGCTGTCGAGCTCAGCGAGAGCAATTAGAATGTGTAGTGCTCAAAATGGTTAAAGCAGAAGTCAAAACCTACCGGGTAACCGAATCCACCTACTAGAAGAGCCTCCTCTAGTGGCATATGTGTGCGGGCAGCAGACCAAAGCCATCTGAAAATTAAAGGCTCGAACATTGTAAACAACCTCCAAATTTATTTTGATTGGGTACAAGCTATTTAGGCAACATGAAATGACATAATAAGGTTACATACCCCCAGTTTTTCCCTTTGTGCTTTTTGGCCGCCTCTTTCATGACATCTAGGTAGTCCCTGCGGCACTTGGATTGGCAGTCGAGTAGTTGAGGCAAGAAACCAATTATGCAAAGTTGTTTGTTGTCACAGGCCTCGTGGAGTACCTCACTTGAGGTGATTTCATTCACCTCCGGCGGTGGACGATTCAGTTCCGCCTTTTGCAAGCCGAATTCCACAATGCCTTCGGCTGAGCGCATTCCGTTATACTCCTCTACTTGGCCTGATTTGAAGTATTTAATTGTGGGAAAGCCTCGTATCTAAAAGAGCAGTCATGGGGATCAATCATTTCACTGGTATGGATGAGAGAAGGGTGTTTGAGTGTTATGATAGTTAAATAGCTTGTCACCAAAATAGACCAAAAATGCTAGCGTAGCAAAACCCAGTATAGTGAATAGGGCGAAAGACGCTTTACTTGACGGAAAACACATTACTGAAAAGAGGAAAACTGTGTGTAAGCGGTGCCAATACAATAAAAGAAAACAAGTCTAGCTTGGGTTCGAGATTCGAACCACTAACTGACTAGTATCAAATCGAAATTAACGTGTAACTCTCAATGAGCAGAAAGCCAATCGAATAGGCAACGGTGAAAAAAAAATAATAACACGTACTTCATATCTCCCAGCGAGGTTATTATGGACAGTTGCATCAACGGTGCCAACTTTCACTTTGCCCTTAAGTTTCTCAGCAGCCCTCTTCCATTCTGGAGCAAGGTTCTTACCTGAAGAAAAAAAACAGCAGTGTTTATTTTAAGAATGAGAAGCAAATCACGAAATGATCAGTTAAATGTTACATTCCTCTCATTTTGATGCAAGTATTCCAGAAAACTTACAGATTTACTTGAAAACACGAATATGAGGGTAAAAAGTACGACACCGAACAATGCGACTAGCCACCTACAATGTCCACACCAGGGTGCAATGAAAGCGACTAGCCAATCGTCATCACTTTGGAGGACAAGAGAATCAAAATTTTGATCAGTCAAAGTTACGACAGCCTCTGAATTCTGATAGTGATTGTCTTGTTTGTCCGCGTGACTTTGGGCGCCACCACAAGTTCCGCCACCACTACCCATAGTCGGTTGCTTCGGCGACAAGTTGAGCTGAACTCCCTAAGTAGTAAGAAGGAACAAATAATGGCTAAACAAGCTCACATGAGTGGATCGACTACCGAAAGTCTGTGGATAATGCAGCGAAAAACTGCCAAAAAGACTTAAATAGATGCAACAAAACCTCCTGCTCGCAAAGGCAGAGGAGACCAAGTTTGGAAGCTTACTTCTTTTCTGGCACGGGCAACAACAAAATCGCGAACTTGTCCCATCAAAAAAACGATGAGTTCATCAGAAGTTCGAGGTCCTGTGTACTTTATGGGATTGCCAGCGCCCTCGTCACTGCGGAACACCAAAACAGTTGGATAGCCCTCAACATTGAATCGATTTCCTATATTTGAGTGAGCCTCATTGTCCACCACTCCAAATCGTACAACACCCTGGTGACAAAAATTATAAAGAATCCATATCAAAAAAGAAATATGACCGTTCTGAGGGTTGTTGGAAAGTGGGTACGTGAAGGCAGAACATATACGAGACACAAAACCCAACTAGTAAAGAAAATACCTACTTGAAGAATGTCTGACGCCTTTTTAAACTTGGGAGCGAAACGTTCGCAGTGACTGCACCAACTAGCATAGAACTTCACAACTGTCACCCCAGGCTGAGAAATAAATTCATCAACATTTTCGCCGGTTAGTTGGATAACGGAATCATCACCACCATACAGGGCGAAACACGTATGAATAAAAGCGAGTAGAAAACCTGGAATGTGAACAAAACATCACAAATTTCCCGAACAAATAATAAGCAATACTGACTGAAAATACTGGCATGATCTTTTCCGATTTTCTCAATAATCAGATAAACGGCATATCAACAGTCAAATAGACAACCTATATACAAATGGTATATGACTCAAGCATGAACCTAATTTACTCCAAGATAGTAAAGGAGAAGCAGTGAATCTCGTGTGACGAAGCACAAGACATTTAGCTTATGGATGGCACAAATGTTTGCATAAAATGTCAATAACGCGTATACTGATGGGGTGTTGGGGAACCATCAAAAGTGGGTATAATTTTTGATATAGTAAGTAAGAACTCACACCAGTCACCTATCAAGTCCAAAACAAAATATAAACGTCAGACCAAAAGATTTATCAAACATTAGGAATGACTGAAAAATGGCCGAGGATGCACCTACTCAAACTATCTGTGGTCCTTCGGGAACAATGCGCGTTAATAAATACTTAATGCCTAGGAAAATTCAAGACAATCGTACAAAAATTTAACGCGACTGTCACTTATTCGTCGGAGTATACATCGCTGTACATGAGTCGCAGAAACTCACACAGATACTGCCACATCACCGAGGCAATACGTACAAATTATTGACCAATGCCTCGCCAGACCCTAGTGACGTGTTTTAGAACTTATGTGCAAATATCTTATTGGCTACGTTAAAATACTTCGTGGGTGAAAAAATTCTTGCAGAAAAAGAAGAACATGATGCTAAAATGCTAGTTTTATGCACCACCTTTATTTTTGGATACAAATCATTTGTTTTAATAAATTCCTTAAAAATGGCATCATTGTTTTTATTACAAGGTGCCATAATCTGTGATTTTAACTTGAGATAATCTTGGTGAAACTGAAATTGTGTTTACTGCAACAAATCTCATTTGAAGGCTGTTTTGAAATACGTTGGTTATCCCAATCGGCTTTGCTGAAAGGCTAACGTGTCTCTTGGCCATAGCACTTTCGTCAGGCGAACTGGTCTCTGGGTCATGCCGGTGGCGTAATACTCATTCTGTTTTAATATATCTTCCAGAAATGAGGTGGAAAGCTGACTCAAGCCTCAAAATTGACGAACTGTCAACATCTCTTAAATTAGAGAATAGCTGTGTATCCAGGTCTCCCTAACCTCGTATCTGTCCCCATTTACGCTAAGCAATAAGTGTGTCCACATTCAATCAGCCTCAGTGTTCTAAGGGTATGAAGGCCAGTAGGGGGAAGATGAATGAGGGCCGTGATAGAGTATCCCCAATCCCCCGAATGTCATGCCATCTTTCGTCTCCAGGGCAGAATCAGGGCGTTACAGCTAAGTCAAGTTTCGATCGAAATATGAAAGCACAAATTTATTTAGAGTGAACTTGAGACAGCGAATCAAACACTGCTCCTTTGTTATTCGTCACAGGAGTATTTAAACTATTAAATTTAATTAAAGACAGAGGATGAGGCCAGGGCACACCTTTTACCAATAAAAAAATTTCTGACTCATGGCAACTAATATATCCACATATTTGTCATAAATTAATTCTTCAGAACCATATTTAAGGAAAAACTTGCATGTACTGGAAGGTGATATAAACTAGCCTCGTTTGTCTCCTCTCCCCTGACCTTCATGGCCTTGAAACGACGAGATTGATTGGGTGTGAATATTTTTATTGTTTAGTGACAATAGCGATAGATGCAAGTTTAGGGAGACTTGTGTAGCGTCCTGAGACCTCCTTGAAGGCGAAAGAGGACGTGATATATATATTCGGTACAGAGAGGGTATTTGGGCTACTGGCATAGTCAGAAGGCCGGCCCATTCGGTGTGGTACAAAGGCCAAGTTAAAAGTCAAAAGTGGCTCCTCGCCGGTACTGAGAGATAAACGCCCATCGTACTACATGACCCCTCCTCTTTTGAGCGTTGTCCTCGGCGCTCCCCTTGGTCAGCCTCCCGCGTCAGCCATCACAACGTAATCGGTGCTTCAAGGAAATACCCACGAGCCAGTCGTGCCAGCCATCAAATTAGTGTGCAACTGAGGAGATACTCTACCGCAACGTCACTGATCCCTCTTTGTGCTTCAACTGGATCTGGAGTTTCGTGCGGTTTGCGAACTTGATTCAGGAAGGGGGAATTGTGCTGGCCATCATGCGTGTCCATAGATAGATGTACAAACACTGGCCTGAAAGCAGATTTGTGTAAGGAGGGACGGGATCTAGTACGAGTCCATGGGGGAAGGTTTTCACGTTTGTTCCTCCTTACCACCTTGTTCTCACTTTGGAGCTGCCCAGGCTCTATTCAGCTGGTAAGGAAATGGGGGAGGTTTCACGAATTCACTTTATCAACAGCTTTGCGCAGGCACGGTGGGGGAGGTGGTTCATTGCTGGTGTCGCTCCAGTTGTAATTTCTTCCCCACAGAACAGGGGACTGGGAGAGCTGCCGAAGGCAGACGTCAATTTCGGCCCTTCTAGTTGGGGTCATCACCATTCTCCCATCCGTAGCACATATACTTCTTCCGCTCTGCAAAGATTTATCACACAGCAGTTAAATCAGGAAAGATATCTTTTAAGTTTGGGTTCTCTTTCTGCTGCCACCAATGTAGCGTCCCGGGACTTCCCTGAAGACGAAAGAAGACATAATACTCGGGTAGAATATATGTATTCGGCACAGCGAAGGTATTTGGCTATTGGCATGGTTCAAAGGCCAGCCCACCCGGCGTGATACAAAGGCCAAGTTAAAAGTCAAAAGTGGCTCCTCGCCAATACCGAGAGACAAACATCCAGTCCACTACACTTAGGCACGGCGCTCTTCTCTGGTTTGCGAAATGCTGACCGCTCCTCAGTCACAACTTTCGATTTGACTACTCACTTCCTCTCTGAAAGAAACTTTCACACAACATAAGTACCACAGTAAAGACACTAAAATCAGTCGCTACAAGTAAAAGATTTAAGGTCTACTAAAGAGGCGCTATATGCGACCTCATTTCGCCAAATATTGTACTTGGTGTCATAAGAAAATGATTCATTTTAGAAAAGGTAAAGCTTTTGAAACCGCCACATTAGTCTTCCTGAATTCTAACGACTTTTGCCAAAAATCCCTGTATCTAAAGCCGAAACTGCATCTAGCGCGAATTTACGAAGTTCTCGTTGGATTATATGGGCTGAATGGTTGCTAGCATTGTCCTAATGCCAAGAAACAGAACATAAGTACAACCTGAAAGACAGAAGTCCCAATGTAGTAAAGTCCACAATTAAACTAAATACCTAGTCATTGTGTCTGTGCCATGGTTTGATGGTTTTTTCAACTAAGCGTTTGAAGACGTGGGCACTGAAGTCCTCGCAGATTGTAACCAGCTCGGCAGCAGGATCTTCTATTCACGTCAGTGGCCTCTCTATCCCTTTTCACGTTAGTATTGTATGCTCTACCAGTATGCTGTGACTATACGGATTTTGGCGGAGTTGGGGAGGCACAGCACACTATATTACCATCTTGTTAGCATTTCACCGCGAGTATTTTTTATCGGTGTTCTATTAAAGCTATGTTGGAATTGGCATAAACCATCCCATCGATGATTACTACAGGCAAATACAGAGAAGGAAAATCATTAGGTCTAAATCACTTTATTTGGTTGTCCACATTGGGATCCCATAATTCGCTCCCATTACCCACGAACATCATTATTAAGAGATCATCTAAAATGTTCAGGTAATGTTGCAGTTCTAAAATTTATAAACTATTACTAGATGGGCAATTCGACCACTACCACTGTGCCGAAATATTTTGCTTTTAAATACCAATTTTTCATATTGATTTTTTGCATTTATCCCATAAATAGGTATGCTGCAGTCAAACCAAGATATAGATTTAAAAAAATAATGACACTCAGCTTTCCTGTTAGAATTTGAAAAGACAGCTAGAATTTTCAGGATTACTCACTTCATCTTGATTCGTTAGCCCGAGCTTTTGTACCCCCTTGCACACGTTAGTTTGTTTCTCGTGTTTTGCCTTTTTGCATTTACCTGCCGTCTAAAATTTCGAGTGGTAGATTTATCTGCATGTGGTAAAGAGGGGGTAAAATTGGCATGTGTTTAGGTACTTTAGCTGCTTCATACTGATGTCATAGCTTTAGAAATGTTTAGTTGGATCCTCATCATTGTGCTTTTTTGACAGGCAATGTTTTGTATCACTGTATGTCATTAGTTTTATTACCTCTTACGGTGATCTTTATTTCTAGATCATCAAAGATCGCATCATGTATGATTTTAAGGGTTGACATTTAGAACTTCAAGTCTCTGTGGGCTTAGGTTATGTCGTTTATGTTACAAAACCCTGTACTGTTTTGGGAACATCGGTAACATTCTGCTCTTTGAGTTTCCTTGAACGTATTTTATTCGGACTAATTCACTAGTCGTGGATACTCCTGCTTTTTAGTTCTATTGAGATTGAATTTATGTTGCTAAAGTGGACATGATTTCATTAGTACGAATACGGATGTTAGTACGTTTAAAATCGCCTTTTTTAGTTTCCATAGTTTTTTGCTTTTCAGGTTCTACCTTGTGAAATGGCAGACCCAAACCCATGGGACGAGTTGCCATCTTCATCCGGGAAATTAACTAAACCTCAAATGTCCAGATCGCAAACAGTAATGGCTTCACGACTGAAAGCAAACATTTTAACTGGTGGACTTGGCTCTCATCTGCCGGATAAAATATGTCCCAAGTCGAGGCTTCCGAAATTTGGAACTGCGTTATTCTCTAGGCATCGTTCTGTTTTCTCTCCCCTCTGTTATGTCAACCGTGAATTAACCACTTACAAGGAAAACATCGCTCCATCTTCTTTAGTTGTGGAGCCAAGTCTTGAGTCGAAGGAAAATCCCCTTATTCTCTCTTTAACCAATCACATTTCAAACCCGTCTTTTGCCGAAAGAAAGTGCAGAACTTCCAACGCAGTGGATGTTGATGGAAAATTCCCAGGTATTTAGTGTAACCTGATAGTTCACATTTACCTTTAGTCGACGTGTCGGAAAGCACTCGTCTTTATAGCGAAAGTAATTCCTTCAAGGTTGAGAAAATGAGAGAGGTGGTTAAGAAAACGGGGTCCTTTATGTCAGCCGAATTTCGAGATCTGAGTGAAGCCACTCAGACAGTTGCGGGTATTCCTATACCCATAATATCACCCTGGTTTTAGATGCTCTTTCTTCAGATGACGCAACGGTACAATCAAACAAATGCTTGCGATCCATTGAGATTCCGACATCACCACTTCCTGTTGCGTCGGTGATGACAGATAAACCCTCCGCATCTGCGACCTGTCCTATCACCACCAGCGTTGGCGCCGTTGCAGCAAGAACCTTTCGTGCCGTTTCACCTGGCAACTATGTGAAACTCAATCTACGCAAGAAGTCTTTCAGTCGAGGTGGGACACGGAGACAAGCGCTTAGCAGATTGCAAATACGAAGAGCGAAATTTGCCAAGAAATTCGGCACCAAGGGCTGCAGAGCCGGGAAATTCTTTCGATGCAATCCAGAGGGTCATTGGGGTGTCAAGTACTCGAAAAATTTCCCTGAGTCCCGAGTTCACCCAAATGATAAAGGGACTGAGGAAATGGGGCCAGATCACGCCCAAGTTGAGTGTCGAATCGCTGATTTGGTTAAACTGCGTAGTCAGTTTCCCGAAGGACCTCGGTTGTGTGAGCTCTTAAATATTGGCCGGGAAGCACCAGGAACGCAATTCTCCATGCAAAAAGGTGCAAACTTTGATCTCATGGAGGTGCGGACCTACATGAATGAGCTGATGCATAAATTGAGAATTAGATCACTTAGACCCAGTCAGGAGCGTGCAATTTGGCGTACGCTTGCTGGCAAATCAACGCTTCTTGTTCTGCCAACAGGAGGTGGAAAATCGCTGTGTTACCAAATACCGGCAGCAATCTTTCAAGTACATGGGTAATATGAGAGTAATATTTTCTCCTAGAAATTTTATCCAACGTCAACAGCCCTGGTTATATCTCCGTTGATTTCCCTCATGCAAGATCAGGTGTTGCCAACAACGTCACCCATTCGTGGTGCCTACATCAGTTCCAGCCAACCGAGGGAGGAAAAGGAA